AGAGCAACGGGACGACTCAATCAATGCCTCATCTCTGCGTCGAGGAGATCTTGCTCGCCTTGAAATCCGCCGGATCTTGTTAGTACGTAGGCACTAATAGCCTCAGAACGACGGCCGACCTTGACATCGCAAAAATCCGACGAAGCCAGAGGCTTGTCTGACCAGCGGATATCAGACACAGAAACGAAATTGCTTCTGATCCCCAATCGATTCGTAAGGTATGAGCCTGGGCCAGGTTGGGGTTCAGAGCCCCCATGTGGGGTCTGAAGGCCAACCCAGACATGCGGTTGGCACGGATTTGGCAGATGTCCATCGCCCGTCTCGTCGTCGGAGTGCTGGAAGGAACGGTGCCAAGTATCCTTCAGATGGTAATAATCTCTTAAGAGCAGAGGTAAACGAGTGATGGCACGAAGTAGGTAGTGAATGGCATTAATGAGAGAAGTGGTGCGGTGTATTGTTGGAAGTACAGCTGGGGTACCTCAAAATTGACCAGTCTTCCAAGAAGCAGAGCTGGCGGCAGGATCTTTGCAACATGTAGTTTCAAGTCACTGGTTCCGCATAACACTGGACTGATGTCGCATTTCTCTGCCGTGTGATGGCTTAATCTAACTGAAATATCTCATTCAGATGCTAATGCCTTCTCTCGGCAGATTGACAATGCTGGATTTGACGTAGTTGATGATGAAATGTGCGCCGAGCAGCAGCGTCCAGGCCATGCCGACACAGTCGTATAACAGAGCCGACTGCTCAACTGCTCGGCAGCATACGGATGTCCGTCAAAGGGTGGCTTGTTATGATTTCTGTTCGTCGTTAAAATCAAAATCGTACTAGGCTGCTGCTTTCCCTTGAGTATCCATTATCATTATCACTGGTATTCAGCCTTTGTTCCTCAGTCTCCGCCCTCGTTCAACCTCAACCTCATCACCCCGCCTGGAAAATCAAACTTGGACTGGAGACGGGGATTTCATGCACAACATCCTAACAAAAGTACGCCATCCCACGGCGCAACCAGATTCAAACTGCCTTGCCGCTCTCTCGAATCTGGCGCTACCGGATCCCCATTCAGCTCAGCCCCATCAGCCGCCATCCAGGCAGACTATTCCAGCGATTCTTTACAGGCAAACCGCCAGGCCATTGGATCGAGCTCCAGGCGCTGACTCGCTGGGCTTCTGCGGCTCGGCCAGTAGAAATAGGGCCTGACGCGCTGGCTCCAGGGCCGTCTGTCGAATCAGTGGCAGCAACATTGAACCCAGCAGGCCGGGCCTTTGACAGCGGTTCGCCACTAACAACAGACGCCGGAAGTACGAGTACCTGGGCAGTACCTGGAGTACCAATTACCTGGCCCATACTTTTTGTGGCCGCCATCGTTGGACCTGTTTGATTCTACAACAACTGAACTGACCAACTCTGTTGGCCTTACCATCATATTCTCGTCGTCCCGCATTCGCACTCTCGCCTTCGCTCTCACCATCTGTCGTCCTCTCTCAGAGCCTCCTCCCGCCTCCAGCGTTCCAAGAACCCGCCGCCGGCGCAGGGGGTTGCCGCTGCTCAGGGCCAGCATCCCTTCAGTATCACCGCTAGCCTCCCTCGAAGCCTCTTCTGCAACAACCCTGCCCTGACACACCGGCGACCGCCTGTCTCAGATTAGGGTTTTCAGAGCCTCCCACCTCCGCAAGGCCGATCACTCTGCTGACCGAAACTCGCTCTGCTGTCTGCTGCAAAGCAAACCGACGCCCTCGCAGACAGACGGACAGACGGACAGACGGCCGGACAGTCGAACGGACATCGCCAGCCTCTGAGCGTTGCGCTGGACCAGAGACCTGGATAACACGGCGTGGTGGCGGCTGCTGCTGCTGAAGCTGGCTTATTCACAAGCCGAGGCGTGGTGCTAACGAGAGCTGTCCAACCGGCGCCGAGCCATCCTGGCAGCATCATACATACATATCTACCTACATACAACCTCGAGATAGACTCGCCTGGGGAGGGATGACCGCGACCGCAACAATGTCCATCAAGTCGCCCTCCGCATCAGCGTCCCCGGCGGACCTGGCCTCGCCCTTGTCGGACGCAATCGACTCTGGCCCGGTGCCTCTGACCTCGACCTCTACCTCGTCCCGCCACAGCACTCTGTCCCGCCCGCTGTCGTATGCGTCCAAGAACAGACTGTCGCAATACTCGATTGCCGGATCGCTGCCCACCCGATCGCGGCCTCAGTCGCACGTGTTCCCCATGTTTCCCTCGAGCCTGGCCTACACGCAGGTGCGCGACTTCGCATATCCCGTCATGCACCCTATGCACTACGGCCCGCCGCCCGAGCCCTCGGGGCCGCCATCCGGCCTGACGACGCCAATGAGCGAGAGCAGGCGGCTTTCCGAGCCGTCCGTCTCGTGGGACCAAAAGATGCCGTGGGACTCATGGGCTCCGGACTCCTTCAGCCGGGCCCACGATCTACCGCCGATCCAATTTGGAGACGGTCCTCCTTACAGCGAAGACGAAGACTTACAGAGCCCCGTCGTCTCCACGAGACACCGCAAGCACAAGTCGACTTCGTCGGCTCTCAATACGCATAGGGGGCGCACTGGTCGTGACCACGACAGGGGCTCCCTCATCAGTTCCAGCTACGACGACAGCCAGAGCTACTACCTGGGCATTGGTGGAGATGGAAGTGAGCGGTACTACGTGAGCCATGGAGGCGAAGCAAACGGGCCCGGCGGTGAGCTCGTGACCTATCCGCCCGATCAGGCGCATCATAGCCACGCATATCAGTATACGCAGCAACTTGGCCATGGCGTGGACGGCTACGATTCCGATCACTCCGATAGCTCGTCCTCACCGGGAGGACCAGAAGGTGATCAGTCACGCTATTCACGCGATTATCAGTTCACAATCACATCTCCCGATGAAGAATTCCACGGTAAGGCCGTGGCCTTGTTCGACTTTGAGCGAGAGAATGAGAACGAGCTGCCATTGGTGGAAGGCCAAATCATCTGGGTGTCATATCGCCATGGCCAGGGCTGGCTGGTTGCAGAGGATCCAAAAACACAGGAGAGTGGTTTGGTCCCAGAGGAATATGTCCGGCTGCTCCGCGACATTGAAGGCGGCATGAACAGCCTCACTGGAGCCCTCATCGACGCGTCGGGATCCCCCAACGATGCCGGCACTCCTACCCAGCCAGAACATGGCAGCCAGTCTGGCCACACTCCCACACAGAGCAATTCCACCAACGGCTATCACCAGCCAGTTGTCTCCATGTTCTCAACCTCGAGCAAGGACCTCAACCCCTATCCCACGGAGCAGCTTGGCATTCAAGCTGGCCAAGCCCCGCCTCAAGTGGTTCACTATCACGGACAAAGGGGAGGAAGCCAGATGAGCACTCCTACAATAAACCAACTTTTGGAGTCTGAATCGCCGAGAAGAGCGAGCCAGGACGCGGAGACCAAGTCAGATTCTGCCTTGGCGACGGCACAAGACAAGCCCAACGAGAAACCAACAGATACCCAGGGGTCGGGCCAGACGGTGGATACGGAGCGATGATGAACAGTCTAGAGCAGATTACACTAATGGAGCAGGTACTCAATTTCGAGCCAGATGTACAAACGCTTACTCTCATCTTTCCCACGTGCTTGGAGATATCAAGAACCTGGGACGCGATAGACGGGCCAAGGTCCTCATAGTAATAACGGATATCCAAGTACATCCAAGCTGCACAGCGACATAAGTTGGCGGAGAGGCGGCTTTACCTTGGAAAGTCGCCACCATAACGTTACATGCAGAAGGCCTGGTGCATCCCGGACAGTCAAGATTCTAATGGGATAAAAAAGGTGGTCTACTGCGCTCTTCATGGCTCGGAGGAGATGAACGAATTCTGTGGCAATGGGGAGAGGGGAGTGAGAAGAGAGAAAGCGCCTTGGAGCGACGCCATGATTAGATGATAACTCCTATGAACTCTCATAGGCTGGGCATGTTTTTTCTTCTTCGTTGTTTAGGGTTTGTTTACTAGTATATGTTGTTGCGGTTCGTATTTGAGCATGGCTTGGCTCTGCTTTCTGCATGGATGAAAAGGAAGGGACATGATACGGCGGGATGGCTGTTATATAGCATTGCGCGTGGGTTGCTGGGGGGCAAGGGCTGAGTTGTTGGATGTAATCAAAACGAAGAAAACATTTGACCCAAGCAAAAGAGCCTGTTTGTGTTGTCTTCTTCTGTAGCTCAGCGAGATATTGATGCTCATCATTATCTGTAAATCTTGTCGCAAGAACTGAGAAGTCTCTCATCTCTTCAGTCCAAGGTCATTGCCACTGTTCTCACGGTAGGTATCCGGGCCCTGAAGGTTATCGGTCGCGAGCAGTTTCAAGTGCTTCCTTGATGAAGTCATCATAAACAAGACATGAACTTGGACCATACACCGATTCGATATCCTTGAGCAGACGAAGATGATTGGCCGAACAGAAGCGGTGTCATTGGGTGCTCTGCTATACTGTACATACAGTCAGTTGCAGGTATGATGTAACCATTCCTCCTCTTCCACTTTGGGACAAACCCGGCTTGGAGCACATGGCGCCTGGTTCCTGGTTCCTGGTGCTTGGAGGCTTTTTCTGCCTTTCCTACTGGCTCTGGTAAGATGCCGTTAGAGTGGCAGTTACGCACACTCATCCAATGCTTGCTGTGTTTCCTTCTAGAGAAGAACATTCAAAGATGGTGAGAATAGCATCTCCAAAGGCCGATAAAGTATCTGATCGGAGGATGGTGGGAGCAAAGCTTCGGAGATAGATGACAGGTTTTGGACGACGAAAAGTGGACGGCGGCAACGGGCCAATCACGTGGCCGATGCCGTCATTTGCTTTCCAATGCTCGGAAATCAACCAGCGCCGGTTTTTGGCTTCTGGTCTGATTTGTCTCATCCAGTCCTTTGATCTCTTTGCTTCCTGAGAACCCAAGGCGTCTGCTCAGGCCAATCCGACCCCTACAGATCCCAATCACTCTCTGAGGACTACGTCTTCCACCATGTTTGCCAGATCTGCCTTCCGCGCGGCTCAGCCGCTCAAGATGGTACGTCCAAGAACCCGAGTCAATGACTTCTCCATCTCTCTCTATACGGAGTCTCAACCCCCCCCCCCCCTTCCCAATTGCCGCTGCAGACAAGCTGACTGTGCTCTCTCGCTCTTCTCTCTAGCATGCGCGCCGCTATGCCACCGAGTCTGGCGCCAAGGGCAACTCCAACACGCTGCTCTACGGCGCCGGTGCCGTCGGCGTGCTCGGTGCGGGCTATTACTTCCTGAGCGGCTCACCCGCCGCCGGCAAGGCTGAGAGCAAGGCCAAGGAGGCTCTTGGCGTGGCTGCTCCCAAGGCCTTCACCGGCGGCGACCAGGGCTTCCTCTCTCTCAAGGTCTCTGAGATTGAGGACGTGAACCACAACACCAAGAGGGTCCGATTCGACCTGCCGGAGAAGGATCAGGTTTCTGGCCTGCACATTGCCAGTGCCGTCCTGACCAAGTTCAAGGCCCCCGATGCTGAAAAGGCCACTCTGAGGCCTTACACCCCCATCAGCGACGAAGGTATGCGCAGAGAAAGATGATGCTGCTGCTGCTCCTTTTAGATTGAGACGCTGATATGAGATGCCCCCAATCGTAGACGACAGGGGCTTCATTGACCTTCTGGTCAAGAAGTACCCCAACGGCCCCATGAGCACCCACATCCACAGCCTCAAGGTCGGCGACTCGCTGGCCGTCAAGGGCCCTCTCCCCAAGTACCCTTGGACCGAGAACAAGCACGAGCACATCGCCCTCATTGCCGGCGGCACCGGCATCACCCCCATGTACCAGCTCGTGCGCGCCATCTTCAAGAACCCCAACGACAAGACCAAGGTCACCCTCGTCTTCGGAAACGTCACCAAGGAGGACATCCTGCTCAAGCACAAGTTCGACGAGCTGGAGAACACGTACCCGCAGCGCTTCCGCGCCTTCTACACCCTGGACAAGCCGCCCAAGGACTGGGTCGGCGGCGGCGGCTTCATCTCCAAGGACCTGCTGAAGCAGGTCCTGCCCGAGCCCAAGAGCGAGAACATCAAGGTCTTTGTGTGCGGCCCTCCTGGCCTGATGAAGGCCATTTCGGGCCCCAAGACGAGCCCCAAGGATCAGGGCGAGCTGACGGGCGCTCTGAAGGAACTTGGCTACACTGCTGAGCAGGTGTACAAGTTCTAGACTGGTGTGTGAGAGAATCGATGGAAGTAGAGCCTAGAAAGAGCACTCTGGGACTGCATTGTTTGATTACCAATTGTAGATATCTAGTAGAAAATAGAACCCAAGAGGCTAAATGAAAAAATGAAAAAACATATGATGCCACGACTACATTACACCGCCTAAGATCTAACGTGGACGAGAGAGCGGGAGAGGGAGAGAGAGAAAACTTGCTTTCGTCATGTCAGACAAAATCGGCTCAAGGGGAAGCACAAAAGCCCACACAAAGCTCCCTGAGCCCATCGGGGGGCTACACAGATCAAGGGTTCATTTGCCGTGATTTACCAGCACACACCGTCTGATCAATCACACACAAGGGAGGGAAGAGGAAGCGTGTAGAAAGCAAATCCTCCTCCCCTCCTCTCTTCTACCAAAAGAAAGAAAATTGCAACGACTGAACGGCTCGCTGCCTTTGGACCGGAAACTTTACATGGATGGCTGCGTATCGTGTTTCGGCAGTCGGCAGGATCCTTCCGTTCCCATCTGGTGGTCGAGCTCGCAATCAAAGAAAGAGAGAGAGAGAGAGGAAGAAAGAAAAAGAAGAAGAAGGAGAAGAAGAAGAAAAAAAGGGGGGAGTCTTACAAAAGTACGCATGGTACTTTATAGAAGTAAGACACCTTTGTGCACGAACCCAGACATTTCCATCTACCGATTCGCCGCAACTCAAGACAAGGAGTGGGAACGTGGACGCCAGGGCGGCATCTCTCTTTGCCGTCTGATGTGCCGTGCCACTGTAACTTCGTATGTATGTGTGTCTCTCGCGTGTAACGCAGGGCGAGCGAGACATGCAGCAAACTCGTCCCATTTCGTGTGTGAAGAGATTTCGTGTTTCTGTGCTCTTTGTGTCTTTGTGTGTGAAGTATGTATCCCCCCAACCATGGGACGAAAGTTCTTTTAAAGACAAACGAGATCCCCGGAGATCCATCTGTCTTCCTCTTGGCTCTTTTCTCTTTTCCGCATTGCTAGAGCTCTCGTGCTTGAAATTTGGTACGGAGAGATACCTTTTTCTCTGCTATTTTTTTTGCGTACAATAGAAAAGGTTGCCAGAATGGATGCCTCTGAACGGCCTCGTGGCCAGGAGCATATCCCAGAGTATCCCAAGCTGTGGATCTGGATGCGCGTGTTCCAGCTCGTCGTTGGGCTCGCGGTGCTTTTCCTTTCGATCCATGCTTTGGAAGGGTTCCGCTTCTTGCAGGACCTTTCCATTGTCATGATAGTCATTGTAAGTTTCGTCTTCTTCTTCCTCCTCCTCCTTCTCCTCCTCCTTCTCCGTCTCACCTCCACAACCCCCAACCTCACCACTCCCCCAACTTCATCCAGACATCCTTTGAAAAATACGACAGTAGAAGGAAAAAAACTCTAACCATAACCTGTGTACATCAAAAAAAGTCTGTCATCTCCGTCGGCCTCACAATCTGGCTCATCGTCGCCCAATTCTCGTCCCCCCGCGCCTTCAGGTACTGGGTCACCCTCGCGCTCGACTTTGCCATCTTCGTCGCCTGGACCGTCTCCGGCTCCATCCTCGTCTCGCACACCTCGGCCCTCGTCGCGCAGCGCGGCGTCGGCCACCACGTTCCTCCTGCTCCTGCTCCTGAGCATGAGGAAGAGCAGCAGCATCATCCTCTTCACGAGAGCCACGTTTCGACGTTTTATGCCATTGCCGGTCTTGCGTGTCTGGAATTGTAAGTTTTTTTTTTTTCCCTCAATATCATCATACCTCAGTTGAGGATGGTGGGGTGGTGGTACTCCTTGATGCACTGATTGCTGATGTGGGTGAACAATGGAAATAGCTCCCTCTTCTGCTCCTCATGGATCATCGACGCCGTCGTCATCCGCCGCCACCGCCAAATCGGCCTCCCCTCCAAGCCGCTCAAGAAGCGGGCTTCGCTTCCCGTCCCGGCGGCGGTAGAGAGGACGCAGACTAAGCAGATAGTAGTACCCGTGTCTCCTCCCCAGAAGCCGCGCGTCAAGCCTACGCTTGCTGAACGGGTTGAGATGCTTTTCAGGGGACAGAAGCAAGAAGAGGCGGGGGTCTCGGAAGGAGTTGGCTTTGAGGGCAGCGAGGAGGGCGGACATGGGGGACGGGGAAGTCGTGATGGCGGAGATGGAGTTTGAGGAGGATATGAGTGGATATGAGTTACACATTGGATGAAAAGAGCACTTTTGTTCGTTCAGGTAAAGAGTCTGATATTGAACGAAGATGATTGGCATTTTCAGGACTCGATAATGGTCAAGACGAAGGGAAGCATTTAATCGCAAAAGCAACACTCATTTTTGGAGTAATAATAGCAATGAAATACAGGGCATTGAACAGTATGCAAGCATATGATGTTCCACTCCCTAAATACTATTGGTATAGCTTGGCCGCCTGTCCTTCTCTTGAGAGGAATTGCCTAAGAAATGCTCTTTGTGGCCTTGTCGACGGCGTGCTTGATAATCTCGGCCCACTTGAGACCATTGCTGTAGTTCTTGGCGTCGATGCTTTCGACGAGGCCGGGATACACAGCTACAAGGCATTGTCAGCATTATCATCAACAAGTAGGCGGATGGAAGATTGAGAGAAAGAAAGGGATAGGAGTAGAGAAGAACATACCACCAGCATAGCCCGTCCACAAGCCTGGAGCAAAGACAACGTGCTTGAACCAGCTTCGGTTGTCCAGGCCTCCCTCAAACACAAACTGTCGCTCAATGTACTTGTATTGGCGGTTCACTTTGATAATGGCGAAGCCGAGTCTGGTTTTGCTGATTATGGCCCACCAGGGGAGACCTTTCTCGAGCTTTTCTCTCGCCCAGGCCGCACGCTCATCCAGCTTGACTGCCTTCTCCCTGAATTCAGAAATTGAGTGTCGAATCTTCTTCAGGCTGGCTTCAAAGGCGTCTTGGCTCCCGATGACTTCCTTAGAGGAGATGCTGCCTCGAACGGCAAAGATCTCATCATCAGTGGCCAATTCGGCATCGTCAGGCTGCAGCTTGGCCTCAACCTTGTCGAGATAGCTGTCCAGGGCGTCTGCGTACTCGGTCGCTCCAAAGGGAATGACCACCCGGTCGGCAAGCTCTCCAATGAGAACGCCAAGGACCTGGGCCATGGTTCGGTGGTAGACGAAGCCGGGGTCGGCAAACTCGCTCATCCAATGGAAGCTGTCGTAGTTGCTGTGGTAGTGATACACAGGGCCACTGCCGTTTCCGCCGAATCCCACGTCGAGACTAGGAACACCGGCATAATCCTGGAAAGCAGTGAAGTCGCTTCCAGAGCCCATGGTGCTGATCTTACCGTCCCATACGTCTCCCACGGTCTGGCCAGCAACAGTCTGGTTGGGCGATGGAACGAGATGGGTGGCGTCTCGAAGGACTTGGTTCAAAAGAGGCGCTGCTGCGGCGGAGAATCGCGGTCCGGAAGCACCTCCATCGACGTTGACGTATGCCACGTTGGCATCGGTGATCCAAGGCAGATACTCTTCAACCCATTCCGTGCTTCCAATCAGGCCATACTCCTCTCCATCCCAGCTGGCAAAGACAATGGTTCGGAGAGGCTTCCAGCCAGCTTCCAAGGCCTTTCCAATGCTTCGAACGGCCTCGTTCAAGACGGCCGAGCCGCTGTTGGGATCAGACGCACCGCCGACGATCCAAGCATCTCGGTGGTTGCCGACAATGATGACTTCGTTGGGAATGGTGCCGTTGATGATGCCAATTACGTCCCATTGGGGCGCGATGACATATTCCTGCTCGTTGTAGAGGTTGATGACGACGTCCTTGGGTGAGGGTCCAATGTTGTAGTCAACGCCCTTGTAGCCCAAGCCGAGCTTTCTGTTCCACCACTTGTTCAGGTCGCTGGCTCGAGGGCCGTGGCCATTGAGCGCCTTGAGCAGCGGCAAGGCATCGGTATAAGAGATGGGAATGGAGGGAATTGACGGAGTGGTTTCATCAGCCGGTGCACGAGGGACACCAGGCTTTGAAGGGTAGCCAGGGGTTGTTCTGCAAGAATGGTTAGCTCGACTAGACAAGTTCAAAAGTCAGGAATGGTGGAGATGCTCACGGATCGCCAGGGCGCGAACTGAGGAACTGGACGCTCCCGCGCTGTACGCTGCTGGGGTGACGAGCAGGGCCTTCTGGATAGGTAGCGTAGCCGTTTTCCTCGGTAATCTCGCCATCATCGCCGGGATCACTGTAGATGAGGACACCAACCATGCCGAGTTCCTGGGCACGCTTGACCTTGAGGCCTCTGAAGATGCCTCCGTACTTGGCAATGGCAATCTTTCCCTCGAGGTCAATGCCAGCCTCAACCAAATCTTCGAAATCTCGGTAGGTTCCGTAGTTGACGTAGACAAACGAGCCGGTGACGTTGCCGCTGGCAGAGTAGCCGTGGAACGTCGGAATCCTGTCCTTGGCAGCGGTAGTCGGGTCCTCTTCAAGAACATCTTCAGTCAGAGAGGCCTTGAACGCGATGTCCCAGGACTTGGCGTCGCTCGACTTTTCCAGCAAGGAGACGCTGTGGTCGACGGGATAGTTGATGTAGACATCATAGGCGACGATGCTGGACTGAATGCCCCATTCCTCCCACCTGTCCTTGGTCCATTCGGCCTAGAGTTCACTGGCGTTAGTATGCACAAAGTGGCTCTGCATATCCGGTACAGCTTCTCAACCTCTGGACTACCTAGTCTTGAACCCGAGTCCCTCTGAACCGCCTTGACGTACCTGTGAGTAGTTCTTTCCGGCAAGATGAGCTCCAGCCGTGTAATAGCGGCTCCATTCCTCAGCCTTTTCCGCAGAAGGTGTGTCGAGCAGGATGGCCTGCAGATCCTCGTGGCTAAGGTGCTTACCCCCGTGGCCGGGGTGTCCGTGGTGTCCGTGGTGGCCGTGGTGAGGATGACGGTGGCGATGTTCCTGTCCAGAGGGCCAGATGTACAGAGAATGCAGGGCAAAGGACGCGAAGCCACAGAGCAGCAGGCTGGCGCAGGCAATGTTGCAGAAGCGGCGAAGCGTGTGGTGACGATATCTCCTGCGCGGAGGCCCTACTCGCACTGTCTGGATCAACGGCGTCGACTCGTTGGCCATCTTCTCAGGCTCGGTCGCCGGCCTGTGTGTATGAGTCCACAGTGTTAGTGATGGATGTCTCGAATCTGACGGGCGTGCTTTTTTTTGCAGCCTCAGGGATACGAATAGCATCTGCTGGATCTGTGCTTGATTTGTTCAGTGTAGTCTCTGGGTGAGACGCGGGGCAGAGTTGCGATGCAGTTGGCCTTGATTCGCTTGTGTACGCCACATGATTGCAGACGGACGAACTGGGGGGTGTGACAAGGTGGCGAGGCAGATGATGGCGGGAGAGAAGAGAGCTAGAGGCGGCAGTTTATGGAGGGTGAACTTACACCTTGGCCATGTTTGGAGGCGCGAGATGGGCACAATTCAATCTGCGGTCCGAGGTGTAGGTGTGTGAACTGTCAGACGGAGGGCATTCAGAGGTCAAGAGATGAGAAAGAAGGAGAAGAGAAAAGAGGGGAGAGAGAGAGGAAAAGAGAGAGAAATAGCAAGGATTCGGCAGATCAGCCCCCGAGGCGCATCACTGCCGTTATCCTCTCTGAATTATTACAAAGCCATTCCCTCTCGTCTTCAGCGGCAAATAGACAACGCAGAATCAGGCATATCGCCGCGACGAACCCTGGATCGATGCTGGAGCAGTTTGCCTATCTTATCGGAGCTTGACGCAAAGGTTCCTGGCACAAGCACGCAACGACGTCACGCTATTACGACGCCTAGGTAAGGGATTTTGCCGGCCAACGGGTGGGGAGCTTGTTGTTTTCTTCCATGTAATTCCAACTGGGGATGGATATGTCTGTTCCTGTCGTGAAGCAAAAGAGAGACTCGAGAGAATTTGGTAGACTAATAAAGAGCCCAAGAATACCAGAGTATTACACGCAGACGGAAGTTTGATTCTTGTTGCCCATCGAGAGCAGCTCACATGGGGCGAACCACAGATACCGTCCCAATACGACTCCATCTGCTCCGAGCTCTGCATCGGGAAATGGCACGGACATACGGGGGTTATCAACATGGTTCCCGCCCTGTAAAAAAGATACAACGGCCTAACAAACAACACTGAACAAGCGGAGAGCTCCCATCAGGTATCTAGTGTGTACAGTAGTTCACATTCAGCCGTTCACCAACGAGTCCAGCAGCCAAGACAAACGTGCTCTTGTCCTCTCTTTATTCTCTCGGAATAATAAGTCACCCCCAGCAACTTGACTAGAGCCGACCCCTGTTCCGCAATCGCGAGCGTGGCAGGACTCAGCAGCCTCTTTCTCTCTTAGCTTCGTCGAGCCGAGCATAGCCAGCATCACGAATCCGGCCACCTCCACCTCCATCTCCATACCGGACCGGCGTGCCTCGATAGATTATTACACAGGAGCAGCGAATCGGTCGTGATTCACTAGGAGGAGACGCGGGGCAGCCTGCAAGATGCCTGCATAGAGGGAGCATGGGTCGTACCGGGGGGAGCCATCGTTGCCTGCGTTTTTGCCAGTCTCGTGCCTTTTGCCGCGCCTTTCGCCCTCCAAGGCCCGCAAAGAGTCGGTCTGCCTTGTCCCCTTCTCACCCATCCATCATCACCCAGCATCTAAGACATGGCGTCCACACCAAGCGCCGCGGCTACAGACGCCTTCTCCGCTGTCGGACGCATTCAGGTGTCATGGGACGGCATGTCCATACACAAGAGTGACAGACGGAGTGACAGCACCCGGCAGTGCTGATGCTGCGAAATCTTGATACTAGCTACATAGCTTGGGTGCGACGCTGTAGGGATCGGTGTCTGCGATGCAATGAATCACACTCGTGGTTGGCCGGCTCTGGATTGTACATATCCCCAGTCCAATCACGTCTCGACCTCGTCCGCTGCGGATGGATGCAGCTCGGCTCACCTGCATCACGGCACCGGAGCCGAACGCGAAGAGGGCCATCCATCGGGGGGGCCATGCCATGTAAGTCGCGGAGGCTTCGTTTCGTCCGCGCTTCACGTAGTACTGTGCAAATCATGATCCATGCATGCTTGGTGCCACAGAATGAACTCTGGCGGCAGCACAGGCAGGACAAGAACCTGAAGTAAGCAGAGAGGCATGACTATGACTGCATCTCTTCTGTGACCAAGTCTGAACCATCACCACCGTCACATCACGGCAAATCTATCCTTGGCCCTCATGAACCATCCACGGCCACCATCAACACATCCGTAGCGTTTCCGAACCAGCAGCTAGTGGCTCTCTCCGAAGCCGAAGCCCGTATCCAACCCTCCCCTCCCCCAGCCCGTTCCTGTTTCTCCAGCCCACCCACCACCCACCGCCTGTGCAGATGACTGACCCGGGTGGAGATTCTTGCCGTCCAGGGATGCTTGTTGTGTTGCTTTGACAAACTTTCTCGCCAGTGACTTTTTTCTCCGTCTCGACGACTCCAGCCTCTAACGCCCTCTTTCTTTTCCTCTCACCTACTTTCGCTTTATATGCTGCCTCTGCGGTGTTTCTGGGCCGTGGTCATTTCTCTATCTTTTTCTCTTTCTCCCAGCTTGATTGAGACTGTCGGATTTGTTTCTGTTCGAGTCATGCTCTACTGAGGCACGAGGGCACTCTCCCATCTCTAACCGGCCTCGATACGCCGGAACCTGATTACATGGACAGCTCTTGATCGCATCTTTCACCATTTCTGCTTCTCTTCGAAAAGCAATCCGCACGACAACAGAGCACAGCCGTGACAATGACGAAGAATACTTCCAAAGCGAAGCTCCCTGTGCAGCAACTGGCAATTCTAGGTAAGATGGGCTGAAGGGTGTTGAGATGCCGCACTGCTTAAACTCGCCGATCTGAGGCGCTTGTCCGCATGGCCGAGACGGAGCAGTGTTATTTCACACAGCGAGTTTTTTGTATGCCATGTGTTTTGGCACGCTCGTCTGATATCGTGTGTAACTGAACGTTGCCGTCTCAACTGTGTGCTTTCTCTTATCGAGAACTGGTTACATGAACCGTCTGCAGCTGTTCCGGCGAGGCGTTCAGACCGCGCTACATTGTCTCATATACCATGGTCGCAACCAACGAAGCAACAGATAAGAGCTCATCATGCTGACCATCTGAAATTCTAGCCGTTGCCAGATTCGCAGAGCCCCTGGCTTACACCTCCGTCTGGCCGTACCTCCCCGAGATGATCCGCGGCTTCGGCGTCAAGCGTGACCAGGTAGCAAAATGGGCCGGCGTCACGTCCTCCGTCTTCTCCGTCTGCCAGAGCATCACGGCCGTTCCCTGGGGCAGGGCGTCGGACAGATTTGGCAGAAAGCCGGTGCTCATCCTCGGGCTTCTCAGCACCATGATCTGCTTCATAGTATGGGGCATGTCAACGAGTCTGGCCATGGCCATTACCGTCAGAGCAATCATGGGCGGCGGCAACGGCAACGGTGAGTTGTTTCTCGGTTCCTAAACCCATCTACTTTTGAAGCTTTGATCCTCGAGTAGGAGCGCTGATGTGTATGGTTTCTGTGTTTCTTCGTCTCAGTTGGCATCATCAGAACCATGGTGGCTGAAATGGTAACTGAAAAGGAGCTGCAGCCAAGGGCCTTCTCCATTATGCCTCTCGTCTGGTCGCTTGGCTCCGTCGTGGGACCGGCTTTTGGAGGCTTCTTCGCCCAGCCGGCCAAGCAGTTCCCCAACGTCTTCGGCAACATCGAGCTCTTCAAGAAGTTCCCCTATCTGCTACCGAACCTCCTGGCCACCATATTCTTCCTCATCTCCGCCGCCAGCGCCACCTTCTTCCTGAGAGAAACGCTGGCCGACAAGAAGGAACACAAGGACTGGGGATTGCTGGTCGGAGAGCGTCTCACGCGGCTGTTCCGCCGGAAGCCGCAACTGATTTCTCAGCGCCGGAGGTCCTTTGTCGACGGCGAGGCCACCGCGCCCCTCGTCCCGAGCATCGTCGCGCCCAAGAAAGCCGCAACGCCAAAGAAGGAATCTACTGGCATGGCAGAAGTGTTTTCGTACCAGACGACAATCAATCTCATTTCGTACACCTTCTTGGCCTTTCACTCGGTGGCATACGACCAGAACATCACCGTTTTCTTGGACTATCCCGTCATCCCTCGGACCCCCGAGAACACAAAGTTCCCCTTTTACTTTACGGGCGGATTCGGCTTGTCCTCTGGAAACATTGGAACGCTCTTCACCATCTACGGCGTCACTTGTGGATTGATCCAGTTTCTCATTTATCCGCCATTGGTCAACCGCTACGGTGTTTTGAACTGCTTCAAAGTGGTCTGTAAGTTTTTCTCCACGCAAGCAAATGAATCCCCCCCCTCCTCTCTTCCCCTTCCCTTTTGCACCGAAATGCTGAAACCAGAAAATCGTAGCCATCCTGACGCCGTTCGTCTACTTCATCACCCCCTACACGTCCCTCCTCCCCACCCCCGCGACGCGCTTCGCCGCCATCCTCACCGTCATGATGCTCAAGGCCTTCGCCATCATCATCGCCTTCCCCTCGACGACCATTCTCCTGACCAACTCCGCCACCTCCCTCCGCATCCTCGGCACCCTCAACGGCTTCGCCACCATGTTTAGCGGCCTTGGGCGCGCCGCCGGCCCTGCCTCCACCGGATGGGCCTTTTCCTGGGGCGTCGAGCACGGGTACATCGTGTCGGCGTACTTCTTCCTCGGCATCGTCGCCGCCGTTGGCGCCGTTCCCGTGTTTATGATTGTGGAGGGCAGGGGCCCCACGGCGTCGGCTGACAGCAGCGACAGCGAGGACAACGACGAGATTGCCGTCATGCTGGAGGACGAGAGCCCTATAGACGACGATGGCTACGAGGAGGCCACTGATGACGACGAAGCTACTGCGGCATCTCCCCTGCTCGGTGCCAGTCGGCGCACCACTTACAGGACAAGTTCACCACAAAACTAAGGTAAAACTTGACAGAAATTTCCAGTTTTTATGATCATCAAGAGGGTTGTTTCACAAGATGCAAAACACTACGCCCACAATCGAGGCGTGCCAAGGCAAGAAGATAAAAAACAAGCAAGAGAAAAGAGGAGAGTGATCAACGTGGCAATCGATTTCTGGGGAAAAGGAGGGTGGTGAGGGGCGGCAAAGGATGGGAAGGATGATCTCCTCCCCAGAGGCCATATGGATCGGCCACAACAAACATACAAAATACATACACCAAAGTTATATTGGTGTGTGGCTGCTTGGATGATATATACACGTGTTCATGATCGACAGCATCTTTCGGTATCGGAATCTGGGCGTTGGAATAGGGAGAAAAAAAAATGATACTTCGTATATAGCACAAGAAGGAAATGGAGAAACACCTGATACATACTGTTGTTCAAGCAAATGATGACGGCAAAAAGCTGGAGTTGCCCAACAACAAAACTGAAGATAGATGAACTTCTATTCATCCAGCTCCAGACTCCAGTTCTTTCTCCCTTGCCAGCGCGTAGAAATGACGTTCCGCCACAATTCAAGGCAACGTAATAAGAGAGAGGCAGAAAAGTGACATGTCGGCCTCTCCCCTCTCTTCTCATGCAGGATTTGCCATGGGACTCTAATCATAAGGAGGAGCTGCATGCTCAAGAAACTAAGAATGCCCGGGAAATAACAACAGCACCTCCTTCACCAGCTGGCCCTTGTTTCGTTCTTTTCTCGTGCTCCTGTTTTTGGCTTGCTCCTCGGCGGGTATCTCACCGATTTTAACCGAGTCCGTTCAGTTCATCTTCATCTCGATCATTCACTAGAAAGCTTCAAGCAAGGAGTACATAGCAGTGAGAAATGTCAATAGACGGTAGCTATAGAACAAAGATTCCAAAGTCATAATCATACATTCATTCGCCAAAACACCTTGCTAAACATGTAATTCAGAAACAGCATCCAGCACTGTCCACATCATTACGTACTTCAAAAAAATATTATAACATATGGATGTAGAAAACAGGGAGAAAGAGGAAAAGACAATAACGCAAACACAATAAAAAATCCAAAGAAATCTATACATATCCAAAACAAGAAAGAAAAAAACAGAGATTTAATCGTTCACACCATTTTCTTATACAACAAAACGTCAAACAAATACACAAAACTCCCTTTTCTTCTGCCCAAATTCTACAATCATATCATGCTGTTTTTCTGGTCTTTCATGTCCCATCCAACAAAGGAAAAAGCTGTAATGTCTCTGTACGCGTGAGTACTTTGTACACGCCGGGTTGGATATCAAAGGAAAATATGTATGTCATGTCGAATAAAGGAAAACAAAAAACAGAGAGAAAACGAAAACACAGTCGAAACCAAACACTCGGGTTATCATAACGTCGTCAATGGTGGTATGAAAGGGCGGCATGGGCTGGGAAACCTTCCCTGTCATGCCATTCCCACTCATCGTAGTTGCTGGGATATCGTGTATAGGGCTGCGGCGCTTCAATGAGTCGATAGTCATGTTTCTCGGCGTGCTGCCACTCGGAGACGGGCCATGTCGTGGGAGGGTTGTGGATGTGGTTGTGGCTGTGACTGCTGCCACTGCCGCTGTAATAATAATGGTTCGAGTGGGCAAAATCGCCCTCTATGGAGGCTCGAACGGCGGTAGTAGTAGGAGGTCCGTCGTCGATGAAGCGCTCGAGATCGGCCTCCATGTCCCGCAGCCGAAGATGCTCTGCCCCAACCCAGTCATCGATGATCTCGGCAATCTGACGGAACCCCTCGGTGTGGCCACCTTGGTATCGAGCCTTGATGCCACACGTGATGAAGAGAAAGCTGTGGATCATCTCGTGCAAGAAGGTGGAGATGAGAAGCCGGCGGTTGTACTTTGTGTCCTTGAGGATGGGCGACGACAGCACAATGAGCGTCTCATAGCCGCCCAGACGAACACTCCGACGCAGGGCCGTAGTGCCGACAATGTGGCTCTCGTACTGCGCGCTGGCCGGGTGGCTCCAGTCCCAGGTAACCCTCTGCGTCAGCTTGTTGGCGAAGAAGAGCTCGTTGGCGGCCGAGAAGATGCTGCGGAGGGCGTCGTTGTCGAGGGGGAAGTCCGCCTCTCGCGACTTGGGGTTGATCAGGGCCTTGAGGATGCGGCCGTGCTGCGAGTCGCGGTGCTTCCATCGACAGTTGTTGGCCACATGGCGCCGCACCAGCCGAGCCGCGGCAAGATCACTCAGCAGCGGCTCGAGGTCACTGTCACGAGAGTCGACGGCGGACGTGTCGGACGAGATGGAGAGGCCCGACTGGGTGCGTTCCATCGGCGCCGGGGCATAGGACGGGGCGAGGGCGGGGAATCCGGGGCGGAGGTCCGGAGACGGGCCCTTGTGCGGAGGCGGCGTCGGCGGTGGAGAGGGCTCCCGCTCGCGGATGACGAGGAAGGCGAGGTTCTTGACGTGGATCGAGGCGGCATCGGCTTCGGCATCGGCGGCAGCAAGGCTCACATGGCCGGAACGCTCGTGCTCGCAGCCGGCCGCATGATGGCCCTTGCCGTAGAAGCCAATGACGCGCCCCCAGTCGTCCAGACGCGGCCTCTTGGTGATGCCGTAGCAGCCCGCCTCACTGCAGGCAGACGCGCTTCCATCTGCAAAGATCCTCCGCTTGCCATTGGATCCCAGAGCCTCGCCCTTGATGTAAGCCGCCACCTGACCTCGACTAGATGAGGCAGCGTCACCAAGCGGATTTCCCCCGCCAACCACCCAGAAGGCCATCGGGCAGCATATGCTCCAGAAGCACCAGTTCAGGCTGCCAGCAAGCGGGTAACGGGAGTTGAGTATTGGCTGGATGCGGTCAAAGCTGCGATACGTCTCCGCTGGACAGCCGGCGCGATGCAAGATCCTGCTGGGTCGTGTTAACCTTCTCTTTCCCTGTTTTCTCTTCTTTACCCTCTTTGACCCTCTCTTATGCTCTGGCGTGCTGGCTGGCTTCAAGCCGAAATGTGTTGGTTGGGCTCTGGTGGAATGCAGAGTATTATGTTGATGAGATGATGCCTATGAATTGACAAAACTTGGGCTGAATAGGTGGCACCGATTCCGGAGAATAGAGACCAGGCCAGCTCGGCGTCGGTGTGGGAACAACGACAAGGGAGAGAGATTGAGGGAGACGATGGATATGGATCAGGTACCTACCTCAAGTACAACCTGGATTCACCTCTCGGCTGCCATGAAGATATCGCCGAGAAAAGGCAGAAAAATAGAAAACGCCAAAAGCGCAAACTGAAAGCAAGAGGAGGGAAGAGAGAAGAGAGAGAGAACCGAAGAAAGAAGAAAGGATGGGAATCAACCCACGAACACTCTGCAATGCTGAGAAAGCGAGGGCGCAGGGGTAGAAGGAGAAAAAAAAAATGTGACAAGGAATCAATCGCCTCAGTGATGCAGCAAGCAGCAAAGGAATCCCGGGCTCTGTGTCGAGACGACTGCAGAAGGCTGCATGCCAAAGCCAGCCGGGGACGGACACGACTTGATCATCGCCTCGCTGGCTCTTTTTCTTATGCCAGCCAGCGTGGACAGGCGTGATATGCGGGTTTGTGCGTGTGCAGGTGCGCGTGCGTGTGCGTAACAGCTAATATGTGCGCATGGATGGGCTTCTGTGTGTGCGTGTGCGTGTGGCGTGGCGTGTGTATTTCGTCGTGCGTCGAGGGTGTAACGATACGAGCATGGGGACGGCTGGACGATTGGCAGAGGAGCGGCGTTGAGGTGGCTTGATATAAATTGAGGGCTTGGTCCCGACGAACGCGGATGATGCAACTGCTGCCTCTGCTTCTGCAGCTCGGGCGGGATTGATTGATTGTCGATGGTTGATGAAGGTGATTGATTGATTAACTGATTGATTGCTTGATCGATGGAGGCGTTGATGACGGACGGGAAATGGTGCATGTGGGAAGCGGAGGGGAGGGGTGCTGGAGATGGTTATGGTTATGGAGAGGAGGGAAAGAGGGCATGGGGGCGAGAGGCTCAGTTCCTACTACCTGACAGTTTTCATCTTGCCAGCATGGCGAAGCACTGACTGATCTTCTACAACTCATGTCTATATCATTCATTACGACCTACCCCGTACTTGACTCATCAGTTACTGCAAATCCATCCATCATGAATCCATTCAGTCAATGGTGGTTCCCTCTCTGTCCTCCTCCCCTCATACCTACTTGGCAGCCAGCATGCACCCCCACACTGGGACGATCAGTTGGGGCGGCCAAATCATCCGATCCAGGGCTGTGTCTGTGTCTGTCTGTCTGGCTGGCTGGCTGGCGGGCTGTGTGTTAGCTATTCTAGCTCACGATTCCACGGGGCCTCTCACCTCTTCATACAGGCACTCCCCAGTCTCCAATCCCATGCCTTGTGCTTCATCTTCATGCTTCATGCCTTCCAGTAAGTCCTACATGTTACTGTCCACTGACTGACGCCAAATCTCTCCGTGCAACTCTCCGCCGCCTCTCTTCATCCGTCCTCTCCATGATCCATCCACACATCGCCTCCTCGTCCCCCGTCTCCCACAAAGCATCATCCTCTCTCGTGGATGCTCTCCCGCCGCCCTCGCCGATACTCACCGGATAGCAGCCCGTCTGCCCCTCCTCCCCTCCTCTGTCCTGATCCTTGCATCTCTCAGTCCCTCTCGAATATCCCCCGTCCAAGAAGGGCCCGCTGCTGGCACATTCCACGCCCTGTGGACAGCCGCCATTGGACCGTCCCCAGCGGTGTATGCAGCATGCAGCATGCAACCAGGCATGCGCCCAGGGCCGCTTAGCGGGTTCCAGGCTCTGTGTGCGGCGACTTCTGAGGAACAGCTCAGCGACCCTTTTTTCTTGTCTCCCGTCGTTTTCAAGCGCAGTCGAGAGGAAACAAGAGACAAGAGGGACAGGGCTTTTCTGGAGGGCGCTGCCGTGGGTCTGCGGGATCCGGAATCCGGATGCTTGGCGGCATCTTGCGAGTTGTCTCGATGTTACCAAGCCTTGGGGTGAGTGACGAGTAGCACATCTCGAGGCTTCATGCGAGGACATGAGGCGCTGCAACAGTTTCCTCGTCTCTTGCTGTCGCCTGAAGCACCTAGTCTACTCGGTTAGCAGTATATGCTTCTACAGTAGCTTGGCCAGGTCTGGCCATCCAGAAGCCCATGACCGCTGCTGATCGTGCTGTTTTAGTGCCTACCAAGTCAGTTGACCGGTGAAGAATTCTGGAGACGGTGGTGAGGCGGACGAGACGAGACGAGACGAGCACCGAGCCGCGTCTCCCTGCTTCCGCCTTCCCAGCAGCACCAACACCAACACCGACAAGACCAACGCTTCCCGGCCTCTCTCCTGCACGAGCACTGACGAGCAGCACAACGACGCACATACATGGAAGCACATCAATGCGCCTCTCCCCAATTCCACCCAGCAAGAAACGCCACTACGAGCCGCTGGTCCTGTCTAGCGCCTCTCCCTTCTGCACAATGGTGGAGGGGGCGGCTGCAGCAGCGCGCTGGCAGAGAGATCCTTGCTCGTGCTGTTGCGACTCTGCACTTTGGATCGTCTTCCGTCTTGCCTGTCAGTTTTCCCTTTTACCTTTGCCTCGCTTCTTCTACACTGCACGGAAAGTCTCTTCCCTCTGTACTGATACTCCTCTGTGGCCTATAGCAGCATGTAACCTCTGACATACGAAGAGCCGCTACATGTATGTACTACATACTTAGTACTACTACTACCAACTCCGTAGCCGTAACCTCGCCTGGGGCTTGCAAGCCTCCAGCATCTGCATCCGACCATGCAGCTTCTTCTCGTCTGGCTCGGTCTCGCAGAATGCCGGCACTCGACGCCAGGCTACCGATGCAAGAAGGCCTCGGGTCTCGTGTCAGATGACCGACTCTGGACGCCAAAATCTAACATCATCCTTGAGTGTTCTTCAGCTACGACTACTCGCTGTATACCGCAAGTTCAGCTCTCCTCGCTCTGCTCTGCTGCGCGAGGTATCCCCTCTCCATACTCGTGTCCCATCCCCATCTCTCTCTCTCTCTTCTCACATTGGTGTAACGAAAGGCTATGTACATGCACATAAGGTAGTTAGAAACGCAACAACTACCGCCATCGAAGCAAATCAGCTTCCACAGCAAGTTGCGTCCAGCCACACAGGCACCGCCATTCCCTCTCGTGCCGTCTCTTCTCCAGACCGATTTGTCCAAAAATTTCAATACAGAAGAAAAACGTCGTCATTAGACATGAGGCTTGCATCTAACAAGTCCAAGTAGCAAGCAGAAGTCTTCCCACCTCTGCCCCAATGATTGGCTGCCTTGCTGTCCGTCTCCCCCCCTGGCTCGCCCACTCACCCATTCACACATGCCATTTGGCTGAGGGCACTTGGGCACATCACAGCTTCTATGAACCTTGTAAAAAATGTTCTGAAACCAAAAGGTGACATCAACGCCTTTGCTACGATACCAGGATCAAAAAGAGATAGACAACAAGACAAGGTAGCCCGGCTCGCCCCAACAACAAATGCTTGCTTGCGGTGAAGCCGTCCACGGGTGAGAAAAGAAGAAGATAGACGCCAGCATGGTGATACAACATGTTCTTCGTGCATATGTACGCACACACATACAACCATACATACCTACATACATACATGTGCAAGGGATGAGTGAGGGTGAGAGAGAGAGACGCAGAGAACCTCAACATTTATTATTCCCCCGGTTCTTCGCCAGAATCCTTTCGCTTGTTGGTGCAATGCAAGGGAAAAAAAAACTTGCCGCGTGCTTTTTCTGCCTTATTGGCTCGCTCCCTCTTTCTTCGCCTCTTGCTTCTGCCGCCACCTGGGAACTCATTGGTTCGGCTCTGCAGTGCAAGTTGAGCAGATTCCATTTGTCCTATCACTATCGACACCATGTTTTCAACCACACTCACATCTGGAGTACGAATCACAGCCGTTGATGGTAGAACAACAACAGGCTCATGTAATGTACGGGAGTAGCGCTGCAGTAGACTTCATGCTCAACGACGGTCTGGACTGCTATTAGTTCCAGCATTGTTACCACAGGTCATTTGATCGCCCGCTTCTTATGATTAATTAAAGCTGCTCGCTGGCCATGAACATTATGTAAAGCTGCTCTTCTACTGGGGACTACTTTGTAAGTAGGTGATCAATCTCTTCCCTTATTTTCGCCGGGGCGGGTGGCCAGGTGTCGTGATGGCTCCCCCCCCCAGTCTTGCATGTCCGATGTTCCCCCCCTCTTCCCTCCAAGAGCAATGATGTATCGCATCCAACACACACGATCTTGATACGCTTATGCAGAAAAAAAAAAGACACACAGCCAATATACAAGTAAATCCTCCCTTTTATTCGCCGAGCACTCCGTGTCCAAACGTCTGCATGAAACGAACCTCGTCCGCCTGTCGCTCCAGAGCCTCGCGCATCCGTTCTGCAACTCGCCTCCTCTCTTCTTCCTCTGCCTCTGCAGCAGGATCAGGCTCGTCCTCCTCAAAGTCCTTGGACTGATAGAGCGGCGTCGGAGTGAAGCTGACGAGCCCCAGCCTCTCGCCTGTCCAGAACAAGATGTTATCGTCATTGGGCCGATCCGGACCCTCCCTCGACTTGGTGGACACGATTTTCCGTGCCAGCTCGCCTGCCGCGCTCATGGAGGCGAAGAGCGATGGGGCGTCGTCTCCCTCACAGTGGCCAATCCTCAGCCGGCGACATTCGGTCAAGCCGTCCCTCTCAAACCACTTGATGGAGCCAGCTCCATCGGAGAAGACAATCTTGGTGCCGTGATTGGCCACCGAGAGGATCGCGGCTGACGCTGCAGTTTGCCTGTTCTTCATGGTGGAAGTCTGCATCATCTCGCGTCCGACCGGGTCCGCAGCGGTCTGGCTGAGGCCGAAGATCTCCAGGGAACCCTTAGACTTGTATGTCCCCCCTGCGATGAGTGTCCAGCCCTCGCCGGATGCCTTGGACCGGACGACCTGCTCCGTGCTCAGCTCTCCGTGCCGCCGCACTTCGCTGTCAAGTGACGAGAACGGGTGAGGCATCGCCGCCAAGCTGTTGATCGTAGCCCCCGAATAGATTGAATCCATAATGACGGGGAACTTGCGTCGATCGTAGTGCAGGATGTTGGAGAATCGGCCAGCCACGTAGATGTCATTCGACACCAGATCCGGAGATCCCCGTAGAGGCAGATGTATGATGCTGACAGGGGTCGGCTGTGACAGAGACGCGTACGGGAGCAGCGGTGTCGGGTCAAAGATGGATTTGAAAATGTCATTTTGATCCACTCGCTCGACGGCCGTATGTGTCGCTCGGTTTTTTGCACGAAAGTCGTGTAGATGGATTCCCAGAGACGTTCCCACCGTCAGAGGAACGTCGTTCTGGATCTTTGAGAGGGCTGTGATGGACCATTCGAAGGATTCGCGGCTCACGACTTCCAGCCGTTCGAGGTCGATTTCGATCAAGTCTGCGGCTATCCGTCAGTATCTGGCTGGGGATGCTTAGTGTGGAGGGGAGGTTGGTATGGATACTCACGGCTTTGCACAGCAAAATATGCACGATGCCTTTGGTTGTCAACGCTGACGCATTCTGTAACCCCCGTGTCAACCCTCTTAGAGCGTCGAGTGTTTTGGCTGCCCGGGCCATCGATGAAGAGGACGTCAGATTTGCTGGTGGCGAGAAGGGATCCGGCCTTGCCTCGTGTTCCTTTGACGTCCCAGAGGCATACCGAGCCATCGTCGAGCGGCGACACCGCAAGCATAGCGCCTGTGCCATCGTTTCCGTCGTATGGATAATAGAGCTCCAGTCCCCGAGCCTCCATCATGGCCTCGTAGCCTCGGTCGCGGATTCGAGGCGTCTGCAGCCAGTTGACGCAAGTCGGTCCATTGCGTTGGATGTACTCGCTGTACCAAGAGACACGCTCGTTGGGAAACGTCGGGTCCCAGTTGGCCATGTCCTGGATCTCCTGCCATCGCTGATACCTCCGCCGCGTCTTACCCGGCTCCGCCCTGCCCTTCCCTACCTCTCGAGCGGTCTTGTTGCCGTCGCCGCTGGTGTTGCCATTGGCCTCGGGGCTCGCCAACGCCGCTCCATCTCGATGTTCGCCTTCGAATTCGCTGGACAATCGACGACGATTCTTTAGGTATTGGTACCAGGGCGACTCTTCGAAGCAGCGGCGTTTCCACAGTTCGTCGTCGAGGCAGAGCTTCTGCAGCTTTCGCGAGACCAGCTGCAGCCTGGTGATGTGCAAGGGGTCGAGATCTGATGGCGACAGAGATTGAGTTAGTGAGCACAGGCCTCATCTTGTTTGCTCCTCCGTCCACGGAGATGAACGACATATAGTGGAGGCACGGGTACGAGTGGATCTTCTTACAGCTAAGGATCTGGAGCGCAATCTCATCTGGGAGCTCGTCCCAGCGCGAGGACCGACCGGACGAAGCCATGTCGAGAGCTTCTGAAGCCGGCCTCAATGCTGCTTTGACGGTGGTGAGGGGAAGAATCAGAAAGAATCACCCTGCGGCGAGATGGACTTCTCTCGATCCCGCTGATGGAGTCGACGCGGGAGGGAGGAGACGGCAAAGAGGTCCGGCCCAAAGATGTCTCGAGCGTGATTTAAACAGGGACCTGCCCGTGGCCTCGCCGCTAGTGTAAGAGAGTGACAAACTCCCCCAGTTGCTTCTGCTCCGTAAAATATCGCGTAAGACCAGTCCTGCAAACCAGTGGCAAGGATCCGGTTCCGTCCCTCGGGTGCCGAGTTAGCAGCGGGCTTGATTGGGGGAACATTTACCCCATCAAGCATGGAAAAGCCTTGTTGGCCACAGCAGGCTTGGGAGCTGATTGGCCGGCGCAACGGATAAGGTAAAGGGGCTCCATGTTCTTTAGCCCGAGCAGGACGTTGTGCTAGCATCGACGAACCGCTGCACTAGCATCGGATCCCAGCCCAAGCCATCTCAGGTCCATCGGCCCAATGGCAGCACACCAGCCGACGACAATCCAGCAGTGGCGGCAGTATTATGGGAGCAAGAAGACGTGAATGTACCTTATTTGGACAGTGATGACGCTTGACGCTCTTGAAAGAAAGGAGAGCCTCGTCCACAGGAAGAAGCCTCCCTTTGAAAAATCACGATCCCTTGTTCAACCAGACGTGCTTCCACTACGGCCATTGCGTTTGCCAGGCAATTCTCTCAGCATGGCAACGGCAATGGTGCTTCTACGACATAGCAGACTCGGTCATATGGTCTGTGTGCCAGGCTTGGCCGTTTCTCCTCTGCCAGGCTGAGTCAACTGGCCAACACCCCCATACCAACCAGCGGCCGCGCTTCTGCTCCACCCGAGTTGGCATCGTCGTCATCTTCACGATAGCCTCATTGAGTTTCGATAGTTGCTTGCAAACATAGCTCTGTAGATTACAGAGCATGAAGTAGTGTCAAAGGGGGGGCAAGTGCAGCTATAGGACACGAATACTATACCCATAGTTCCATCTCGGAAGCAATTCACGAACTACTATTTTGCAGAATATATATCTACTAGATCATGGTGGGCAGCGAGAAAGACGCGTAGCGTGCTGGAAATTCAGACGAATGAATCATCCAGAGCAGAGCACCAGTAGCATTGGACGTGTCTGGCTGTAAACAAATGGAAGCAACCTGATAGGGGGAGGCAGACGTGTTAGGGCTTTTGCCTGAATTTCGGCCTTGCCCACAACTCTCCCACCTCCTCTGCCAGCTGGCGGTCTCGCAGTCATCTCCTTCCTCCCCATCAACCTCAGGCACCAGCAACTCCTCCTTTCTCCTCCACCCACAGATCAACCAAGCCAATTCACCAATCGTCGCGCACAAGACACGCTGCTCGTGTTGATATTCCTCATCGCAAGACGCGTGCACGTGTTAGGCACGCTTCTTTCCTCTTTCAATTCCTAGCCTGGACTTGAAGTCTCTATTACATCTCTTCTCCTCCATCATCTTCCATCATCATCATCATCATTACCACGACTCCTCAGAGATCAGCAACCCCCTCAAGCATCATCAAGCATCCTACGCAACGCCGAATTATCAAGAACTTCTATCAGAGTCATCAGTAACTCTCCGTCTTTTCCTCCTTCTCGCTTCAGAGAAGCCGTACAACTTGCGAGCTGCTTGCCGCCAAGTCTTCCCTCTTCTCGGAGACAAGACAACTCCATCTAAGCCATCAGCTTCGCACAAGCAATCATCAAGTTCGGGGCAAAAGCCATCAAGCAAAGACCCCAAAAGTATCCGGATCATCAGATAGCCCACTATGCCTCACTTTGATCAGGTTCGCTCCCTCCCTGGCTACTCCTATCGTTGTCGACAATGCTAATCTCAAACAGACACCCCATGGATGGAATCCACCGGTGAAGATTACTCTTCCCACTGCTTATGAGCAATACAAGGCGCGCAATCGAACCGTCGAGGATCCATTCGCTGCGTGTGCCAGGAATGACATTCCTCCTCCGGGTGTCTCCCCCTATGATGACAACGGCACCCAGCAGTCCTATGCTTCGGCCCATCCATCCCTCTCCAAATGGAGCACGGGACGCAATCTTACCCCTTCCAAGCATCTCAAGCTTGACCGCGATGAAGGACGGTCGGACTGGGAGACTATTGTCGGTGACGACGAAGGCGACAGTCGCTTGACCTGCCCACCGGCACCTCAGGTGACACTGAAGAGTTTGGGCATCATACCCAACAACTCAGAAAGCATTCTTGCCGACCAGAATGGCGACGGCATCAATGAGCACAACGATGGAACTGGAGATGATGCCCATGATCTCAAACGCAAAGGCGAGGAAGCAGCACCGTTCGCGCGGCCTGGAACCCCTTTTGACGCATTCGGCTTCTCCAAGAGCCCCGAGGGGCTCGAACCACGCTCTCTTGCCATGGAGGCGAGCTACACCCCATCGCCTGCCTACTGCGGACATACTGGCTTCGTCAGGCAGCCTGTCCATGGAGGCCTCGGCGGAGGTCTTTCTCGCCCCAAGGCTTCCAAGGCCTCAAGCGACGAGAGCACCGATCTCTTCAAGTATGATGGAGAAGCTTATTCCACCTTTCTACACCGCTCAACTACGCGGGAAATTGCAAAGGGCCGTCCCGCAGCCTCTTACGAAGGTGACCGCCTCATCGTGAAAAAGACTCGAGGGGAAGAAGAAGACAACACGCACAAGAACAAGAGTGCCTTCTACAATCCCACCGCCGTTCGGTCGACCTAGAAGGTCAACGACGAGGTGCGAATTCCCGTTGACAGGGGCCTAAAAACTCTTTACGAGCCAACCCCCGAGCAGAGCCCAGAGCCTGCCGTTGAGGAGGAGGAAGAAGAAGAGTGCTGGCCACGAGTCGGTGGCAATGACGCTGCAGCAGAAGCTGATTGGCAGACTGTCACTACCGGACCTGTCTGCAAGGGTCTCAACACATCGGAGCTCAACTTGATCAAGGATACCGGCAGCAGCCTGGCCGACGTCTCCGACATTGTAGAGGAAGAGCTCACTCCAGTTGAATACCGCAGAGCCGCCGGCGCAATCTCTCACCAGCGAAACCAGTCTATCCACCGTCCCAAGGGCTTCTACGCGGAGGGCTTTGCACAGCCCATTACTCGCATGAACAACAACAATCATGCTTCCACCGTCGACCATCGTCCCCAGAATGCCTTTGGCGAGACTGCTCGGGCCGCCGTCCCACGAGTGGTGAATCCCTTCCAGACTCCCCCCAGCTGGAAGAGTACCGGCAGAGTTGTCGAGCTGGACGACAGCCCTGAGCAATGCACGTGCAAGGGCAAGGGCAAGGCGGTAGATGTGAATGTCGATATCAAGACACGAGCAGATGCTCCCCCCCTGACACGGACTGAGTCCACCGAGACCGTTTGGCCCCAGGTCCCTCGTCGTGACGAGACTGTCAACGACTTTGACCAGGCTTTCTGCGAAACTCGCGTTGGCGATACGACTCTACCGAGCGATGATTCTGCAAACGTCTTCTCCCGTCTGCCCTTCAGCTTGATCGATCTCAAAGAAGCTGCAAAGACACATGGCTCTCAGCGGTACCGCAGCACGGACGAAGCCAATACTTTCGCTCAGAGAGCGAGACTTGGACCTCTCTGGTCTGGCAGCCCTACCGAAGCTGGCCCATCCTCTGGTGCCTATCGCTTTGGTGGTTCTGATAATCCTCCTCTGGAGCGCCCCTCTACCGCAGTGTTTCGTGATCAGATCACTCGTGGACGTCCCACTCGTAAGTTGCTCTCCATAATGAATGGAAGATCAGCTCAATGGCATGGCTAACGCTCGACGTCTTAGATCAGTTTGACAGCATCGAGGACAGCACGCCGAGCCCGTCGTCGGCTATTCTGGGATCCCTGAGATCCAAGGTGAACCTGGGCTCCGCCAAGAAGAAGGAAAAGCCTGCCTGCAGCCTTGACCCTTTCAAAGCCGCAGCGGCCTTGGGAGCCAAATGTCTCCGAATCAAGGCTCCTGCCAAAAAGAAGGACCAATGGCCTACCGCGAGGAACCAGACCGGAGGCGTTCTCACTCCCTCTGAGGCTGAGTTGATCGAATCCGCCCGAGGAGAGATCATGGACCGTCGCCGATGCCCTGAGAAATTGGAAAAGAAGCGCACACTAGTCTTCATTCTCATCATGGCGTCTTCCATCGTCTTCCCATTCATTGGCTTCATTGCACTGATTCACAAATTCGACTCGACGGTTGCCTGGTTCACCTATGGAGAGATCAAAGATTTCACCAAGGAACAGCGCGGCATGCTCCTCCAGCAACTCCTCGTCGAGCTCTTCGTTTACTCGATTGTCATAATCTTTGTGGCCCTCCACACCTCGCACCGCATCTAACAACGGCATGACTATGACGCTTTGGTTCCTTTGCCTCTCTTTACAAGTCGCACTACGAACATGCAGACGACAATGCCATGTTCTATCTTTTTACTTCAAAACGCATCTCACAGCAGAGGCGATGACGACGTCGTGGGTGTTCCCGTTCAATTTCGGATCGTATTTCACAGCAGACATGATGACCATCTGGAGCTTGTTCGTTTTCAGGCGATATTTGACAGGGGACATGGTCGTCTTGCGCTTCTTCTACTTCTTTTCTTCCAGATGGCATCTTTCGGCATTCTAGATGATCCATCTCTTGTCTGGTCTCTGCAGACGGCATCTTTGCGGCAAACATGACGGCATTTTGCGGTTGGTCTTCTATTTTCGGCGGCTCCTTGCGTCGGCGGCTCCTTGCGACAGACGCGATAATTTGCATCGACCGCTGTTCACTTGACAGACGCCATCTACGGCAGAGAATTCATTCTAATCGGGTCGTTCTGGCTGTTGTCAGACGACGTTCCGAAGCGAGCATGATGGCATCTTGCGATTGGTCCTTATAGCAGATGATATCGCACAACGAGGAAGATACTCGTCTTGCGCCTGGTCATTTAATTTTCTTTTCCATTTGTTCCCTCTTTGTCTTCCTTTTCTCCGCGGTTTCGGTTTCGGTTTCGGTTTTCAGGGAAATCATCTTTCTTCTTGCTTCCTTTCTAGGCTAAGAGGGATCTCGCTTTTTATATATGGGTGCTGAATTGGAGGATGAACATTTGAGGAATCGGATCGGGTCATAGTGGACGAGATAAGGGGAATCTCCAGGAACCAAACGTTTAGTCATTGTCGTTATGTAGGTAGTGGAACCAAATCGAGGCACTTGCAAAAAGTTGACCACTGCCTGTAGGCGTACATACGACCCAAGTGGTTCGTAATACGCATACGGCATAAGAGTCGTGAAAGAGGTGTAACATGAAAGAGATGTAGTCATGACAACTTGATTGCTTTATTGCGTGTCTAAAGCTCAGCCCAAACGTCCAGATCCCCGCCATCATAGCCCATGTCTCTCAAGACTTTTAAGTAGTATAGACATCAAGCTCGGGACCTTGCTCTCGCCATTGGCTCTTTCACCAGGCCATCAAGAAACTTGGCCCTCTATTTCTGGCTGCCATCCCCAGACTGAGTGGTGGAGTACTCGTAGCCGCTGGGCGAGGTGTAGGTGGAGCTTCCGGCCCCATCGTTGTAGTAAGTGCTGCCATTGGGGTTGGAGTAGTAGTAAGAGCCGTCCCTGAAAACTGGCCGTTAGAGGAGATGCCGGTGATGCTCGCGCATGGTGGCTACGGTACAGGTGGGTAGAACTTACGAGTTGGAGTAGTGGTACAAGTTGGAGTTGGAAGCATCGCTGCCGTAGTCACGGGCGCAGTAGTGGTTACCCTTGGGAGAGAGCCGGTCAACTCAAGGCCATGACATTTTCCCAAGGGTCTGGCGTGTCTGGAGACGGGGGGGCTTACCTGGTCGTTGGTGCCGGAGCTCTTGTACGTGTAGTCAGGCATGTTGGAAGTATGTAGTTTGGGGGTTGGCAGATGGAGTTTGTTCTTGTGGATGAGCTTTGGTTTGTGGATGGAGACTATGCAGAAGTGTGAAAGAGAGAGAAGAGTAGTAGTAGCAAGAAAATGCGAAGCTTATGACCTTGGAGCTACTGGGCGGCCTACGGGAGGTCGACTGGACTAGGCTCAAAACAAAAGCAATGCTCCCTGCCTTGACAGCTGTTGTGCTGCTGCTCCGTGTGCCAAGGTTCCATATTGTTGGCTCCGGCAGAGGAAAGAACACTGTATTGAAGCGAGCGCTTTGGCCGCGGAAGGCGGGGTTCGCTGCGTTCAATATCACCTACCGACAACTACAAGGTAAGGTAGCTACGAAATACAGAGAACAATCTGAGGTAATGCCGGGGCGTCACAATCGAGGGGGAGAGAGAAGGGAGTTTCGGCTTTCGCGCTGATTGAGCCAATGGCTTTGTTTTGTCTAGTAAACTCAATCGATTTCCGGCGTCAATCTTGACAGCTGCTTGGTTGACTTCATGTTGTTATCGGGGCTGTCTCGCCGTGTTGACGCCAGGAAGCCACTTTGTTGTTTTCGGCGATTCAGCGGCATTGGTCGCGGGTGGGCTGAGATGCTCAAGCCGTGGCCTAGAAACTCGAACACGGAGAGACTTGAACGATTTGAAGTTGTATGACAAAGACAGGTTGATGAATAATACCAAGGCCAAGCAACTTTGTCCGCGTTCTACCACTTTTGCAGGGCCACCTATCAAGGTTATCGGATGGAAACAGCCTCAGAAGCAGCATGAATGTTCGTTGGCGTCTTCCATGTTCGCCCTCTTGGTTAGCATGATGTCACGCCAGCAAGCTGGATGCGCACTCGGCCCCTCCAAGGCCCCATAATTGGTTGCAGCATGGGAAACTTTGAGCGCGATGTTACTAATCGACTCGCCTGGGAGACTCCTTTTCGAGGACAAGACTCGAATCAATGAGTTGTGCAATCTATACGATCGAATAGCTATATATAGCCAGTGTCTGCTGTGGCTCTAGATGGTGGAAGATTTGAGATAGATTCAATAAAGACAACCTACAAACGTGTTGCAATATACCCCATACTTTACGATCACACTCATACCCTGTACAATCACAAGCAGCAATCCATCACCATGGCTCCCAAGGTCTTTGTGTATGTATTTCCCCCGCATCAAAAGCTCTCTCGTGTATGGAATAACGCTAACTTAGGCGGGTTCATAGGACTGGCGTTACTGGTAATTGGACCTTATACAACTCGACAGCATGAACGTTTCGAGAACTAACAACTCTCAGGCTACATCGGAGGCACGGCCTTTGACAAAATCTACAGAGCCCATCCCGACAATGAGTACACGATCCTTGTCCGCAACGAAGCACGAGCCGAAATCGTAAAGGCCAAATACCCATCTGTCAAGTTTGTCTACGGTGGTCTTGACGACGTCGATGTCATTGAGCAAGCTGCTGCCGAAGCAGACGTTGTCATTCGTAAGTCACCTCAACAGAAGATAAAACAACAAGTAAAACACTTGCCAAGGATCTTAAGCTGACACTGCAACACAGACACCGCAGACTCAGCCGACCATGCCCCCAGTGCCGCGGCCATTGCCAGGGGCTTGGAAAAGGGCCACACGCCCGAGAAGCCCGGGTACTGGATTCACCTCTCCGGCACAGGCATCTTGACCTGGTACGACCTCGTCAACGGCAGAGAGGGCGAACCTCCGCTGCCCGCAGAGAAATACCACGACATCGACGACATCGACCGCATCCTGAACCTCGACGACCGCGCCCCCCACAGAGACGTCGACAAGATTGTCCAAGCTGCCGCTTCGGACTCTGTCAAGCCTGCCATCATCTGCCCGCCTCTCATCTTTGGCCAGGGCTCTGGTCCCGGCAACACGGAGACCATCCAGATCCCTACCCTCGTCGAGATGACTTTGCGGTCAGGCTTCGCGCCCGTCGTCGGCCAGGGCAAGAACGAGTGGGACTACGTACACGTTGACGACGTTGGCGAGATGTTCCTGAAGCTGTTCGAGGCCACGCAAGATCCTTCAAAGAGGAGCAACCCCGAGATATTTGGCCGCCATGGCTACTTTTACGGACCAAAGGGCGTCCTCAACTTTGAAGTGATTGCGGAGCGGGTCGTCGAGGAGATCAAGAAGCAGGGCTTCTTGAAGGATGTGACAATCAAGCACGTCAGTCTGGCCGAGCAGAAGCAGCTCAAGGGCTATGTCCCTGTTGCGGATTCGCTGGGTCAAAACTCCAAGTCGGTGTCTCAGAGGTTCAAGAAATACTTTGACTGGGAACCCAAGGTGGATGCCTCCGTGGAGGACGATGTTGCCAATGTTGTCCGGAATAAGGCAAAGAGCCTTGGGCTGTAAGAAGATCTTCGATGGTTCGGTTGTTTAGAGGGGAGCAAGGCGTGCTGTAAGACGGCGAGAGAAGCTGTTCCTGTTAACACGCATGTGTAGCAACACTGTGATATATGAGCACCTATGTTTTGAGTCTGTATGACATTGCCTTGTACCTATTTAGTCTGAATAAGATGTTTCGACAAGACATGCCAAGATTGCTTCTGTAGATGATGTTGTTGCCAAAGTGGTCCGTCAGAAGACAAAAAGAAAACCTCGGCTATAGAGAAACTCGGATGTTTTGACTCCATGTTGAGAAGAGTGTGGCTGTTGGTTGTTGCTAGATAGGTAGGACATGTATCTACACAGCACGCGTCACTGTACTCACTGCACTTAACAACTCGGCACAGTCCGTTCAGAATCACTCTACAGCACGAATCGTAGGACCAAAGCCAACAGCACCAACTGGTGACCCCCGCAACAATCTCAATCGGCAAGCAGAGAGAGAGAGACAGAGGAGAAAATGTCGCCTCGTGGATAGACCTGCGATATTCCTGCCCTCTCATTGGCTGCTAAATCACCACTTTAACTGGAGGCTCAACCTCTCAGAGGCGCGAAAAGAAAATTTCACCCAAAGGGCTTGTCCCGGAATGGCCTAGCGCGCTAAGGGACCATCCAAGCACGGCAAGAAAAATCTTATCGCTTGGCCCCACCCCTGCAGCACACTGGCGAGAAAAAGAGCGGCAGGCGGGAATGGCGAAAAAGGGAAAAAAAAAAAAAAAAAGTTCGCCAGTGCAAAAATTTGTAGTGGGAGGGTATTTCTTTGCAGACCAACCCCACGTTTGCTCTCTTTTTCTTCCCTCTCCTCCAACCCATTTTCCATCATCTCTTCTCATCTGATTCCTTCACACAAGTTTGAAGGTTTCTTTTTTTCTTCTTCCTCTAATTCTTCATACCCCTTCCTAAAAAAAAAATGGCGGACGAGGTTTACGACGGTGCCGTCGGCATCGATCTGGGTAAGTTGCTGCCACACAAAAATCTTTTCTGCGTCTTGGAGATGCCCCTCACCTGGGCGTTGATGGCCAACCCGACGGGCGACATTGCGAGACGAGCAGGAGGAAATCATTTGTTTCTTCAGCTCTCCTCTCCATTGCAGTCTTCAATCAACAGTCTTCAACCTCGAGACACTCGAGACTGACCTCAATCCTTCCCACAGGTACCACCTACTCTTGCGTTGCCACCTACGAGGGTAACAATGTCGAGATCATTGCCAACGAGCAGGGTTCCTTCACCACCCCCTCCTTCGTTTCCTTCACGGACAAGGAGCGTCTCATTGGTGAGGCCGCCAAGAACAACGCCGCCATGAACCCCAGAAACACCGTCTTCGATGCCAAGTGAGTATTCAGTCTTTGCCATTTGCGCCTCTGTTCTTGGGGCTGCGGAAAAAAATTCGGTTGCTGACAAAATTTTCACCTCTAGGCGTCTGATCGGCCGCCGCTTCGACGACCCCACCGTCAAGAAGGACATCGAGTCCTGGCCCTTCAAGGTCGTTGACGACAACGGCACCCCCAAGATCGAGGTCGAGTACCTCGGCGAGAAGAAGACCTTCTCTGCCCAGGAGATCTCCTCCATGGTCCTCCTCAAGGTACGTCGCTCTGCGGCCCGGCCAGTTGACATGGCTGGGGCGAGAAAAACCCTGCTGTAGCACATGTGCTAACGAGAATTCAAACTACAGATGAAGGAGATTGCCGAGACCAAGCTTGGCAAGAAGGTTGAGAAGGCTGTCATCACCGTCCCTGCCTACTTCAACGACAACCAGCGTCAGGCTACCAAGGATGCTGGTGCCATTGCTGGCCTCAACGTCCTCCGTATCATCAACGAGCCTACTGCTGCCGCCATCGCCTACGGTCTTGGTGCTGGTAAGACTGACAAGGAGCGCAACGTCCTGATCTACGATCTGGGTGGTGGTACCTTCGATGTCTCCCTCCTGAACATCCTGGTGACACCCACTTGGGTGGCCAGGACTTCGACACCAACCTGCTCGACCACTGCAAGAAGGAGTTCACCCGCAAGACCAAGAAGGACCCCAGCAACGACCCCCGTGCTCTGCGAAGACTCCGCACTGCTTGCGAGCGTGCCAAGCGTACCCTCTCCAGCGGTGCCCAGGCCACCATTGAGATTGACTCTCTCTTCGAGGGTGAGGACTTCACCATGACCATCACCCGTGCTCGTTTCGAGGAGCTCAACGCCAAGGCCTTCGCCGGCACCCTTGAGCCTGTTGCCCAGGTCCTCAAGGACGCCGCCATCGAGAAGAGCGCCGTTGACGAGATTGTCCTCGTCGGTGGTTCCACCCGTATCCCCAAGATCCAGAAGCTTCTGTCCGAGTTCTTCGACGGCAAGAAGCTCGAGAAGAGCATCAACCCCGATGAGGCTGTCGCCTACGGTGCTGCCGTTCAGGCCGGTATCCTCTCCGGAAAGGCCACCTCCGCCGAGACTGCCGACCTCCTGCTTCTTGACGTTGTTCCCCTGTCCCTTGGTGTCGCCATGGAGGGTAACATCTTCGCCCCCGTCGTCCCCCGTGGCCAGACCGTCCCCACCATCCGCAAGAGGACCTTCACCACTGTTGCCGACAACCAGCAGACCGTTCAGTTCCCCGTTTACCAGGGTGAGCGTGTCAACTGCGAGGACAACACCTCTCTGGGTGAGTTCACTCTTGCTCCCATCCCTCCCATGAGGGCTGGTGAGGCCGTCCTCGAGGTCGTCTTCGAGGTCGACGTCAACGGTATCCTCAAGGTCACCGCCACCGAGAAGTCCTCTGGCCGCAGTGCCAACATCACCATCTCCAACTCTGTCGGCAAGCTCTCCACCGGCGAGATTGAGAAGATGATCAGCGATGCCGAGGCCTTCAAGAGCAATGATGAGGCTTTCAGCAAGCGATTCGAGGCCAAGCAGCAGCTCGAGTCCTACATCGGCCGTGTTGAGGAGATCGTCTCCGACCCCACTCTCTCCCTCAAGCTCAAGCGTGGCCAGAAGGAGAAGATTGAGCAGACCATCAGCGATGCCATGGGTGCTCTTGAGCTCCAGGACAGCACCGCTGAGGACCTGAAGAAGCAGGAGCTCGCCCTCAAGCGTCTCGTCACCAAGGCCATGTCCTCCCGATAAATATCCATCGCTCGATGAGCGACGGGTAGGGTCATGAAAAACAAAACAATAAAACAAAATCAGCGGGACGTGGTGGGATTCCGGGAGTTGGGTGTGGAAAACAAAAATTCTGGGCGACCGGTAGCATAAGAAAAACGCTCACCGGTCCTTAAGCGCCTTGGGAAGAGCGCTATCATGGGAGGACAAAGCACAAAGCCTCCTATTTCCTTGTTTCATATTTCTCTCTCAAAATCTGTGTCCATTCTATTGAGAAGAACCGAGGCATCATGAAGAGTTATTTTTCTTTTTTCCTTTTCGCATTTTTCACTGGTCCTCGACTTCTTGCATGGGTGCAAATAATGACATGCCAAATAGCTTGGGTTTCATGAAGAAAAAGACGACGATGATGATGCCTGCAGCATTCGGTGGCAAGAATCTGCCCGTGTTGAGGCATGCATGATATGTGGAATACGCATAGACTCGGTAGAATGGAAAGTACGGATGAAAACCGTTAAACATACACATTGTGCCTCTACCTTATGCTTTCGTGATGTTGATATGGTGTAACATTTCATTGAAAAGGAAACTCCGTAATCGAGTCTTCCACAAGACTTTCCAAGCACTTGTGTAATAACCTGGAGAGAGAAAGCAGGAGAAGAAACGATGATACAACATCGTCATATTCATCGGACATTGTAACAACATTCAGTCCTTTACCTCATCTCAAGAACTATAGTATTCCCGTGGAAATCTTTTACAACTGATGTGTCCATTTACAGTTCTGTAGCTGACTCTGAGCATCAGTAGCCATGCTACCTCGTCTACCACTCTCCAAGCCAAGAGCAACGCCATGCTACATGGTATCATAGTCTAATCTCAATGATCATCCCCATCATTATCCACCATCAAGATGGACACATGTCGTTCATCATCAGAATCATATTGCGGCTCCTCCTCCACCATGTTTCTCCCCGGAACCGGCCGTCGCGGGATCCTCAGCTCCGGCAAAGGGGGGGCCGAGGCCGTCTGGCGCCTCGGCAAGGGAGGAGGCTGCTCCTCCTCCTCTTCTTCCTCCGTGCCTTGCATGACTGGAGGCACGGAGTCGGTTTTCCGGGGAGGAAGGCTCGGTCTTTCAAGGTCGTCAAGGTCGTTGGTCGGACGTTTGGGAAGAGGCGGGTTGGGTTGCGGCTTGAGACTCGAGGGGCTGATTGTCAGGGCCTGGAGAGCTTCGGCCGACTTGTCGGCATCGCTAAGCTTGTGGTCGGGGCCGTCGCCAAAGTCAATTAGGTCTTCTTCTTTGTCCTTCAGCTGAATGACGTCGTCCTTCTCAATGTCCTTCCCAGCCCTGACGTTGACGAAGCCGCATTTGCGCAGGATCTCGCCCGTGAGAGAAGAATACCGAAGATGGCCGCTGACGCTCTCGCTCAAGTCCACATTGACGATTCCATTGACATCCTTGATAGGCTGCAGACCGGCAACACCAAGCGCGAGGCTGTGCATTCGGTAGACGAAGCCCAAGACCATGTCATTCTCAGAATAGACATTGAAAATCTTTCCAGAGACAACAGGTCGAATCGCCCGCCAGTGAGCCGGATCAGAGGGAGCTGGCGTGCCAATAATGACGACCGTATCAACCAAGCCAAATGCATGGCGCTCAGCGAGAGACTGTAAACAGGCATGAATCGTAGTCGCACCAAGAGAATAGCCAACGAGCGTCACCGGCCTCTCCCCTTGGACCCTGTTGATGAGTGCATCGGCAAGAAGCTGTCCAGCTTTTCGAGACCGGTTACTCGCGCGATTGAACGGATTGTCCACGTTGGAAGCCAGGGCCAGCATCTGGATCGGCCAGAGGGCGGCCCAGAGCGTCGCCAAAACGGTCCGCTTGATGACTTCGGCTTTAAACGCCTTCCAGGCAAACGAACGAACGAGATCGCCTAGGGCGGTGCCGAGAGTAAGAAGCACTTTCATCTCGTACCGCAGAGCAAAGACTTCCGTGTCCGTGCTCAGAATGCGCCAGGGCTTCGTGATGTCGTCTTCCGAGTTGAGCCAGCCGTTGATTCCTATGGTGACGCGGAGGCGGCGCTGTTCTTTTTGCTCTTTGGTGATGTTCTCTGGGTCGTCTGTTGTAGCGTCATCTCTGAGAGGAAGGAAGCGGAAGTCCTCAACCTCTTTCGCATAGTTGTCCATCATTTCGCCCTGTAGCAGAGTCAGCATCCGTAACGGCGTCCATCGTGTCTTTGACTTACAGTCATCTTGGCACCATATGCTCCGAAAAGTGTCCCAACCAACGCCCCGTTCATCCAAAAGATGCCGAGAAAGCTTGCCACTCCTCCCAAGCCGACGCCTCCCAGCACACTTCCAATAGCTCCCGCAACAAGCGGAGCAGCCAGTCCTCCAGTGACTCCTATCACCGCAGCGCCGGCCACGGACGCCAAGCCGACTTTCCAGAAGCGGCTGACCTTGTTCTGCTGTCGTCGTTTGGCCGCCTCGGCGTCTGCAGACATGGCTTCTTTCTGATCGTTGTTGGCCGTGGACGATTCCATGAGGGACATGGCGATCTCTGCTTCAGTCCTATTAAGAAAGGTCTGGGAAAGCTCCAATGATGAGGCGAGATAGAGCACCAGGGCGCGGGAATGGGCAGAATATTTGCCGGTGGAGAGGAGCAACAGCAAGATGCAGGTGAGCGCCTCTTCTCGATCCTCGACAGGGATAGTCGTCAGCCTAGTAGGTATCGGTTTGTACGCCGATTGCAACGCAGAGATATCCTCTGTCGCATCGACTGGGACGCCGTCTATATCCACGAGCTGGTGATCGCTATTAGGCGCTTCGAGCTGCTTCTTATCCAACGCTTCCCGCCTGGCTTTTCTCTCCGCGGTAATCTTTGGCGTATCCTCGACGTTGACAATCTCCTCGAGCTTGGACACGACTTCATCCCTCCATTCGAGGGTGTATGTCAGAGCTGCGCTTACGGATTTCTCCGCCTGTCTGGCCGTCTTGAATCTCGGCTGTGGTAGACCTCGAGACTTGCCATCTTGAGAGGCAGAGTTGCTGCCCGGCTTTTCAGCCGAGTATGGAGGAGGCGATTCATCGTAGTCGTTGCCTTCATCGTCTGGAGCAATGGAGCCAAGTTCATCAGGATGCGTCTCCAGCTCGGAAATCATATACGAGATGATGCCTTGAACAAGAGCCAGCAGAGCCTTTCGCCTTGCGGGGTTCAAGGTGATGACAATCTGCCGCGGATCCGCGCAAGGTGGCGCCATGTTGAAGTGCCTCGAATTGTCGTCACTTGTTTGGTGGAGTATCGGAGAGGAGGAAGAAGCTCGGAGGTCGATTGTTTTGAAGGAACCTCATGCAGATCGAGCGGCTGGCTGGTGACACATTACACGTCACTTATTAATTGGCTGGTCGGGCCATCAAATCCTTCTGCCAGGGCTGTCGTTACAGCGATTAATAAACTAGACAAGCCGCTCCAGGCAATCGTTGAGACAAGATGAAGCGTGAGGAAGTGCCAGAAAAAGACGGATATTGTGTGTATAGGTAGGTATAGAAGTGAGACAGTGTTCACCGCATCAGATCTAAGGCCTTGTTTATGAGACGGCTCTGTTCTTTCCTACTTTGGTCGATGATGGCAAATACTGTGTGTTGTTTGATCAACCAATGACGTACAACATTCCAAACGGGAGCAGTATCAGATGGTCAAGACTTTGAAGATGACTGTTAAATAACAGCAAAATGAAGAGAAAAATAATTGAGCAATGACTGGAGTGCAGCACAGGATCAATGGCAAGGAAAGGCATAACAAATAAAGGGAAAAGGGCCAAAAAGGCAAAAAATGTAACTCTTCTCCGGGGAGAATTGCTCTCCGGGGACGGAATCGAACCGCCGACTTTCTGATGAGATGTTATCCATTACAGTCAGACGCCATGAACCAACTAGACCACCCAGAGGATGTTGAAGAGTTGACTCGAGGCACGCTAATTTATAATATGGCACCTTCTCTAGCAGTGCTAGTACAGCACCTTTTAGCGGGTATTCGATAAATGCTCGATAAGGCCCGGCCCCGCTGAAAAAATCCCATCTTCTTCTTACCAGCGCAGAGCTGCCAGCCCAGCCATCGGCGCCGTCCAGAGGGAGGTAACAACAATTTCAATCTCATACCGCGAAGCCTCATGTCGAAGCGTCTTCACCAACGATAGCGCGGCCCTCCCATCTCCAGGTACGGTAGCCGTACCACCAATCTCTCCGACACAATGGATGCGCATGCGCTCCTTTCCGCCCAAGGCTGGCGCGGAACCGGCCATTCCCTGCACAAGACGGACGACTCAATTGGCCTCGCCAAGCCGCTCCTCCTCAACCGCAAGACCAACACAAAGGGCCTCGGAAACACAAAACACTTCACGAGCGATTTATGGTGGATGGACGCTTTCGACGAACAGCTGAAGGGTCTCGACACGTCCAAAGAAGGCAAAGTTGAGCAGACAGTGACGACTGGCAAGCTCAATGCCCTGGATCCGGGACGCGTATCGAAATACTCCATCTATGCTTCCTTTGTCCGAGGTGGATTTTTGCAGGGAACAATTACTCCAGATTTGACGGACGGGTCGACCAGCACCGAGTCGGAAACGAGCGATAACACGAAGACTGTCTCCTCTAAGGAGACAAAGTCTACAAAGCCTAAGAAGGAGAGCAAAGAAGAGAAGAGAGCTCGAAAGGAGGAAAAGAGAGCCCGAAAGGAGGAGAAGAGGAAACGAAAAGAGGCGCGCGCTCTGCGAAGAGCGGCAAAAGCTGAAAGAAGGCTACGGAGAGCTGAAGCGAAGAAGGATACGTCAGATTCCAACAGCAGTACGGCAGAAGAGAAGCGGCTAAGGCGTGCTCGGAAGGAGGAAAAGCGAAGGCGGAAGGAATTAGAAAAGAAGAAGGCTACGGGCGGTTAATGGGAGAATTCTCGAACGGTATGATCATAGACAGCGCATTAGCAGGGAGTTTGAGTAGTGTTTTCAACCACAAGGGATACCCAAATAGAGACAGCGGTTCAAGTTTGTATTTCTTTGGACGCCTTGCCAGGCTGACCTGGCTTGCCGGACAAGATCCAAGGCCGTCTATCCCAGAACTCATCCTTGATGATGTCTACGTGCTCCACCACCACCTTCGCCTTGGCTCTGCGCTTCTTGTCCTTCTCAGCCTGTGACTTTGACTGCGCTGCTGGCTCGGCGAGAGCATCTGCTGCTGCCGCTACGTTGTGACTTCCGGGCTCGACCAATTCGTACTGTAGCTGTTAGCCGCTGACATGTCATCTGGGCCATGCGTAAAGGAGTCTCACATCTCTAAATATGACACTCCCCTTCCTGAAGATTTCCGGCTCGTTGTTATAATTGATCTTGAATCGAGAGAACAGTATTTCATTCTTATCCGCAGCCAACGTTCCCTGCATTCAAGTCAGTATAGAAATTCCAGCCGGACTGATACCAGGAACGCACCGCAAGTGTCTTCTCAGCCTCTTTGTTGTCGAGGCCTCCAAGCTGTATCAACTTCCAAAAGGCTGTGTTGTAGAGATTGTTGATGTGACCTTGCTGTTCGTTAGCGAAAAACTCTGTTGGCATCATCGAAGTCGCCTTACAGTCAGCCTGTCGCCAGCTCATGTAATCCCGGAGATTCTGCACCGCCGGGTAGCACACAGCTCGACCATCAAACGTTGGGAGAGGAAAAGAAAGGGGTGTGTCAGGAAAGTATGTCGGCCAGAGGTAGACGTAGTTTGCTGTGAATGTAGAGACAACCGTGCTGACAAGTTTACTGAAGCCTCGTTAGTTGATGGAAGTGTAGGGTAGGTGTGGTCTTGACTCACCTTTCTCTTCTCTCAAAGAGATTACAGGACTTGTGGAAGACAAAGCTGAAGCGTGTTAGGCTGTATAAACGGGCGGCTTCGTTTGTCTTGAGGGAATGAAATACCTGTACTCGTCGCTGACTCCGTAGGCAATGGTGATTTCCGGCAGATCAGTCACGACCGCCTTGGCCGCTGCATTCATGAGATCGAGTGCTCTCCGGTCGTTTGGCTTTTCGAACTCATACTTGGCACACATCCTTTTCTATATGTCAATTTTGGTAGCTCAAACAAGTGAATCTCTCATATGTGTCTTTACTTTGTGAATCCCCTTCCATCTATGCGAACTACAATCCACGTGTTGGGCAAGAGAGAGTCCGGCTGCTCGAAGTTTCGAACATATTCAAACCTGGAGTGGCATCTATTAGCATGTGACAACCTGAAGCGCAACGAAAGACCAACGACGCCGTACTTTGAATTTGCCATTCTGACACCAAGGCAAAAATACTGTCTGAGCCTTTGTCACTGTATGCAGAAGAAAAGGGTTTGCTGCGGTCTCATTTGGACGAGATACCGGGTACTTGTGCGTCATGCTAAGGCAGCGCACATCCCCGCGGTGGAGCTTTTTGCTCGTAATTCCGCGTTTTCGAGCTCGTTCGTAGGTCAGCCTTGTCAGTAGCATGCTAGACGCACCCCTCCTGTGGCGTATAACTGCGACAAGCAGCAACTTTTCGTCAGCCTTGCAGCTCAGACCCGGCTTCGACACTGCGAGCTCCTCGCAGCCTTCTCGCGTCTCCTCTACCATGTTGCTCTGCATCTCCCGCATCGCCCCAGCATTGCTACCGCGACGATGAATCTGCTACTTTCAGACGATTACCTCCTCCAGGATTATCCTGAGAGCATGACGAGCACGATCCGGTCCGGCCATGCGACAATGCTGAGGTTCAACCGCACGGGCGATTACCTTGCTTCCGGCCGAGTGGACGGAACCGTCGTTGTTTGGGATTTGGAGACGATGGGGGTCGCCCTCAAAATGAGAGGCCACAACAAGAGCATCACATTTCTGAGCTGGTCCAGATGCGGGCGGTATCTGCTGTCAACGTGTCAAGGCTGGAAGGCCATACTCTGGGATCTGGAGACTGGGCACCGACATCGCGAGGTGCGCTTTCGCGCTCCAGCGTACATGGCTGAGCTTCATCCATGGAATCAGTATGTGGATTGTTCGCTCTCGCAGTCGGATCACACGACGCGCCGTTTGACCCTTTTACTTACGTCGCCCTACCCAGTAACCTCTTTGTCGCGTCGCTATTCGAAGAGCAGCCGTTGCTGGTCGACATTTCCGAGCCAGTCGATGTCAAACGCGTTCTCCCGTCTGCGCCGAAGCGATCAAACGCCGACAGCGACCTTGCCCTCAAGGAGAAGCAAGCGAAAGAAGACGCAAAGCAGATGACAACATCGGCAATCTGGACTGCAACCGGCGATCACATCATTGCAGGAACGAGCAAAGGCAAATTAAACATCATCGATGCCAAGACACTCGAGATCATATACTCGGAGAAAATATGCACTGGGGTCATCACCACCATGAGGATAACATCGTCTGGCCGTGACTTGCTGGTCAACTCACAAGACCGAATTATCCGGACGTTTCGAATACCAAACCTCTCGGTGGACGACCTCGACCCCGACACAATACAGCTGCCCTTGGAGCACAAGTTCCAAGACGTTGTTAACAAACTGTCCTGGAATCACGTTACATTTAGCGCTACGGGCGAATACGTGGCCGCATCCACCTACAACAATCACGAACTCTACGTTTGGGAGAGGAATCACGGCAGCTTGGTCTGCATGCTCAAAGATCCCAAGGAAGAGCAGGGCGTCATAGAGTGGCACCCTTCTCGCCCGCTGCTGGCGGCATGTGGCTTGGAAACCGGCCGCATATACATATGGTCCGTCATCAGTCCGCAAAAGTGGTCGGCGCTGGCGCCGGACTTTGCAGAGGTCGAAGAAAACGTCGAGTACATGGAGCGGGAGGACGAGTTCGACATATACGCGCAGGAAGAGATCCACAGGAGGCGGCTCGACGCTGAGGACGAAGATGTTGACGTTCTGACAGCCGATCCCACCAAAGACGGGGAGGACCTCGCTAACTTCCGAATGCCCATCCTATTCAACCTTGGCGAGAGCGACAGCGAAGACGAATTTGTTGCGGTTTCGACCGGGACCATGCGGCGGAGGAGCCCTGGGGAGAGCCAGGCTGATCTGAGTGCTGGAGCAGAACCTGCGGCGCCGGTGCGCAAGAAGGCTGGAGCTAGGGGAGGAAAAGGCAAGAAGAAGTAATGGTTTGCTCAATTGGATTGGGTTGGGCTGGATGGCGTTTCTCCCCCTTTGCTTTCGTTTACATACTTTTTGCAAAGGATGAGGACATAGACAATGATTTGCAGACGCATCCTCAACTGGGTGCTTGAGGCTTGTGGCAACCAAGCATGTGAGGCCAAAGTGAAACTTAAAACAGCCGACAGCATGAGTCACCGGCGAAATGGCCGAGCAAACGGTGCAACTGAAGGAGAGAAGGGTCTGCTTAATAACTGACCTCTGACAATAAGAAGCAGAATTTGCTACGCATAATCTTGCTCAGTTGACGCTGCTTCTTTTTGTTCTCTTCTCTTCGCTTCCGCCGTGAGGCGCAGAAGTAATCGCGCCCCACCCATTATTCAGCTGCTGCCTGAGGCACAACCTGCTGAGGGTGCAAGGAGGCGGTTTATCCCCACGCGGTTTAGCGGCATCGAGGCACCAAGCGCCTCACGTCCATCCAAACTTTCGGGCTTCTTCCTGTCCGTTTCGCCTCCAACCACGACCAAACACCTGCCCCGGTTCACCTTCATCACCAAGCGTGTCGGGCATCGAGTCTGGCGCCTGGAACCGCCGCGAACGATACGATTCGAGCCGACGACCTGCGATTTACGTGTTGATACGGCTTCAGCGCTGGTGGCGACGGGGGAGACCAGCCGTGAGGTTCTCCTGGGCCTGGTGGCCAGGACTGGCGATCGAGAGAGAGCGCCATCTCTCAGCAATTCACAACCGCTCGAGGCATCGATTCTTCGACTTTCTGCGACCGGAGACTGTCGCTGCTTGGGATTTTCAGTGTTTTCTCTTGCCTTTGGCACCTTATCGCGACAGCAAGGCGCGTGCTGCATTTGCCGCCCACACCGATCCTTTTCAGCTCTTCGATTGAAAATTCGTAACGACTGTTGAAAATGGCGAACCTTTACTTCACCCACTCGAGCGCTCCGCTCAAGACGGTGCAGGAGATCCAATTTGGCCTCATGTCTCCCGAGGAGATCAAGAGCATGAGCGTGGCCCACATCCTGTACCCCGAGACGATGGAGGAAGGCGGCACGAAGCCGCGCGACGGTGGCCTCAACGACCCTCTCCTTGGCTCCATCGACCGGCAGTTCAAGTGCAAGACGTGCACGCAGGCAATGGGCGAGTGCCCCGGCCACTTTGGACACATTGAACTGGCCAAGCCCGTGTACCACCCTGGCTTCATCAAGAAAGTCAAGAAGATCTTGGAGATTGTCTGCCACAACTGTAGCAAGGTGCTGGCTGATGAAGTTGGTCTTCTCTCTTCCATGAAGCGTTTGCCTCACTGGATGCTAACCTGAACTTTACCAGAGCGATCCCGAGTTTGTCGCAGCAATCAATACTCGAGATGCAAAGCTCCGCTTCAAGCGGGTATGGGCCGTCTGCAAGAAGAAGCGGAGGTGTGAGAATGACGACCGGTCAGAGAAGAACAAGGACGAGGAGTTTGCGCCCGGTATGAAGCCGGCCGTCGTCGAGAGTCACGGCGGCTGCGGCAACGTGCAGCCTCAGGTTCGACAGGTCGCCCTCCAGCTTAAGGCCGCTTTCGAGGTCGCCCAAGAGGACGGTCCCAAACGGAAAGAGACGGCTCCCATCACCCCAGAGATGGCCCACAGCATTCTTCGCCGCATCTCCGAGAAGGATCTACGCAACATGGGCCTCAACTCGGACTATGCCCGTCCGGAGTGGATGATTATCACTGTCCTACCCGTTCCCCCACCACCTGTTCGTCCTAGTATTTCTATGGACGGCACTGGAACTGGAATGCGCAACGAAGACGACTTGACCTACAAGCTGGGTGATATCATCCGTGCCAATGGCAATGTCAAGCAGGCTATTCGTGAGGGTTCCCCTCAGCATATCGCCAGAGATTTCGAGGAGCTGCTGCAATATCACGTCGCCACCTACATGGACAACGATATTGCCGGCCAGCCTCGTGCGCTGCAGAAGAGCGGACGCCCCGTCAAAGCCATCCGTGCCCGTCTCAAGGGAAAGGAGGGCCGCCTGAGAGGCAACCTGATGGGAAAGCGTGTCGACTTTTCTGCACGTACCGTCATCACGGGAGACGCCAACCTGTCTCTGCACGAAGTCGGTGTTCCTCGCAGTATTGCAAGGACCTTGACCTACCCCGAGACGGTGACGCCTTACAACATTGGCAAGTTGCATCAACTGGTCGAGAATGGTCCTAATGAGCATCCTGGAGCCAAGTACGTTATCAGATCCGACGGGACCCGTATCGACCTGCGACACCACAGACGAGCGGCTCAAATCTCTCTCGAGTATGGCTGGAAGGTTGAGCGTCATCTTATGGACGGTGATTATATCATCTTCAACCGTCAGCCCTCGCTTCACAAGGAGTCCATGATGGGTCACCGTGTCCGCGTCATGCCTTACTCCACTTTCCGACTCAACCTGTCCGTGACCTCTCCCTACAACGCCGATTTCGATGGTGACGAGATGAATCTTCACGTTCCGCAGAGCGAAGAGACTCGTGCAGAAGTCAAAGAACTCTGCCTGGTTCCTAACAACATCGTCTCGCCTCAGAAGAACGGTCCTTTGATGGGTATCGTACAGGACTCCCTTGCTGGCGCCTACAAGCTCTGTCGTCGTGATACTTTCCTGGACAAGAACCAGGTTATGAATCTCATGCTCTGGGTCCCTAACTGGGACGGTGTCATTCCCCAGCCTGCCATCTTGAAGCCAAGACCGCGCTGGACCGGCAAGCAGATCATCAGCATGGTCATCCCCAAGGAGATCAGCCTGCACGCTCCCGAAGACAAGTCTGACTCGCCTCTTAAGGATGCTGGTCTGCTCATCCAGGCTGGTGAGCTCATGTATGGTCTCATGAAGAAGAAGAACATTGGTTCTGCCTCTGGTGGTGTGATTCATCTCTGCTACAACGAGTTGGGACCAGAAGGTGCCATGGCGTTCCTTAATGGGGTTCAGCAAGTGGTTACCTACTGGCTGCTGCAGAACGGCCACAGTATTGGTATCGGTGATACTATTCCGGATAAGCAGACAATTGAGAAGGTGCAGGTGCACATTGACACCCAAAAGGCCGAGGTCGCCAGGCTCACGGCCATGGCTACAAACAACGAGTTGGAAGCCTTGCCTGGTATGAACGTCCGAGCGACCTTTGAGAACAAGGTCTCCATGGCTCTTAACATGGCTCGTGACCAGGCTGGTACTACCACTCAGAAGAGTTTGAAGGACTCCAACAACGCTGTGACCATGGCTGAATCCGGCTCAAAGGGATCGTCCATCAACATCTCTCAGATGACGGCACTCGTGGGACAGCAGATTGTCGAAGGAAAGCGTATTCCGTTTGGCTTCAAATATCGGACCCTGCCCCATTTCACCAAGGACGATTACTCACCCGAGGCCCGTGGCTTTGTAGAGAACTCATATCTGCGTGGACTGACGCCCACCGAGTTCTTCTTCCACGCCATGGCGGGTCGTGAAGGTCTTATTGACACGGCCGTCAAGACAGCCGAGACAGGTTACATTCAGCGACGTCTTGTCAAGGCTCTGGAAGACCTCAACGCTCAGTATGATGGTACTGTGCGCAACTCTCTTGGTGACATCATTCAGTTCCTTTACGGCGAAGATGGTCTCGATGCCATGTGCATTGAGAAGCAGAAGCTTGGCATCTTGAAGATGTCTGACGAGGCGTTCGAGAAGAAGTATCGCCTTGATCTGGCCAACCCGCCCGATTGGTTCAGAAAGGATTACGAGTATGGCAATGAGTTGACTGGTGATAAGACCTCCATGGCTCTGCTCGACGAAGAGTGGGATCAACTTCTGGCCGATCGCCGAGAAGTGCGAGAGATTAACCGCTCAAAGATGGGCGAGGAGATGATGCAGCTTCCTCTCAACATCGGTCGCATGATCGAGACCGCCAAGCGCGTCTTCAACGTCAAGGCCAACGACCGAAGCAACTTGAGACCTTCTGATGTCATCCCTGTCGTGAGGAACGTCATCAACAAGCTCAAGATTGTTCGAGGCGAGGATAGCATCTCGAAAGAGGCGGACAACAGTGCCACCATCCTCTTCAAGGCTCTTCTTCGATCTCGACTGGCCTTTAAAGAGGTGGTCAAGGAGCATCGTTTGAACAAGCTGGCATTTGATCATGTTCTCGGAGAGCTCCAGAACCGATGGGATCGGTCGTTTGTCAACCCCGGCGAAATGGTGGGCGTCCTCGCGGCTCAGTCCATTGGTGAGCCTGCTACGCAGATGACACTGAACACCTTTCACTTCGCTGGTGTCTCTTCCAAAAACGTCACGCTCGGTGTGCCTCGTCTCAAGGAAATTCTCAATCTGGCAAAGAACATCAAGACGCCTAGTATGGCAGTTTATCTGGACACTCCGCTGGCCAAGCAGGAGCAAGCGAAGAAGCTGCGAAGTTTAGTCGAGTATACCAATCTGCGGTCGATTACTTCCGTCACTGAGATCTACTATGATCCAGACGTCCAGTCCACAACCATTCCCGAGGATCTCGATATGGTCGAGTCCTACTTCTTGATTCCCGACGACAGCCAGGACACCATTGATCAACAGTCGAGGTGGCTTTTGCGTATCACGCTCGATAGGCAGAAACTGCTTGACAAGGAGATCAAGATTGACGATGTCGCTCAGCGCATCAAGGAGGAGTATCCCAATGATCTGGCCGTCATTTTCAGCGACAACAATGCCGACGAGCAAGTCATCCGCATCCGCACCATTCGCCAGGACGACAAGGACGAGGATGGCGAAAAGAAGATTGAAGATGACGTGATGCTCAAGCGACTCGAGGCCCATCTCCTGGACACTTTGACGCTGCGAGGTGTGCCTGGAGTCGAACGAGCTTTCTTGACCAAGGGAACTCGTCTTGTCGAGGCCGCTGACGGTTCTGAGCTCGCGCTCAAGGACGATCCCCGATGCACTCAGTGGTATCTGGATACTAGCGGCTCAGCTCTCCGCGAAGTCTTGGCCGTTCCCGGAGTTGATCCCACGCGAACCTACACCAACGATCTGTGGCAGATCATCGAGGTGTTTGGTATCGAGGGTACTCGAGCTGCCTTGGTGAAAGAGTTGACGGCTGTCTTGGCCTTTGACGGTTCCTACGTTAACCACCGACACATTGCCCTGCTCTGCGATGTCATGACGTACCGCGGAAGTATTTCTGCCGTGACTCGTCACGGTATCAACCGAGCGGATACGGGTGCCCTGATGCGATGTTCCTTCGAGGAGACTGTCGAGATTCTGCTCGAGGCAGCTGCTACCGGTGAACTTGACGACTGCCGGGGCATTTCTGAGAACGTTATGCTCGGCCAGATGGCCCCCATGGGTACTGGCAACTTTGATGTCTACCTTGACCCGAAGATGCTGGAAACGGTCATCTCGGACAACTCTCGCATGGGTCTCATGCCTGGCATGCCTGTCAAGGAAGGAGACGCTGAGGGTGCGGCTACGCCGTACGATACCGGATCGCCCATGGGCGACTCTGGCTACCTCAGCCTCAACTCTCCTGCTGCAGGAAACTTCTCGCCCATCCAGGGCGCGGGTTCAGAGACGCCCGCTGGGTTTGGAACCGAGTATGGCGGCGGCGGCTTTGGTGGCATCGGGTCCATGAGCCCGTACTCGATGCGTGGAGCAACGAGCCCATTCAGCACCTCTCCGACGTCGCCTTTCAGCTCGGGCATGGGTGGCTACTCTCCGTCGTCGCCCAACGCGGGATACTCCCCCACGTCTCCCATGATCGATGGCGGCATTGGCCGATATGCGACATCTCCGTCATTCAGTCCCTCTTCCCCATCCTTCTCGCCGACGTCACCCATGTTGCGTCCCACAAGCCCAGCCAGCCCCAACTACAGCCCGACATCGCCAAGCTACTCGCCGGCGTCCCCTTCATCGCCGAGACACTACTCGCCCACGTCGCCGGCGCAGTTCAACTCTCCCACCTCGCCTAGCTACTCGCCCGCTAGTCCCAACTACAGCCCAGCCTCTCCCAACCTTCACGGAGTGGGCGCTACTTCTCCTTCATACTCCCCTGCCTCCCCCTCTTGGTCTCCCACTTCTCCCGAGGCTTACTCGCCTACGAGTCCTAGCTTCTCCAAGAGCCCTGGGTCGCAACAATCCCCTACCAGCCCCAGCTACTCGCCCACTTCTCCATCATTCTCTCCCCGGACCCCTGGGCCGGGAGCTTCTGGAAACCAATAGTGAGTCCTTTTCCTCAGCTTCCAACATCTGCGTGTATCTCACTAACCAACGTCTTGCAGCTCACCTAATTCCCCTGCTAACGACTGATTTTCACTGTAATGCGCACGACACGCACTTTTTTGTTCGCTGTCGGCCATCTGTTTATCCTTTTTTCTTTACTTTTCGTTTTCTTATTTATTTCCTAGAGTCTTCCTGGTGAAAGGGATTGAGAGGACTCGAGCATGATAGACGTTTATGCAGTCGGTGGCAAAAGCCAAAAGTGAATAAAAACCCAAGAAACACCTATACAAAAAAATCGCACAGTTTTCATCGATTCACGCGGTCCGCTCAACAGACACAGAGAGATATTAGAAGAGGGGTGTTGACGACAGGTTTCGGCAGCTGGACATGTATACTAGACGCAGAGAATGAGAGAAGAAAAAACAAAAGTGTTCGTCATGGTCACCAGCTGGGACCAAAAGAAAGTCGGTCACCCAGGGGATGGATTGTTCACCCAGATTGGAATCAGATTGCAAGAATCAAGCGGAACAGGATAATGGACACAGCGGGGGGGAAAAGGCTCTAAAGCATGGCCATTGTTATAGGACAGTTGAAAGGAAAATGGATTGGCCTATTTCACGATGATGTATTGTTGGACTTGATGCCATGTGCTATTCTCGGCGAATGCTTGCTGATTCTATCTGCCGTGTTGTTGTGCATGTGTACCATCCAAGTTCTGATAGACGCCTACGTTTAATCCCTCTTTGTTGTTTTTCGCCAACAGTTCTCCTTCTTCTATCGCATGGTGCTGATCTTATCATGATCCTCCCGGTCTCGCAAAAGCTGTGATGACGCTCAAACCGTCTTCTTTCTCCCAACAAACAACCATATACCAACTCAATCACGTCCCAGCCTCATCACATACCTAATATATATATTCACCACTCCCAATGCCAGTATAACCTTCATCTAAGCGGGTAAAACGAATGACATCTTCATCCCCTCCCCCTCCCATCCCACAGACTACGTAGGTATCTCAAAGTTCCGCCGCTTGGGCAAAAAAAAGCCCCTTGTCAACACTATGCATGCATTCACGCATCTCCAAGAGATCATGTGATCCTGCCCAATATCACACAAATGAAACATGTAACAATCCTCGAGAAACTAGAACCCAACAAACGCACCGACGGCGGCGCCATCTTGATCTACCACAAGAAAAAACCATAATCGCTATTAGAAGTCTGTGTGAGAAAAGTTGCTCCTTGAAGCATTCATGATATTCAAATCCTTGTACAACTTGTGTTTTCTAGTAGTATATACTGTATCCGTCTCTTGTATGCCCAAGCAATCTTTTCATCTTAGTACATGCTCTTTGCCGCCCCATCCACCCCAAAACGCAAACAAAAAACAGACAACATCCTTCTCCGCCATTGCCCTCGAACAAAAACGTTTTCAAACTTTGACAGTCTTTGCATCTTCCTGCATAAAGGTACCGTCAACAAACACCGTCCGTCCCCGGCTCGTATTGTCTTGCCTGCCGCGTCTCTGGTCCGTGCTTTCACATCAACGTACGTGTATTCAGCTAGCCGTGGCATATATTGCAACGTTTCTCCCGCTCTCCCGCCACTGGCACACACATATGATTAAGCTTACAACTCGCGGAAGACGGTATAGAGCTTAAATGAAAGAACGGCCGGGAAACGGGACGGAAGGCGGGTCTTGTTAGTATTTCGTACCGCTGCTGTGCCTGGCGGTTGTCGGCATGCTGTGTATTGACGACCGTGCTGCAAGATGTCGTGGCTCGCGCGGCCAGAAGAGACTCTTTAGACTTGTATAGACGCACGGCCACTGTGACTTACCTATCAAGAACTCAGTATACTCTTCGGAGGCATCCGTCGTCATCATCATATCCTCGCCTTTCTAAGGCCAAAGCCCCAAGGAAAACAGGACTCCGATGCCAGGAGGTAGGCCCTCCATATCCCAAGCAGGTTCTCATCATCAGTATTATCACCAAGAGCCTACCCAGCGAGACATGTCGTATCGACGGAATAACCCACAAAGAAAGCCGTGGCACCAAACAAGGCGCACAGACAAGGCACATACATCAAAGGGGAAAACCTGGCTCCAGCCATCAAGCGCCGCCATGGCAACGCTCACCGATATCGAGAGAGAGAGAGAGAGAGCCGCTTGACCTCAACCTCATCCAGCAAAATGCAAGTCAGCCACAGGGGGATTTTCTCTCCAACGGCTAGCCAAACCGCGGCCTGCTGCTGACATTGCGCAACCTGAACTTGTGGCCGCCGGCAAGCTGGGGTGAGGCTCTGTGGGGAAGAAGCCGTGTTCTGTGATACCCCTGATCAGCGCGCAGCCGCATTTCGCCCCGTGACAGCGCAGAGTCTCGCCACAAGCCCATGGCAGCCAGAAGATGCAACCAGGAGACAAAGGTGCCAAAACCATGGGTATCGGGGCGTAAGAAGCTAATAATACTGGTTTCGTCCCTGAATTGGTGGCTGTGGCCAATTAGCTCCAAAAGGTCATGCGGCCGCATATGCGGCCTGGCTATGTGTGTTGTTGGTTGACCAACGGCGTTCGAATTTCGACCACTTGGCCCACGAGGCAGACACCTCTCAACGGCAATTCAAGAATTAGAACAAGAGTCAATCAAACAAGGAATAGAGGAAAATGAGCGCAGGAATGAGACACCGCTGTTCGATTTTGTATGATGCTGTAGGCTTTGCGGCCCAAGGTAGGTATAGGCAGAAGGGTTGAGGTCTGGGAAAAACAAGTGCCCCTCGCAAATCATCACCTCATAACCATTCGACTATGTACATGAGCCATCATTCATCCTGCGTACAAAAAAATCGAACTCTTCCCCTAGACTTTGACAGAATTGTAAGAAATGAAGCAAGTGAAAAGGAGACAAGGGCAAGATAAAAAGACAAAAGCCTCCGTCGACGGTGAAAAAAGTACAAATGTAGAAAGACGAACTAGATAAGAGAATCAATGAAAGCAAAGAAGTAAAGAGAAGAAATATCAGAGACGGAAGGCGTGAGCACTTCTCTTGAGAGAAATGGAGCCGGCATCAGGGGCTAGATGAGCCTAGGCCGATTGCTAGGGCGCTTGACTTTTGTCTATAAGTGAATTGTAAAGAAAGATGAAGAAAGGAAGAAGAAGAAGATGATGATATAGGGGAAAGGTGAAAAGAGAAGGAAAGTTGGAAAAGGAAAGACAAGAATCGAGGGAGAAGAAAGGAAGAGAAGAAGAGAAGAAGAGAAGAAGAGAAAATAAGAAAGCAGTGAAAGAAAATGAGACGAAAAAAGCTGCAAGTCGTACACAGCTTGCCGCGAAGACGGCAGTTGAACGTGCTATTGACGCCACCATGTTGGCGAGTCCTCAACGGGCCGGGTTAGGGCACTCGGGGCGCCTGCAGTAGCCTTCCCATCTCTGAGTGCCTTGGTCCTCGATTTTAGAGCAGCCACAAGTCGGCTTGCGGTGAGTCTCCGTGACGGTGCACTCACAGTGGGTGTAGTACTGTCGAATGATCCAAACACACATGTTGATTGTTTCGTTAGGGGAACGTGGCGTAGAATGGAAATGGTAGAGAACGGAGGATAGAGGCACAGATCTCTGCTGAAGGCAGTACTCCTGTATGGATGAATTGGCGCACTAAGAGAAGACATTTTGATCAGTACTTTGTTGCTGTGAATTGTGGCCTACGAGAGAATGGTTCGTGCATACCAGACTCTGCCTCTAGATCTTCCAAGGGTGAGAAAAGAAGTGAGTTCCGTCTTAATATCAACAATCAACGATATGGATATCTGGTTCAGCAGGGAGAAAGGGTGCTTTGTGAAAGCTTGAGATTGTCAAATAGAAGCTGTTTGCAGAATGTTCTTGTGTGTTTCTCTCGATAGGTTTGCTGGATGAAGCTTGAGTGATGATATGGATAGACACAGCAGGCGTGTTTGTCGTTTATATATCTTGTGGAACGAGAGCCTCGGGACTGCGTAGAGGCTGTGAATAGACATTGTTTGCTCAGGACGGTGTTCGTTCTTACCCAGCAACGGAGCCCTTTCAGGCAGAGAGAGTACAAGACCCGACGTCAACTGATGGCCGGCTGTTGGCTGTTTGCTTCTGCTGCTTCTTTCTCTTCTTCGGGTCTTCCCAGACGCACGAACGCGGCTGTTAGATGCACAATTGCAGGGCACCAGAGACATAACAAGACCAGGAGCCGACATGTGCGAGAACGTTGGTCGCCACCAATACACGCGGATATGGACTTCTTCGCATGCGCAGCCGTTGTTATGTCGGATGCTTGGTGTTAGTCGGAGTCGTGACTACGCCGCGGTAGGTGCGAGGATTTGTCTGCCTTTTGGCCTGTTCTCTCGCCCAGGGGGCATTCTGTTGTCCGTGAGAAGGGGGAGGCAGTGATATGACAGCAAGGAGCCCTGATCGGGGCCACGAGGCATCGCAGTATCGGCAGTTTGGACAGGGCCATGTCAAAGGGCTGTGGGTGTAGCCGGTCGGCAAGGCCTGGATGATGTCCAGAACCAACAACAACTCGGCCCCCCTCCCCCCCCTGTCCATGGCTAGGTTGGTATGAGATGATGCTATACTCTGTACGTATAGCTGCGGGTGTCTCTATGCATGTATGCGCATGTGGTCGACGAATCTTTCGTGCATCTCCTTTGATGGTGGGGGAGCAGAGATTGGCTTTTGGGTGGAGAGAGGAGAAAAGTGACAGCAACTGAACGACCTCAGTGGAGGCGATTTGCATCTAAGAATCTCAAGGCAAGGCCTAGCCCCCCACTGGCCCTGCCTATTGATGACGCCAAATGCGAGCTACGATGCAGGAGCCGCAATTGGTGCCGTGATGGCATTATGCCTGCCTTATTCTCCGTTCCAGTGCCGTCGACACTGGCCGTGAGCCGAGAAGGGCGTTCATCTCCCCAGCTGGGGATGCCGTGTTCGTGGTGGTGATGCAACACGGCGATGCTATCGAAGTCGAAGTTGATGTCATCCGAGTCATCGGGAGAGTCATTAAAGCTGGAGAGAGAAATTTCGCTTAATTTCGCCTTCTCTTTGCGGGTTTCTCCCTCCGTCAAGGGAAAACGAGACCACACGCCCATACTCCCCCACCCCTATTGCCTGTCTTGAGGCGGTTGGTTGCGTCCAGTTGAAGATTCAGTACGCCGAAAAGCCATTTCGACCCGATGTCCACACGCTAGAGGCCCTTGCAAGCATAGATCTTGACACCACCATGTACACACGCCGATGTACATACATGGAGGCATGACAGTGGAGTCATTAACATGTTCGCGGACTGAGAGAACATCCTTTCCATGCTATGTGCCGGGAGAGAGGCGGGAAACAATGCCTTGGTACATGTAGCCGAGTTGCCATACCGGCTAGCCCCTGTACACGCTGTCAAGTACATCGTAGGGACTACCTATGCTAGCGGAGAAAGACCATGGCTCTTTGGCGGTAACCACATGGAGCCATTGCGAGGGGAGGCCCGAGGGCTGGGGGAGTGGAGAGAACTGCAAGTAGGCGTGCTTCGACTAAGTACGGGTTGGGGAGTGGGCAGATCAGGGATCTGAGGGGGAGGTGCGGCGAGCGGATAGGGGAGCTGCAAAGTGTGTAGAATCATCACATCGTGTGCGTGATATTGTGGCCTAGATTGGGGAGGAGGCAGAGAGGAAAAGAGACGCCAACGCAGCGAGGAAAAATCGGGACGCGCGGGTCGCACCAATGAAGAGTCCATCATCAACAGCCACCACTGTCTCGTGGTGACTTGGCGCGCTCACCGAGGGAGACCAGTGTCTCCGGAGGCGTGTTAGCTTCCCCCGTCATCCTCCAGCTTCACAGATCTGAAGACTGTCATCTGAATTCACGAATGCCTCCATGACGTCGGGTCAAGATCAGGATCAGGATCAGGATGGCGATCAATCGACTCTGCCATCGGAGGTCCAGCCAGCGCGGCTGAATCTTTGCTTCTGATGCGTTACCCGTCTCGAACGGGTGCTTGTTGGCTCTGCAAGGCGTTGTGGTTGTTGCGCCTGTGGGAAAGGCGACGGGGGTATCACAAGCGTTAGACGCCCTGTGGATCCAATGGATGTCGCACATGATCCGCAGCGAGCAACGTTCTTATTCTACTTGGGGCATAGCCGTTGAGGCCATCACCAATCCTCCACAAGAAGCTATGTACCCAGGTACATGGAGTACAACAGGCACATCATGTGTAGGGAGGTATACTTCTGTAGCGGACGGGAGGTTGCAACCTGAGGACTAGACGGGAAGAGAAGAGAAACGGCATCTTCATCTAATCTCGGAGAAAACGAAAGATGTGTACTATCCACCAATAGTGGGCGTTGGCGTGGTCGTTGGACCGGAGAAAGCCACACAGGTGCTGGCGATGTATTCTAGCAGCAACCCTGTGCGTGCATGTACCTGTGAGTCGCAGTAGTCAGTGGATAAACATGGATATTGGAAATAAATAATGGAAATTCTCAGCAAGGCGCACTCAAGCTCCAGCTTAGCTGCAGGGTACCTCAGCGCCCTCTGTACTTCTTCATTGTGAGAAGACGTAGTCCACAATTTGCAAATGCTTTGACGCTTGGTTCTGCAGAGCTCTGGCCCAAGCCTGAAACGGTCATCATGCAGCCTTTGAATGTTTGCAGTCCGTGTCCCTCTGCTTCAGCCACGATTCTCTTTCACTGCTATAGGGTTGCCTTGACTTTCGGTGGCCCGGCCTGGTACATGGATATGCTCACGAATCTGGCATTGATTCGCCGTATCTCAGGAGGCCAAGGTTGGACGTTTGCTTCGTATACAAGCGCAAGGCGAATGCTGCGTCCCAATGGGGAAGAGCAGCGTTACATCGGTTGTCCAGACGGGCTTGTCGCACCGCATAATGGACTCGCAAGGTGGAAACGTATCCAAGCTCTTTGTTCCCTTGCAGTGCGGCTCACACAGCACACCCGCGCTCAACGGCTCCACGCTTCAACCAAGTACTACATGTAATAACCCCACGACATTTTGTGGGCAGCTGCCAGCCTATGATCCGCGCTCGATGAATGAAACAAAGCCATTGTGGCAGTGGGAAAGCGGCGGCCTAGGAGGTGGATGAAGCTGCTGCGCCAGGAGCTCATTTCTTGTCTTGCCTGCGTGTGGCGGCCAAGGGCTGCTCAGCTTGGAAAGCAAGAGGCGTCTAGATATCACGGCTCTGAAGAGTATTGCCTGGGATTGGACCGACCAGCTCCAGTGGGTTGTGGCGTTGAGATCGGTTGCCGTATGGAGACTGGATCCAAGGACCCTGGTCAGGCAAACGGCGAACGGAGGGGCTGGTTGCCGTTGCAGTAGAAGCAATTCTTGACACCCTGTCTCCGATGGCATTCGGATAAGGTATGCTGTTCGAGACTTGTCAACGGTCTCGACTCGTATCGGCGAGTGGACAAGAAGTCGTATTGTCACTTTGGAGTTCACATCCATGAAGATGTATATGGATAAGAGGGGGACGAACAGCGTTGTGCAATTGACCCCTGCGAACTTACCGTGCTAGGGCCTAATGGCGGTACTGCACAAGTATTTTGTCGCCTTTCTAGGTTCGTATGACGATGGGCAGAATGACGGGTGATGCTCTTGCACCGGCCCTGGAATTACCAAGAAATACTGTTAGTCCAACTGACTATTTGGGCAAGCATGAGGTTGCAGTGCTTCTTACTTGGTATTCCCCCCCTCCTCATCTGTTATTTGCATCGTCATACGCAGTAATTCGTATGCCATCAAGGACCTTTTGCTCCTGTCTCGACTGATATCGTGCAATCTGGGTAGTATAACACCCGACGGCGTCTTATGTCTTGAGACAGCATGAGGACTTCGAAAAAGTCCGATAGTGCAGCTGCACGCTGGAGCACATAGCGCATAGTCTAGCCTCGGGGTTTGAACTGAAGAAGAAAATTGATGTTGATAGATGACTTCATACTCCTTTGCCATTGTGGGAAACTCGAGATACCAATCAAGCATCTTACTAAGCCCGAATGCCTCAGGTGCCAAAATAAAGCGGTCAGCGAGCAGGCTGAAACGGGGCTTCGCGCCTGCCGATTACCTCTCCATCCCACCTTTCGTACCTCTTTCGTGACTTCCATTGACTTCCAACTTTTTCACCTCGCAATTGAACTTGAAATTACCTGCGACGCCTCAGCCACCGCATGCGCTTTTCATCTTCGCCAAACAGCAGTTTGTCCAGAGTTGTCCTATCAAATCCCCGAAATCCGACGATACCAAACTACAGTACACCTGAGGTCCCCAGCTGTTGCTTTCGGTCAGTGCTGTCGCTGATGAGGCCGCTCCACCGAAACGGCCTGCGCCGCACTTCTGGGGGGAAATCTGGAAGAAAAGACAAAAAACACAGCCGCCGACCCGGCATGCAGGTACCGAATCAGATCCCACGATTTCCAGGCACAAGGCGCCTCTTTGGGTGGGTGGGATGCCGCTGTGGGCTGCGATTGGCCGGCTGGCGACCTGTCAGCCTGAAAGAGTACAGGAACCTCCGCACGCGCGGCTGTGAAAGGCGCTTCTCTCGTTTCCTCCATTCACAACCTCGACACAAGCGACTTCCAAGGGTTTCCAGACGCCGGCCGCCCGAGAGCCGCCCTGAAGGCAGGAAACAAGCGCATCCGACAGGTTTGCCATCCTGTTCGGACCGCATGTCGTCATCCGGCGACACGTTCGTCCTGTGCAGACAGCCCATAGACCGCCGATGCCGTGGCTGAAGCTACCGATGTCTTCAGGGCCGTGTTAGACGAACGATGAGAAATTCAGTACTCTACCAGGATGAAATGCATTTTTTTCACCGTCTTCGCCTATTGCTTCCCGCGCCGCATCGCTTCTGAGCATCTGGGCCCGTTCTTACTACTGATTCCAGTATCAGAGTCAAGTGGCCCCCTCGTACCATCCTGTTCTTCGCAGTGTTGGTCGTTGTATCTCTAGGGGGTTTGTTGGCTTCGTGTAGTCGGCAAACCCACGCGGGCGGTGCCGCGGAGGCTGGGACAACATCATAGGGTCACCCCTCCACCTTGGTTGACTTGACCAGGGAGAGTCAATCGTTCAACTGGGTTGAGACTATCCCCCCGCTCGTCCCATTTTGTTGGCTTGTCTCTGCCGTGAAGTAGGCAAGGTTCGGGATGCTCATGTGTTGGCACGGGACAGCCCGCTCTTCTGGTTCTCCCGTGGGTGACGACCTGCAAGTCGAACAATCTGTGTCGAACCAACCACTCACCGGTCTGCCGCATGATACTGCAGAAAAATTGTTGTGCAATGGTGGTGTTGGCTGGCTGAACATGTACCGCGGCTGCGTCTACAGTCCGCAAGCCCTGCTGTCTGCCTTTGGTCTCCAACCCGTCCGCGTCTGGGGCTCTTGTGCCTGCTGGACGTCTCTCCACATGAGCAGATCAAGGATGCGGCCGAAGATGCGGCCGACACCTCTCTATGCGGCTCTTGAGATCTTCCCGCTTGAAGCTCAATGCGGCCGAAGATGCGGCCGTATAATTGCCGCAGCCGGCAGTGCTTGAATGGTGGCCACACTGGTAACCGTATCTGAGCGAGACGATCCTTTCGCCTCGTATCAGCCGATGCGTCTCTTTGATACTTGAGAGGGATACTATTGATGCATAGCGCAGCACCACTGGGGCCTTTCTCAGCCTGGCCAGTAATGCAGGCTTTCAATGGCCTCACTCTCGGTGCCATTGTTACCCCGAGGGGGTTGGAGCTCCTGTGATGATGTCGAGGATGTATTGCATCATGGTTCTGGCTTCCGTCCGTGATTCCATGGCCCGAGGTCCACAAGCAATTACACACATTTGTATGCCAATCCAACAGCTTTACCCTTGCACATTTCACATAGGTCAAGTGATTTTCTTCACAGTTGCAGTCCGACTAGCACTGATGCTGATACTTCTCTATCCAGTACGAATGGGCAGCAGCACACAACACAACAATTTGTGCACATGCGTCCCATAGTGGAAACATCGTCGGTTGTTTACTCGGAGCTTCTCCTTCTTACTCTAGTATTAGCTTCATGACTACGTTCGGTGTCAAGATGAGCAGTCAGTAGGTATACGTCAAACGTGCCTGGCGTTGCTAAGACTTGGCCGCTTGACTGATTGCTGTGCTTCTACTAGACCTATGCGTTCAAACTTCAAAGTATGACAAGAGTCCTATGAGCGGGCTACGGAAGTTTCCCTTTCTCTCCGGGTCTGTCGGCTGTGACAGTTCGCCACTAATGGACCAATATCGGCACCACAGCCATGTTGTATCTTCCTTGATCACCGTATCCAGCCCCTCTGATCATCCTGCCATGAAGAGACAACAACTGATCTTGGAACTTCTGCCAGAAGTCAGGAATTGGGGGCCAGATTGGGCTTGGCCGCAGGGAGAAATGTCATCAGTGCATGCCTAGGTTGACTCAATACTTGTCTATCCCTTACTGTTCAAGAGAAGAACTGATTCCAATGTCGTGAGCGGATACAGATCCGCATTTACCGAACCAGCTCTAAGGCTAGAGTGGAAAAGCTTCTGCATGGGAGTCGGACTGACACGGAAATTTGCATCCTTGGCTTAACGCGCCTATTCACGATTCGACAGACGCGGACGCTCGTTACACGGTGATCCAACAGAGCATCAACGTCTTTTTCACCATACAGGAGAGTTGCATCCAGGCGGCTACAATGAGGTTGCCATCCATACAAGTATCTCGATGTAACGCTGTTAGGGCGCCGGGCTACGGAGCCAATCAGAGCCCGTTATAAGCGCTTCAGATTACCACTCGCGGTAACTCGACCCACTGTGGACTGTACAGCTTTGACCGAAACGGGCACTGAGACTCAGTGTGGATGGCTTGAGCTTCAACCTCAAGGGAGAACATGGCGTCTATAGACGCCTGCCAATTCAATAGACTGACGCGGCAAACTATTCAGCAGCGGGATGAGGGCAACTCTGCCGACTCCTAGTGGTTAGAGTTACGACAACCGAGTGTCCTTTTACATCGTTAGTCCGAACGCCTCTTCTCCGGAGAGCTCCGCGAACCAGTGGGAGAGACTGCTAACAAGGCCGGACCGATGCAAAGGGGCATCAAGCGGGCTTCACCATGCAGCAATGGCAAGGTGGACGGCTTCTTCTGCAACTTGATGAGACAATCACCAACGGCATTGTCCATTTTGCTAGATGAGAACAGAACTTCGACCGCTAGGCTTGGGTATGAATCTCTGATACATACACCCCTGAGACGGGATGAGCCTGCGGGTACTTCTTCCAAGGCCAGGCATTTTGCTTATCCGAAGCTGATCACTTGCCATTCAGGCAGACTTCGCTCTAACATGCTCGTATCTCGCAGGGTCGGGCTGATGTTTCCACCTTTTTGCAAGACGACGGAAGTGCGGGTAATGTTCACGATGGTCAGCCGGTAATTTCTCTTTTGCTGCTTCAACCTTGTTCACATGCTGTCAGCCACAAGGACACACAATTCACTCAGTGGGGTCCCGGGAGGCCGAAGGCAGGGTTGATGATGGAGGAGGCCCAAGTCGACTACACTGGACGAAAAAGACGGATATCGAGGGCTCCCCCAGCACGATGTTGGAGATCAGACTAGTTCTTCCATCCCGAACTGTCGAGATATTCTTCCACGTATGTCATTCACGATTCACAGAAACGAGTTGCAATCTCATCTCGAGTTGGGCATACTTACGAAGCCGAAGGATTGGGAGTTGGATCCTAGTTCATTCACCTCTCTCTTGCTATTCACGAGCAATAAGATGTCAACCTAAGGAGGGAATAGTCTGCTAGGCGAAGTCCGCGATTCGAAACGGGAGTTTTGCTAACGCATTGAGGTCAAGGTTCGGACGACGATGCAGCCATTTGTTTCGATCTGTACATACGGCATTGAGCGGATAAATAGATGTCAAGTGTAATAGCTTGATTGTGGTGAAGAGAGGCCACTAGCATATCAAGGCGTAGGTATACTCAACTTCCTTACATATAGTTGCTAGACTACTTCCTCGTCTACAGCTTACGATGAAATATTTGACTGACAAGATTGACAGTTGGAATGACGATAGCTTCGGATGGCCATATCGTCTTTAATTATTGGTGCTCGCCCGCTTAGCCATGCCGTGTTCTTCGTCATCGGACGATGCAATATGCAATATCACAGAAAAAAACCTTTGAACTACAGATTCGCTCGTTATCAACGCCGGTGCTTCGATTCTTGCGCTATACAAAGGACTGCAACCGCCTGGCTTTCTTCGCAAAGGGGTCACCGGAGGGCTTTTACTAGAGCACATCTCACATTTTTCTGCTTTTCCACAGACTTCTTGTCTCCATCTTCCGCTCTCCGTCTTCTTTTCTCCATATTCACGTTCTCAAGTCGTCCATCATAGACACGGGAGCATGATGCTTTCACATCGTCGAAAGGTTCGTCGCAAGCAGTCGCTACAAAGAGACTGGATTTACTATTCTTTGGTGGTGAGTCTCATGACACAGACAACTCTAAGCTCGCAAAGTGGCGGGACTATGACTACAAAAGACAGTCTGCTCGGAAGAATTGGCATGTTGCCGCTGCTACCCGCGTCTTCCAGAGCAGATCGTCATGTTTGAATTGCCGGACAAACCGCATATCATTTGGGAATAGCGACGACAATCGGCCAGCCTCGGGACACTAGCATGCCTCTGCCGACAAGCGTCAAACCTGCAGGGCTGTATTTCGGGATCAGCCCGCGGTGTGATCCGACGTGGATATAGCCAAGGAACCCTTAAAGCCTGGACATCTATCACTGCAGTTGTCAGGAGATCTCGAAGCAGGTCCAGATCTCCTCCCCGCATTCAGCTTCGGCCCACTGGCACATGGGAGTGCTGGGGGAGGGGGGGCAAAATTCCCGACAGCGGTTCCGAAAAATCCCTTGGGTGCCGGAACGACGCGCTTCCAGTGTCCAATGAGCCTCGAGAATCGGCCGGGACTCCGGCCTGTACCCCGGATCTCAGTCATTATGTGATACTACCGCCCGATCTTCAAGTGGAGCTCGGCTTCCGGGATATTGCATCCCCATCATTGACGATGAAGCATCGCCGTTTTGTCCACCTCCGGAGGCTTCAAAGCCGCTCTCCTCCGGACGAGCAAGTGGCCCCCCTGCTCGTCGGCAAATCTCTGGCTCTTCGCCATATGTCTTTTATGCAATTCGAATTGTGCACCTCACGTCACTTGCATTAAACCCGATTCGGAGCTAGCTGTCGTAAATTCGCACGTGGGCTCTTATCTCCTTTGCCGCGAAGACCGCCAGGCCGAAAGAACCGGACCAGAGCAAGCAAAGCCAATCTGGAAGGGAAAGCAAACAGCGAGACCCAGCCGGCGTGGGGGGCAAAGATGTCTATCATTGGTGCCGCCGGATAGAAGGGGGGCCATGCCAGCTCTGCATGAAGGAGATGCCAGGCAGACAGACGTGAGTGGTCCACATTGCTCCCTGGTTTGGTTCACGGACGCGACGCAAAGCGTCTTGACCCAATGACGGCACAGCCAGGACCACCGCTTCAGAGATCCAGAGGGTGAGCGCTCCTGTTCACATGATGACGATGATGTGTGTAGTTGGGCTCTGAGGAGGTTGGCAGGAGGCGAATACTGCCGGTGTGTCGGGAGATCCATGTCCACCGTCTCAGCCCACCTCCTACCTCCCATGACGCACCCCTTTGGGGCATGTCATATCCAGAGCAAAGCTCTCGACATCCGCGCTCCCGATCTCTGCGCGGGTCCCCCCCATGCCGTCCGGACTGACAGCTTAGCGTCAGTGCCAGCGCTGTCTCGAGTTAGGTGCTCGTACGGGCCTGCTTGTGATTATGGATGCACATCCATAAGCAGCTGTGACACGAGAGCCGGCACTGGTAAGCATAAAGAGCACGCAACCGCCTTCTTCTTGCCGAGGATCCCTTTCCTTTCCTGTTTCTCATTCAACCATCTCCAACGCCTATATAATACCTCGCCGTCCCTCGTGGTCCTACACTCTTCATATTCCGCCCAACTCGCACGATACACCGTCTCTCTCTTGTGTACCTACCATCTATCTTCCATTACAAAGAGTCCAAAGTCCACAGCTCTCAACTCTCAAGATGTCTCTCGACTTTGCCCGTGCTGCTCTTGCTGAGCGCCGCCCTTCCTTCTTCCTCACGCTGGCTCCTGCTACTTCCTCTTCATACCCGCACCCAGAGAGACGGCCCTCTGTCACAGAGGGTACGACGGTCAGGCCACGACGAGCCTCCATCAGCTCTCCTACGGGCCTCCGGGTCCTGAAGCTGGCCCCCGTCTACTGCGGTGAACACATTGGCCAGAACAAGGACGACTTCTACGACGTGCAAGAAGCCACGCCTCCTTCACCGGCTGTTGCCCCCTCTGCTTTCCTTTCTCTGGCACCGACCACCTCGTCATCATACCCCCAGATGCCTGTCGGCAACCCTGCCGATCTCCCTGAGAGGCGACGATCCTCCTCCACTTCCACCACCGGCTTCAGGGTGTTGAAGCTGGGCCCCGTTTACTGGGGACAGCATGCCGATGAGCACAAGGACGACTTCCACGATGTTCCCGCCTCTCCTTAGAGGATGATGATTTATATTCGGTCAAACAAATACCGGGAATTGGGATTATTTCTATTGCATCTTTTGTGATTTATCACCCACGAGGGATGAAGCAAGCGATATCTATTGTTTTTACCAGCGCACAAAAAAAGGTTTCTTTAGCGACAAAACAGCAGCAAATGTTGAAAAAGCGGAATGACTCGAGGGAACAGATCTACTCTCTCAGCCAGCGTTGGCGCCTTACTAGCGCCTGATATGCTCGGCTTGGCATATGTTACTGGAATGAGCCTGGATGGACGAATCAAGCGAACTGATTTCATGTTGTTTTCCTTCTGTATCTCATTGGCGAAGGAGCAAGATCTTGGATCTATGGAAAGAATGTACCAGACTCCGCGATATGATTTGAAGGCGGGTTTCGGGGTAGTACCACCTCCTAGTTTGCAAGATGGTGTTACGGGAGCACCTGGTGGACAGATTAGTTGCGCGCAAGATGTGCAACAGGTATCAAATCAATACCACAAGATTTTTTCTTTGGCCAACCAAAAGCGATACCTTGATAGCCAGTGACCTCGATACTCAGTGAACATGTTTAAGACGCAGTATTACCAGCACAACGAACCACTGCTTGCTTGCTACAGTTTTTGATCCTTCCAACGACTGCTGACGACGCCTCCCACCTTTTCTTGGCGTGGGCATCCTTTTGTGTCTCAGGTTTCTTTCTCTACGTTGAAAAGGCGCGAGAATGTCAGTTTAAGCTTGAAATGCCGTGTCTCTGGTTGTTTATTCTTATGTGAGGAGACGGGGCTGGGCGGGGGGGATGTCTCATCTCTGTTTCTTGGCTGAGGTTTTCGAGATTTTGGTGATACCTTCTAGGTGAGACATGGGGGGGCGAGGCTGCTTGGCAGAGGGCAGCGAAATGATAAGAGACTACGGCTGTATTTGCTATTTCCATCCTATTAGGTCTATGAAGCAGTTGATACCAGTTACGGGAGCAGGTAGTCGAAGAAGGAAATGCTCTGGAATCCGTAGGGCGATGTCCCATGTGAGAGGAGCAAAGATCCAGGGGGGGTTCCAAGTACCCAGGTATCGTCTACACATGGAGATAATAGGTAATAACAGGTGAGGTAGTTACACCAACCGAGGGACGGCAAACGGACGAGCTCTCCCGAATAAACTGGGGAAGCTTTTTCAGATCTTCATAGTATCCCGACTCTTCCACATAGATAGTACTCCGACTCTTCCACTTGACCGCCCGGTGATAGCCGGCAAAGTGGGTGGGAACGCAATCACAAATGCAGAGAACACGATTAAAAATCTTCACATGTCGATACCCCGTATTATTGCAAGCGCAGCAACAAATAGAAAGAAGGCGAAACGGAAAATCTACGCTGAGCAGTGTCTGATATACGGGGGTTGTTACCAGGGGGCTGCAGACAGAAAGACTGAAATGGTATGCTTTTCATGCAAGCATAGCATGATGTGAGAGGGGACTATGGCTGGATCGGGGTTACCCTTTGAACTACGGAGTACTAGTATTAGCAGGTTCCCGAGGCTGTGGGAGATGGGCGAAGAGGGATTGATCTAGACTCTCTGTGCTATTTCTTGCTGCAACGCTGTTTGTAGCACACACGCACATTTAGTTTGGGAGGTTGCGAGATACCTGTTGTGGCTTTTTGATTCTCTTCTTCCGCTTCTCTGGGTTGTTTTGCAGCTATGCAGGGGGTTGAAGGGGAGCAAAAGGACTGCATGAAGAAGGATGGAGGGCGGACGAGTGGAAGATGCCGAGATAAGGAGCGTCTTTTCTTCCATCTTCATCGTCCTTTGCCCGCATGATAATCTGCCCCCCGTCAAATCCCCTTCCATCCCCCGAAGGCGACAATTTGCTGTACCAGATGTCATACCAATTGTCATCCACGATGCACCACCACCACAAGTCCATCGTCACACATCAAATCTCATAGGAGTGGGTGTCACTCGTGCTAATTAATATTGTTAGTGCTGCTTTTTTACTTGTCCGCCAGCACCAACAAGTGCGGGGAGACACAAAAGAGAGGCCGTAATGCCGTGCTGGAAAAGAAAGAAAGAAAGAAAGAAAACCCCCCACGCTTCCTTCTTCTTCTTTCCCTCCCTTGCTTTCCTTGGCCCATTTCCCATTGTTGCTTGGCAAAGATGGGTTCTCTCTCCTTCCTTCCTTCCTTCCTCCCTGCCTTCGGGTGTTGCTTCCCCTGTAAATCCGAAACGACCGTCGCACACAGGAGGAAGGAAGGCAAGCATCTCAAGTCAGTCAGTCAGTCAGTACGGAGTATAGTAAGGTAGTAGTAGTACTACTCCGTACGTGGTGGTTACATGGCAAACTTGCGGTGAATGGGGGAGGAGGGGAAGTAGATGCCGAGCAGCGTGGAGTACCGCAGAGAAAATGGAATTGATAGAAGGAAAGGAATGAAAAACGATAAAAGTCCATTTGTTGATTGAAAATCATGTCTCCTTGCGGTAAGGAAGCAGCCATACCTTAGCTGTGCCCATAGCCGAGGAAGGCGTGACTGATGAGCGTCGGCGAACGGGGCAGGCACGTTGTGCCATCATTGGCAGGGGCGGCTTCTTGATTTACAATGATACGGCCAAGCACGGCTCTGCTCTGTAAGCAGCCGCTTTTGCCTCTTCAATTGCTTTTCGCCTCCGCTGCTCGTCTTCATGATTTATACTATGTACGAGCATGGCCTACAACTACTATAGGCATTCTGTGCCTAGGCACTCGGCTGTCGCAATCACTCGCGCCGCTGTGATGGCGAACAGGTATTGATGATTGATCTTGATCCAGACGCAGTCAAGCCCCACAGCGAGATCTGAGGGGCAAAAGAAAGGGTGACCCGGCCCCTGCTGGAGAGCAACGACATGATGACCAAAGCTCTACCCCCTTGCCCCTGTCTGGTTGGCCTGAGAAGGGGTTGCATAAAACGGCTTCGAGCATCTCCGGTTGGTCGTGCCTAAGGTAGGATGCGTCTCTACTGCATTGTCTTGATGTCATCAAGGTACATAATGCTAACGAGGAAAGCTACAAGATTCTTCCAACTGTTTGATGACGGCGAGCACTATCTGGATCGCGTCCCAACTCATGCAAATGCAGTCATATGGCAAGTGCATCCTGCCTGGCTGACGCTGCTTGCAGCATCACAACGAATCCAAACGCCATACGTGGTACTGTGCGGACAAATATGGTCGAGCTGGAACCAGACATGCAGTCTATTTCAGATGGGCGAGCATGACCTCAGCTTGTGGGATTTTAGCTGGCTCGATCCCGTCCGCATCACCAGCTACGAGGTTGATTTACCGTTCATCAGCTGACTCAGAACCAGAAGCTGTTACCAGCCACACAAAGTCTATTACTGTAGTTTGTACGGGTGATTGTCGTATCCAGCCCTATCAACACTTTGCACAGGGTCCTTCCGCGTTTGACACGTCTTGTCTTTCTCATCATTCGCTCTGTTGCTATGGATGGACACTATCCCGTCCAATGCCGATGGTGCATTTTCGCTCTCTTACTTTCGAGTTCTTCCTCACCTCCCCTTCTCTGCTTTTGCTAACATTCTAAGGCCAAGCAACGGAATCTAGTGGCATGTCCCGCAGATATCCAAGAGGCAGACGTGGACTGTAAACGAATGGCAGCAGGTGGACTTTCCAACTCCATGCGACTTCATCAGTATACGCACCCGCATCGCTGATCCACGTATCGAGTTTTGACGACGGCTATCCGGCCATGGCCGGCGCAGCGTCCGCAGCTTATCCGCTGAGGCCTTCCATTGTGGCAGTATATGCAGTAGATTGAAGGGGCCTGGCAGCAGTACACCCAGCTTCTCCCCCGGCAGACGTTGCACGACACACTGACCGTCTCCTGCCTCGCTATCTTGAACCACCCCTTACCGTCGCAGTCTTCGCAGGTTGGGTTTGGTTTCCTTGCGCGGGAGCGGTCAGAGTCTATGGATGACCCGCTTCGCACTGAGCTATGTCTGCTTGAACGGGGCATTGTGACAAGTCGTCTGCGAGCTCGGGATCTTCGAATGGCAATTTTCTGTCTGCGAGAGCGATTAGTGTGGCAACCTGAGATTCTCGAATCTGCAACCAAAGGACGGTCTGACTTGAGCTTCCGACTTGGACTTGATGCTTTGTTATGGACCTGGTTTACGCAACGAGCAATAGCCTGGGATGTTGACAATTCCCTTTATAGCAGGGCATCTGCGAGTTGAAGGGCGTTGAAGGACGGTTTGGTGATGATATTCTGCATCTCTTCATTGCCGAGATGCTGAGGATCTGTCGTTGATTGCTGCCACTGTTGTGTATCGTGACACTTGGGAACGGCGTTTGAATGGCTCTCATTGTATGCCGGCGTGTTGCAAAATGGGCGAAGCACTCACTACACACAAATAGAGAGAGCATACGGAGGGAATAAGTGGAAAGGTTGGTAGTTTACTTTCAGGGGGCATTGCATGGCTGGTGAGTGTTGTTGATGCCTCTTGGACGCTGTGAGTGGTGACCATGGGCGTTTGCGACATTGACTCACGCATGGAATACAAAGTCTACTTCTGCGGGAATTGGTCTGCATTTGAGAGAAGTTTCATTCACAGTTGACGGTGAAGATATCGATCCGAGTCCTTGATGAGAGGTTCGGGGGGGAGCTAGTTGGTGTTGATGGGAGTCGGTTTTTGCAGAAAGGGGGGAGTCTCAGAAACTCTTTTGCACTTCCAATGGGTAGCAGTATACGATAGGCAACACGAAGAACAAACCATATCTCGAATATGCCTTGTTTAGGTTCCCGTGTTTGCTGGACGCTGCAATTACGTCCGACTGGGCGCCGTATGTGTCAGTGTACCGGGTTGATACTGGAGACGGGGGTAGCACATGGATATCGTATACCCGCCTTATTGAGCTTTTCGCATCACGCTATACCCAGTCTCAAGGATCAGGTCTTGGGGAGACCGACAAGGCGTTTTCTTTTCGTATATGGTCGTACCAGATGTTCACCATCATCTCAGAGGATGTCCAAGTGATTTGACTCCCACTTACAACGTTCTTGCTAGAGATGGAACGGGAGAGGAAAGATAACTCATTACCTACATTACAAGTGAACTCCATCACGGCAAAATGACAACCCTACTGGACTATACCTGCCACGCCACCGCTCTCCTCCTCCCCTCGGGATCAACCTTGCTCAGAATCGCCCTCCAGTCAACATCAATCACCTCCTCCTCATCATCAACATCCTCCTCCTCCTCCTTCTTCTTCAAGGCAGCATCATCGCCAGCCTCCTCGGCACCAACTCTCCTATGCTGCTTCAGAAACGGCAGCGAGCCGCCGCCGCACTCCCTCCCGGGATGGAACTCGCACCAAGCCCGCTGATGCCTCGTGCCCCTGACCCTCAGCCTCGCCTCCCGGATGCCCGGGTCCGCCAGCAGCCTGACCAGGCCTTCCAGCGGGGGCCTGTCAAAGACGCGCCTCTTTTCGCGCAGGAAGGCGCTCGTGATGGACTGCGCCCTGTGCTGCTGCTGCTCCTTGTTGTTGCTGCTGCTGCTCTCGTCGACTAGTAGGGTAAAGTCGGCGAGCTCGCCCCGGACGGCCATGTCCTGCAGGAACGGGCCCAGGTCGTCCCACAGCCAGCCGCGGAGGCGGTCGATGCGCATCTCGAGCTTGCGCACCCTGCGCCTTGCTTCTTGGGACAGGAGGAGGAAGCGGCCTCCTGTGCGGCGGAGGAGGAGCTGTTCTTGTCTCGGGGCTTGTTGTTGTTGTTGTTTGTTGCCGTGGGCGTCATCATCCTGCATGGTGTCCTCTGCTGCGTCGTCGATGAAGCGCCGGATGTGGGAGGCGTGGTCCCCGGTGAGGTCGAGCAGGAACGTGTTTGCCGGGCCGTAGAAGAGCGGATGGGCGATGGCGTAGAGGGAGGGGTGGATGAGGAAGACGGGGACGGGGTTGATGATGGCGCTGCTGGCGGTGCAGGGACAGAGGGGGATGACGCCGCTGCTGCCGTCGTTGTTGTTGTTGTTGGGGGCTGTGAGGAGTTGGGAGAGGATGAGGGAGAGGATGTCGACGGGGAGGTCGAAGAGGTGCAGCGGTTCGGGCATTTTTTTGTGAGAGCCGTGATTTTTTGCGCGGAGAGAGTGTGTGAGTTGAGGTTTATGTTGTATGGGGCTGGGTGTGGTTGTTGCAGGAAGTTTGTGTGATTGGAGATGAGGAGAATTGGGGAGTTATGGCAGAGAGATTATGATGGACCGTTTCATGGGGACTCGTGGGGGGTTTTGTGTCTTGCAAGGGGGATGCTGTAGAGTGATTATGGGTGTCGATGATGTAGCTGGGTATACTTGTGCAAGAGACGTTCGTGTGAGAATGTTGATGATGGAGGAGGGGAGGTGGGGTTGAGTGAGGCTGGAGTTTAGGTGAGTTGTAGTGAAGTGGCATTTCCGGAGTTAAAAGAATAAGTGCGATGCCACCTTACTAACGCAACGTCATGAGGGTTTGAACCAAAGAAGAGCATTTTGAATGTAAAGAGATATTGGTCAACAAACGATAATACTTGATCAGAGTACGATGTAAGAACGAAGCTTGATATTTCTCTGTTGGGGGCCTGAGGATGGGTTCAGGTATAGGGTGGTGGTCAAAATCGGTATCAAAAAGCGTTGATGCAGTAGTAGCCATTAATGAAGGGTGTCAGTTGCTACGTAAGGTACGTTATGGGAATGGCTTGGGCAGCACAGACATAGTTATAGCACAACGACACAATCGGTAATTCGTACATGATAGAACACTTTGAAGCATCGCATGCACCCTTCGAATCGTCTGGGTAACAGAAAGTAAGCACGAGTATGTGTTGCATTCTCAGGCTCCGTGTATCAGGCTCCGGCCTCCTAAGGAAATGTATATCAACTACATGCATGGCTCACTCCTCCCCTTGACATGGTATCCTCCACCGTTCTCCTTTTGGCAACAGCATCAAGAAAACTCGGTAAAATATATAGATTGAGAAAGAAGGAAAATAGAACGACAAGTGAGATATAACAGACAGGCTTATCTCAAACCAAAAATGTCGGGTAGATGCTTGAAACAGAGGAGGGGAACCCATCGACAAAGTCAGATTCTCCCCTTACCCCCTTTCAGCACACTCATCCGTCCTCTGCCTTCTCCTGTCTACTGTGAAGACGTCTGAAATGTGCTTGCCAGGGCTCCCCATGCCTTCCTTTGCGTTTTCTGGGTGGTATCATACAGGATATCTGAAAAAGAAAATAAAGATGTGTGTATAGTGATATGGGGAAAAGGACAAAGAGATAGAGAATGGACTAGTTATTAAATTTGAAACGCTGCACATTGCATCGTATCTGAGTGCATTCAAGGAAAATGACGGCGAGTGGTATCAAATTGCGGCAGATGTTGGGAAAAACGGAATCGGAGTATTATCAACAAGAAGAAATCGTTGGGTCACTCAGTTGCGGAGAGGCACCGAGGTGCCCTCCATGTTGCCCGTCAGCTCGGCGACACGAGCCTTGATGCGGGCGACGCGAGACTCGATTGCTGCAAGAAAATGGTCGGTCAGTATTATATCGTATACGGCACGCGCCGTACGAGGGTGGAACAGTCAATAGCACTTACTCTCCTCTCCACTGGTTTCATCGTCGCCGTCAGTCGGCCTCACAGGCCTCTGCAGGGCAGGGTCTTCCAGCGGGCGTGAGGCGCTTCGCTCAGCCGCATTCTTGCGGATCTGGGCCCATCGATCCTGAATACCGGGGCTCGTACCAGTAGAGAGCCCTTCCTTTACGGGCAGCTTAGAGTTGAACTTGGGGTTTTCCTGTCGAGGAGGTTCCTGTCGGGGAAGCTCCTTTCGGGGAAGTGGTGCCTGACGGGTGGGGCGAGCAATCGGGGCCGGCACCGCATCCTCGAACTCGTCATCCTCGTCGTCTTCGGGAACAAAGGCTGGTACATCATCCAGAGGGCCCTGGTCGAATCGGTTAAAGTCGTGCTCAGTCTCGGCGGCATCATGGGCATCAGCGTTTGCGGCTTCATCGTCGGCCTGCTGGTCGTAAATCGGCTCGTAAACCGGCTCTCCGTCGACTGGCGTTTCCGGTTCCTGTTCCGCAATGGGCGAGACAGGAGCAGGGCTGGCCATCGGCTTCTCGATAGACTTCTTGGCGTCATTCTGCTCAAGCATCTTATTCAAATCAGTTGTGACACTCTCAAGGTTCTTGGAGTTGCGCTTCTTGCGGCCAAACAGCTTGAAGAGGCCGCCCTTGTGCTGCTTCCCGGCTTCGGGGCTCCGTGGGGCTTCAAAGGACGAAGGCTTGCTGTTGAACGTAGGCGACTTGACCCGGGCAGCCGGCTCCTCCTTGGGTGGCGTCGGCAGGCTGGGGGGTTCTGTCTTGGGCTGTTCGGGGGCGGTAGGCACAGGCGTGGCAGCCTTGTCCGGCAGAGGCGAACGGGACCGCGACTCCTCCAAGACGCTCTCGGGAACCAGTGACAGGGCAGAGTGTCCGTGTCCATGGGGTAAGGGTGAAGCGGCCGGCGTCAGAAGATTATCCTTGGGAGGCACTGCAGGCGAGGGCAAGTTGTCGGCGGAGATATCCTGGGCGGTGTCAAGGTGCTCGGAGGGAGTAAAGGCTGTTCCTCGGCCCGCACCGTCGTTGGCCATGTAGATGTCCTTGATGGTGCCCTTGTCGTAACTCTTCACCCACTTCATGGCGGAAGAGGCCTCACCCAGAATACTGGGCTGAAGGGTCATAACACTATTAGTCTTTTCAGCGAGCAACTCGGCATCGGTGCGGCCGCGGCGAACAGGCGCCGGGTTGGGTTCCTCCTTGGTTTGCTGGGCCCTCATCTGCGCAGCCTTTGCCTGGACTCTGGCGTGCGCATCGGGACCAAGACTAGCCTTGCTGTCATTGGTGTTGGCATTGGCATTCGCACTGGCCGGCTTGTCATGGTGTTTTTCCAATTTGCGCCGAGAAACGGTCTTGGAGCGTTTCGTCCACGAGAAGAGACCCTTCTTCTCCGCAATGTAGGCTCCATCTTGTGCATCAGGGGAAGCCCCTGCGATGATTTCCTCCACAACCAGCCAGCGGCAGCCACGGATCTGAGTCTCGACAACAGCGCATCTGCCAAAGGCCGATTTCCGCTCGGGGGTCTCTTCTGGCGCAAGACTGGTCATCCACACCCACCAAAAGGCGTCGTCCAGATCCACAACCTTGATGCTCGCGAGCTCACCGGGCTCAACGTCCCGTTCGCTCTCAAGCCTGGGCTGATGTGATTGCGAGCTGAGTTGCCGGGCATCGGGCGACAGAGGCGGGAGAATCTTATCGGGAGGCAGAAGATAGGTGGGCTTTGATTGGGAGTCGTCAACGAAGCCGGCCGACAAGAAGTCTGCCCATGAAGGCGTAGTCGGGCGCGCCAGCCCGTTGCCTCCGGAAAGCGGACTGTTGCGAAGTCCCTGGAAGGGTTTGAGCTCTTGCACCCTTCTGCTCGGCAAAATGCCTCCGTCTGTATCGTCGGACTCCTCTAGGGAGGTGGTGAATCCCAAATCCTCGAACCGGGACCAAGAAGCGTCTCGTAAGCTCGTAGAAACCTTTACGCTCGAAGCTTGTGACTGATTAGCTGATGAAATGGCCTTGAGAACTCGCTGGCATTCTTCGGTCAATGCCTGCACCGGATCTTCGTAGCTAGAAAATTCCTGGAGTTCGCGATCAGAGTCCCGATATTGGAAATGGTTCGCTCTCCTCAACAAGGCAAACGGAGTCGGAGAAACCGTCTCAACAATCATGGCCACCTTTTTGGTCTTGACGATGAGCAGTTCCGGCCTCTGCGGGGGATATTCGGTTTCCTGAAGCAGCTTCTGAAGGGATCTGGGGAGCATGGAGATGCCAGTGGGGTCCTGCTCAGGGGCAAGCGACCGCAGATAAGCGAAGAAGAGATGGCTCGTGGCGTCGGCAGCTCTACAAGCGCAAGAGAAGTCAGCAAAAGGCTCCATCCACGCTCCGTCTTCCCAGCAGACAACGCGTCGTCCTACCTGAGCCACGCCCCGTAGCCACCATCAAATCCGTTGCCGGTATCGTTGTGGTCAAAGGCCCACCACGAGGCCATACGGGACAGCTTGCGGCCACCAAAGCCGTTGTTCTTGCCATGCGCCGCCACTGCTGCTACCAGACTGAAGAAGTCGAAGATGATCTGCTGGCGCGCGGCATTGTCAACGCTGAGGGGGATGAAGGTCTTGAACGAATCGCGGGCCATGTTCGAGTCTTGGGGTAGCACCGGCAAGTCAGCGGCTGCACGTAGCCGTAAGGGCGCTTAAAGTTGAAGCCGTAGATACATACCTCGTTCTCCGACCCGGAACAAATCATACGCAGTCCAGCCGACGAGGCCTCCCTCAAGACGGCTCCAGCACCATTTTACCACGCCGGATATGACCTGTACGCTGCGTGAGAACTCCGCCTTGCTATAAACTCCGAGACAAACGTACCATGGGCTCCGTCATGCGCAGCTCCTGGAGTAGCACTTCGCCGCTCATCGGGGGATCATGGCTGAAGAAGTTTCGGATAAAGGTGCGCACAGCACTGGGGTTCGAAGTCGGTCGGAACGGCAGCAGAAAGAACGGGTGGTCGAGACCTGGAGCGAGATTTGTCAGTCAACGCTCAACGTGGGATGAAGCGCACCCCATATGACGGAGCTGCACGACAGCCAGGTATCGATGGACACCCTACCTCGCGACTTGAGCTCTTCAGTGCAGCCGTGAAGAAGCTCTCGAACCTCCTCGGGCTCTACAGTCTTGCGTGTCCAAGCATCGTCCCATTTTGGCTTCTGCAGAACCAAGTCTGCGTCGTCGAGCCCGTCCTTCTTGGACTTGCCGTCCTTTTTGCGGCGAGAGAAGATGCTGGGCATCGTGAGGAATTGCGATGGCCAGCTATGGACGGGCTGTATTGCACCGTCTGGCACAAATCCTTCACAGAAAGAAAAAAGAATAAGGATGAAGAGACCTGCTGGGAACTGCTGCTGCTGGGTTCTAGTTTGGTCAAGAGGCGGTGGATGCCGGGCGTTTGGAACCTGCAGACGGCCAAAAGAAGAAGAAGGAAAAAAAGCAAAGTCAAGCCTCAGGCGAATCACCCAGGCCCTGATAGCGACTGAACCTGCCGAGATGGCAATGACACCACCGGCCTCGCCAATGGGGTAGAAGAATAAGGCTGTCAAGCCAATTCGCGCTGCGAACGTCGTATAAGTGCGCAGCTGTCCAGCACGGCAAAGGGCGGGTTGAATTAGAAGTCGAGGTGACGCAAAGAAACCGAAACAAAGACGTTTAAAGAAGAGAAAAAGGAGGGGCACTCTGTTGGAGGTGAGGATGACGGCTGAAGCTCGACGAGGGGAGGCAGGAAGCTGATAGCAGCCGGCGCGCAACAACACAGTGGCTCTCGATCCTCCAGAAGGGACACGGTCCCGCTTGCAGAGTGGAAGAGATGATGATTTCGCTTGCTAGAGGTCAATGGTGAAGAAGACGGCGGGAACCAACTTTTTTTTTCCTGCTCGTCTTGTCTTTCAGGGGCGCGACAGGACACGACCAGACCAGGCCAGGGGCCACGCCTACGGGTCTTTATGCGACTAAGATTAGATGCTAAATTGTGTGGGCGCCAGCTGGGGCCGCAGGTAGTCGTGCCGCGAGAGCGCCGCGGAGAGGTACTTGGTAGTTGGGCATGGTGGCATCGAAAGCGACTGTGATTGTGGTTGATTCCACGGTCGGGTTCTCTAGTTTACCTTCAATTCAGGTTGTTGGTGCTCCCTCCTCCGCACGAGGCAACGGGACGATGCCTGTGCCTGGAGGCCACAGCGCCCAATTGGGCTCCGGCCGGTCGTCGCACTGGCACGCTGTTTATCTTCTGGTGTGCGGGATGATTGGACGTGGCGCCTCGAATGCTCTGTCTGTCGACATGCACACGTGTGCGGTTTGTACACGTATCGCTCGACACCCAGGCGCAGAACTTGGTTGATGCCCCCCATCTGCTGGGAACTGGGGACGAACGCCGGTGGAGCTTGGCAGCCGTGGAGGTAAGGTAGTCGTACCGGTACCTGTTCCTGGCGGGCGGCAGTGGCCACAGCCTTTTGGCGAGACAGCAGGTGGGGGTGAGTTAGCGGCTGAATGGGCTCTGGCGCGGAGTGCGGGACGGGCTGTGATGTCTTGTGTCTCTTGTACCTGAGCGAGCGACGGGCCAGCGCTGCCACCAGCCAGAGCGTACAGGTACATACCTACCTCTGCTCTCAACGCCAAACATGGGCTACCCGGGCTATCCCTGAAATTTAAATTGCGCCAGGCCATTGGGCGTCGCAGCTGGAACCTCCATGGTCACAGCCAGCAAGTCTTCACTCGTGTCGACATGGATGCCTTTGTTGGCACTCTCTTTGACCGAGTAACTCGTACTTGTACCGTGTCATCCATCGTGAGGCTGGCGGGATTGGGCACGCTCATGCAGAGTCCAAGCAGCATGAAGCCAAGATCACCACCAGTCGTCAGGTTCGTTGTACATCCACTGCAATCCCAGCCGCCACATGCACGCCAACTCTGTTCGACAGCGGCCTCACTCCGTCTCACAGTCCCGTGCGGCTTCCGTCCCCCCAATGGTATCACGTCGCTCCAGGTCGGGTATCTGACCTACGACATGTGTGCTCCGTACTCGCACCTTAGGTAAGGGGACACATTCGGGCGGGAGCTTTTCTCCATGCGGAGTGCAGGAGTGTTGGTGCATGGCATGGCGTGGCTTGGATCTGGAGCAGGAGACTGGACTCAGCTGGGCACTTCTTGCGAGAAACATGAAATCATACTGGGCTGGGGTTTGGACGAGCTTGGGCCACTGGCGATATTGATTGACTGCTTCGCCAGGGTTCCGTGAAACAAGTTCCCAGCCTGCCATTAATAAGGCTGTCAGCAGCCGGTTTCTTATTTGCTGCGAAGCAGAGTGTCTGCGAGTTGTCCGTCCTATCAAGAGATGCCGTTTGATGTTGATTGACATACTACTTGCAGATTCTGTCTGTACTTCGTACGATCTGGTTTCATGGTCCGTCCTCTTCAAGTACTAGATATGGCCAACTTTGGAGGCTGATGATATCATCTGTAAGTATACGCTGATGCAATCTTATAACCTGATAGTCTAGTCTACTGTAGTTCTAGAAGTAGAGCCCCTATAAGGTCGGTGGTCAATATTACAGAGCGAGGGTAATATAGACAGGGCTGTCGCGGCCGAGAGCGTTCCATGCCAGTCTCGGCACACTCATCAAGTCTAGAGGTCCAGGCTCATCCAAGGTTATAGTAAAGACCGAGACGGACATTCAGCTGGTCACTTTGCGCCAAGTTGAGCCCCCCGGCTTCATTTGCCTGTGAGGCAGCCTAGTAGCCAGGGTCGGCAATGACGGTTCGGCGGTGGAAATTGATATCGAGGGCAGCAGTTCCAATCCATCCAAGACTGAAGCCATCAAGATTTCGATTCCTCGAGGGTCTCATACGTGCGGCCAATTTGAGCTTCTGGCTAGCCGCGCCCCTCACAATATAAATACGAGATTATTGACACCAGATAACCGGACTCGGTACTTTCCAGCTAATCTCAGGTTATTCATCTCATCGCTGAAGCTCGGCTTCATAACCGGACGACGTCAGGTATGGCGCTGCGCTGGACGGACTGTACCGAAAATTCATGGTCCATAGGCGAAATCAGATCGCATCCCGACCCTCTTATATCCTTTGCAAGGTTTCTTGGCTACATCATATTTATTTTCCCTGTTCCTATACAAGCACCTAAAAAATTCAATCTGAATCCCAAATCCCGCGCCGTCGACGCTCATCGTGACAGCGTTACCCGAGTTGCCGTTAGTTTATACTTCATAAATACACAGAAATCGTCGTGAGTGTTCCATCATTGTCGCCTGTGCCCGTAGAATCCGCGCAATCGCTGCGTGCGAGTCAGGCTGTCTAGTTCTTAATCTTTTCCTCTGCAAGTTTAAGCGCCTCTTCCAATGCGGCCTCCTCATCGGAATCGACGTCGTCCTCGTCAATGTTCGGCACTGGCTTCTTCGTCTTGACGTCGCCATTAGCTGTCGCTTTTCCCTCGACATTCTCGGCTGAGGCTTCCTTCGACTCCTCTTCCCCCTTTTTATCGGGCCCTTTGGTCTCCTTTACCTCCCCATTCGCCGTGGTGGCTTTCTCTTCGTTGACAACTTCTTTGAGAGCTTCTTTGATAACCTTCTTAGTCGTATTTCCAGGCCTCAGTGCCCAGTCAATTTCGCCGTCTTCGCCATATCGAGAAATGAGCCATTCGTTCGCCAACTTGAAGTGGCCGCAATCGAAGAATCCTCGTGATGCGCTGAGCGGGCTAGGGTGGACGCTGAGGAGCACAAGATGGCGCTGCTTGTCCACCTTTTGTACTCGCTTGCTGGCTGGTGTTCCCCATGCCATAAAGACCACACCTCGTGTCCGCTTCTGAGCGATGAGATCGATGACCTTTTGTGTGAATTTTTCCCAACCACGGTTGGCATGTGAGTTGGCTTCGTGCGCACGAACGGTAAGACATGTATTGAGCATCAGTACGCCTCGGTCCGCCCATGGTATCAACAAGCCGCCCCGATTTGCAGGCTCGATAAAGCTGGGATAATCCTTCTTCAAGGCAATATACATGTTTCTGAGCGATGGCGGCGCTGGCGTGGGCGGTCGGACGGAGAAGGCCATGCCGTGGGCCTGGTTCACGTTGTGGTAAGGATCTTGGCCGAGGATGACGACTTTGACTTCGTTGAATGGCGTGTGACGAGACCTGAAAGTGTTAGTGTACATGGCATGCGAAGAAGAGGTCAAAATCGCCGGAATGACCTACCAAGAGTATACGTCTTCCTTTGGTGGGAACCATTTCCTGCCAGCGGCCGTCTCACGGTTGAGGAACCTCTTCAATTCCAAGAATTCCTTGGAGGTCACATCATCCTTGAGCAAAGCAAGCCAACTGTCGTGAAGCGTCTCAATCTCGAGCTTGAGCAGCTCCTTCTGCTCGGCAGTCAGGCCCTCGATCCATTTGGCCTTGTCAAACTTGAGCGCTGGCGAGGGAGCAGACGCAGGACTGGCACCCGCAGGTTTTGGGGCCGCCCCGAAGAAGGACGTAATGCTGCCGTTGGCCTTTGGCTTCTTCGCCTCTGCCTCGTTGCCTATCGTGGCTGCTTTTCTCTTGAGATTCGACATTGTGCAGAACTGAAGGCTGTGGAGAAGTGGAGGTGCGCGGCTCAGCCGTCGACAGAGGGAAGACGCAGGAATAGCCCACGAAGTGATGATTCCAGACACGGCGACGGAGTGCGATGTTTAGTATCCAACGGACGAGTTATAGCGGTATATCAATGGACTTTTGCGGGAGGCGGAGGGACAACTCTCGGGATCCAGGAGGTTGAGAGTCTGGGTTCATGCGTAACCTGGTAGCAGCGCTTTGATGGGATTTTGAGCACAAGTAACGGATGGCTGGGCTCCAGAGAAAAGCTGCCGGAAAGCGCGTCTGCCGACGCGGGCTAGGGCATCCATTAACGCGCTGCAGCCCTGGATTTGCACGCGTGACGGCTGGGAAGTGGCGGCGTTAGCGCTTGGGGCTCTGCCTAACAGGGAGCCTCGCGCAGCAGTTGAGTGCTGTAAGTCGTCCGGCTCGCCAACCTTCAGTGCCCAGGTCAGCACCAACCGTCTCTCGGCACCGCCACTGGATCTGAGCCAGCGCTTGGAGCCCAAGAGCCTTGTGGGAGCGACCCTGGCCTGGCCGATTCGGGGCCCACATTACGGGCATCCGAATCCGCTCCCGCAGCTCTATGCTATACGTTATTCTGTGCAGCTGTGGGATCATGCAAGTGTGAGACAGAGCGAGGGGAGACCAACCGTTGCTGTTTGCTTCTTGAGTAGAAGATACCTAGTACTATGTCTGATATACCTCTACAACCTCAAACCTTTCTTATATCGTCACTGCCTGTGCTACTACAAAGTACTTCCTTATCCTTTCCGCTTGTTGGATGATTTGCTGCTGCGACACGTGCCGAACTCCTGCGATGACGCTGCAGTTCATGTTCCTGGCGAACATGGGGATGCTTAGTCATCCCACGCCATGGCGCGGAATGGGGCGGAATGGCCGCATAGCTTACCTATCACAGCCCGAGTAGTGGACAGCTTGTACGATATCGACCAGCCTGCATCTGATGCAACATCTTGCGACTCTCCAAGTCTGCTTCTTCCTCTGCACACGATAGCCATGCCGCGGGCTGCCGTTCGAACCATAGGCACATAGCAATTGCCCACAATGAGAGGCTGGATAGCCTGGCTAATCCGTAAGTTGCCATACACGTTGTTACTGCTTTGCATTGCTTGGATGAGAGCTCACGCGGCTTTGCCTCAGTGCTTGCGCAGGCCACGGCCGTCATCAGCTCGCACGATCAACAACCTCTCGGCAGCCAGAATGACGCCTCGGCGCGAACCGCGGGCGACAAACATGCGGTCGAATCTTTCCTCCCAGAACAAGACAAGTCTGCCCACCCACAACCTGGTATGCAATCTGTCACTTGTCCATGTTTACACAATCTGCGATGGAGGACGCTGACATGCCCAAAGGACACGAACTAGTCGATGCAGCACTCGCCGAGCTTCGAAAGATCCCACAATCACATCGTAGAGGTCGGGATGCGCCCGGGATATTCAGCTCAGCTCTGCGCCTGCTTCTCAGGACCATCCCAACCGGGCCCGTCACTGCGCCATCGCAATCGAAGACGACGACGCCTAGCGGTCCTCTAGCGAGCGCGGTAGAATATCTCGAGCAAGCTGCGCAGCAGAACAACTCTGACGCCCTCTACGTCCTTGCCGACTTCAACTTCTTCGGCAACTACAGCCACCCCAGAGACCTCGGGGCTGCCTTCAAATACTACCGACAACTGGCATCGGCTCATGGAAACACCACGGCGCAGTACATGCTTGGCGTGTACTACTCGACAGGCATTGGCGATGTTGTGGCCCGGGACCAAGGCAAAGCGCTCCTCTACTACACATTCGCTGCCGTTCGGGGAGACACCAGAGCCGAAATGGCCACCGGCTTCCGCCATCTCGCTGGCATCGGGACAACCAAGAGCTGCGAAAGCGCGGTCAAGTACTACAAGCGCGTGGCGGACAAGGCCATCGAGTGGTACCGCTCGGGCCCCCCAGGAGGAATGTCGTGGGTATCTCAGTCTTGGCGCATTGCAGACGATGACGGGGGGCTGTATGGAGAAGGGGCAAGTGCTTCAAGCGCCGGGATGAATGCATACAAGCCTAGCCCCAACTCGGACGCCAATGCCGCTATCGGCGATGTCATTGAGTATCTGGATTTGATGTCCCAAAAGGGAGATTCCAAAGCATCGTTCAACTTGGGGCGCATCTATTACGAGGGCCAACGAGGACTGGACCACGATTACGAGCTTGCCAGGAAATACTTTCTACTGGTTGCATCGAGGTATTGGAAAAACGGGCGCATTGTGGACAATGCCAAGTCGGGCATCGAGAAGCTGGCCGGTAAGGCGGCCGGCTACCTCGGCCGCATGTACCTCAGGGGAGATGGGGTGCCTCAGAACTTTGAGAGGGCAAAACTCTGGTTTGACCGTGGCGATTCACAGGCTGACGCGCTGTCGCGATATGGTCTCGGCCTCATGTACTTGAACGGCTACGGTGTCAAGAAGAACGTCGTGAAAGCCGTAGATCTGTTTAGGGTATCGGCCGACCAGGACTATGCTCCGGCGCAGGTCCAGATGGGACAGCTGTACCTCGACCAGGGCGGGACCGAGGATGTTCGCATAGCTAACAACTACTTCGAGCTGGCGGCCCGATACGGCAACATTGAGGCCAACTACTACCTGGCGGAGCTAGTTTTCCACGGTTTGGGTCGCGAAAAGCTCTGTAGCATGGCGCTGAGCTACTACAAGAGCGTGGCCGAAAAGGCAGAGCCCCTTGTCTCGTCTTGGGCAGACGCAAACGACGCGTATGAGGCCGGCGATCACGACCTGGCATTCCTCCATTATCTCCTGGCGGCCGAACAAGGATACGAGAAGGCGCAAACCAATGTTGCCTATCTCCTCGATACTCTTCGATCCAAGTTACCATTCTATGAGATGATGCGCAAACGGAGGGATAAGTCTAGGCTCCTCGATAATCCTACGCTGGCTCTGATTTACTGGACGCGGTCATCTAGGCAAGCAAACGTCGACGCCCTTGTGAAGATGGGCGATTACTACTTCTATGGCGTCGGCGCAGAGCGAGATGTCAGCAAGGCGGTTCAGTGCTACACTGGCGCTTCCGACTATTCGCAGAGCGCCCAAGCGCTCTTCAACCTGGGCTGGATGCACGAAAACGGCATCGGCCTGACACAGGACTTCCACCTCGCCAAGAGATACTACGACCACGCCTTGGCCGTCAACGACGAGGCGTACTTGCCCGTCACCTTGGGATTGCTCAAACTTCGAGTACGAAGCGCTTGGAACACTCTGACTGGTGGATCAGTCCACTCTATCCAAGACGAGCCGAGTAAGTTTTCTTCAAGAAGGGGGAGTCGGGGGGAATGTGCTGACAACCTTGAAACAGAGAAAAGGAAGGACTGGTCGTTATCGGAATGGATCGCCAACTTCCTAGAAGATGATGGACTGACGTACGAGGATGAGTACTATGACGATTACTACGATGAGACCATCGGAAACGACGGCGAAGATGCCCTGGATGGAGTGGTCGAGAGCGCTCTGATTATAGGAATCACGGCGGCTCTGGTTCTGCTCCTGTGGTGGAGGCAGAGGATGCAGCAGCAACAGCACGCCCAGAACGACGAGGGGGCGCGTCAGAACCAGAGGCAGCCGCAAGGCAATGCCATGAACCCCGAAGACGCGTTTCCGGCGTGGGCAGGGGGAGGAATGGGTTTATAGGCAGAATGTCTGCGTACATATAAACATGGGTGGCGTTAACGGATGCAAAAGTATTACATGTATAGCGGCGGTGCCCCTCTGTTTTTGATTGAAAGTACATGTATCTACTGCTGAATGACGATGGGACACTCTCGCGTCTCTTGTTATCTCGTTTCTTTTCTCGCTGTTTCAAGGATATAATTGGAAGGAAACGTTGAGAGCACAGATGCCTCGAAATGGCATATCGTGTATTTATATGGATTACATGGTATCCTAAGGCCTCAGTCAATGTACAGGTCTTGATGCTTGAGCACCAGCAAAGAGGTGGTCATGAAGTGGCATCCAAGGGCCACCGAATGAATAACGATAAATGCAGAGGAAAAAAAAGGGGGCAAAGATCATAACTCCCTGAAAACCGAACCCTCGGGTATAGCGTATACGTATATAATCAGTCGTTTGCACATCAAGTCATGGTCGATCTTTGCACCAACGCTCTTTAATCAACCTCCATGGCATCGCACGCATCATCGACGGGGAAGGGTTCAGGCGGCGCTGGGTCAACGTGCGGTATCGTTTCGGGGATTGCTTGAGAAAATGCAGGAGGAGAGTTCATCGGAGGATATGTATGAGGTGTTGTTCTTGTAGTCTGTGAGGTCGTCTGTGACGCCGCCGCCGCCGCCGGAGATGCCGTGCCGTCATTGGCGTATATTGTTGTCCCGCCGTTCTTCTGCGCCTCTCTCGCCCGCTGACGGGCCTCGATGATGGCCCTGCGCACGCCGTCCCGCTCCTCGGGCACGGAGATGGATTTCGGATCGCTGTAGAGCACCAGCTGCATGCCGGCCAGCTCGCCCTCGTCGTTGGCCAGGACGCCGCGCGGGATGCGGCTCTCCCGGAGGTGCTTCTCGATGTCCGGGAGGAAGATGAGTTTGCCTTCGTCGTTGTCGCTGTCGGAGGAGAGCTCGGCGTCGAGGTCGTAGATGTACACCTTGTGTTTGGAGTCGTCGAGCTGCATCGTCTCATCGTCCTGCGAGGGCGGATTTGAGGAGGAATAGGAGGAGGAGGAGGGAGATGAGGAGGTCGCTGCTGCTGCTGCATTGGCGGGAGCTTCGACGGGGACGTAGAGTCGGGGGCCGGAGGGTTCTGTGGCGAGACGGAGCGTTAGCGAACGGTCGAGGCTGACATGGTTGGAGTGAAATCGGATGCGATGCACGATGGATTGAATTTAAAGAGATAGAGAGCAAAGGAGCAATGCTCACCTATGTTGAGCCGGCTGAGGCGCTTGGACAGACGCTCGCGATCGCTAAAGTCCTGCGAGTCGGCCTTGCGCTTGCGCCGAAGCCTCGCCTGGTCGCGAGCGTCCATTGTGAAAAGGGCTGGCGCGGGCGACGTCCCCAGCATGTCTAAGAATGGGTGCACTGGCTAATTGGATGGATTTGGTTCCGTCTGTTTCTCTTTGCTCTCTTTGTCTGTCTCGCTTTGCGGCTTCAAGCTCTCTCCGCCTCGTTCCACTGCGGTGTTCAGCAGCGATTGATGCTTATGCGGTTCCGCCACTCTGCAGCAGACTGTCGCCGACTAGTAGCCGAAATTGAAGCGGGCAACGAGATAAGGCCAAAGAAGTAACGATCAGGCCGTTGGATTCCTGATTTCCTTTCAGCTGGAAGCAGCACGCACAGTCCCCTAGGAGGAAAAGGCATGCAATTCCAGCGCTCAGTTGGCAGTGTCGGTGCTGATTGATTGATGCGGTCGCTGGCAAGGACGCGGCCACAGTGCTCCAGCGGCACCGCCCTTTTATCAGGCCTGAGTCACTCTTGTAGAAGTTTCTACAAAACCGAAACCCACCCGCCACAACCCCGCCGATTGCTCTCCGAAGCATCGCATCTGCGTCTGCGTCTGCATCAGCACCCTCGTCTTCTTCGCGTACGGCCTCGTCTTCGCATACGCACTCGCAGCTATTTCCATCCCTCGACTCGCCTGCACGCTCACACTCTCGCAAAGATGGCGGGCAACTGGCCCGAGGCGCAGGTGCGCAAGACCTTTTTCGACTTTTTCGAGCAGAGGGGTCACACGCTGGGTGAGTGCCGAGAGGTCAAACAGAAGAAGAAAAAAAAATATACAGCTGCAGGTATCGCCGTTCAGGGTCCCCCCTCCAAGTGGCGGGGTTGACACGAGAGAGGCCTGAACATCGCCGAGTCTCGGGCAGCGCCGCGCAACGACAGGAGACGAGACGCCGCATAGTGCTTCGGCTCGTGTCGCTCTCATTGTTTGCATTGCCTTGTTTTGTTTTCCATGAAGCCATGGTGGGCATCTCCAGAACCAAGCACTGACTGACTCTTCGCCCAGTGCCCTCCGGCTCCGTCGTCCCTCACAATGACCCGACCCTGCTCTTCACCAACGCCGGCATGAACCAGTTCAAGCCCATCTTCCTCGGCACCGTCAGCAAGTCCGACCCCATGTACAGCCTCAAGCGCGCTGCCGACACCCAAAAGGTCATCCGCGCGGGTGGCAAACACAACGACCTCGACGATGTCGGCAAGGACAGCTACCACCACACCTTTTTCGAGATGCTGGGCAACTGGTCGTTTGGCGACTACTTCAAGAAGGAGGCTGTCGAGATGGCCTGGGAGCTGCTGACCAAGGTCTATGGCCTCGACGCTGCTCGCCTCTACGTCACGTACTTTGAGGGCAACCCGGCCCTCAACCTCGAGCCCGATCTGGAAGCCAAGGAGCTGTGGAAGGCGGTTGGTGTGCCCGAAGACCACATCCTGCCCGGAAACATGAAGGACAACTTCTGGGAGATGGGTGACCAAGGTCCCTGCGGTCCTTGCAGCGAAGTCCACTACGACAAGATTGGAGGGCGCAATGCCGCCAGCCTCGTCAACATGGACGACCCCATGGTTGTCGAGATCTGGAACCTCGTTTTCATGCAGTTCGACCGACAGAAGGACGGAAGTCTCAAGCCCCTGCCTGCCAAGCACATCGATACCGGTATGGGCTTCGAGCGCTTGGTGTCTGCGCTGCAGAACACCGCCTCCAACTATGCCACCGACTGCTTCACGCCTCTCTTCAAGCAGATCGAAGAGGTCACTGGCGCCAGACCCTACACCGACAAGTACGGCGCCGACGACGCAGATGGCATTGATACTGCCTACCGAGTTGTCGCAGACCACATCCGAACCATGTCGTTCGCCATCACGGATGGTGCTGTGCCCAACAACGACGGCCGCGGCTATGTCATTCGACGAATCCTCCGACGTGGCGTCCGATACGCCCGCAAGTATCTGAATGCCGAAATCGGTTCCTTCTTCTCCAAGATTCTGCCTGCGCTCGTTGCCCAGATGGGTGAGCAGTTCCCCGATCTTGCCAAGAAGCAGGCGGATATCAAGGAGATTCTCGACGAGGAAGAAGAGGCCTTCTCCCGCACACTGGATCGCGGTGAGGCCCAGTTTGAGAGATATGCGGCAAAGGCTGCCAAGGAAGGCGTCAAGAAGCTGAACGGAGATGTCGTGTGGAGACTCTACGACACGTTTGGCTTCCCCGTCGACCTGACCAAGCTGATGGCCGAGGAGCGAGGCTTGGATATCGACGAGGCCGAGGTTGCAGTTGCCCGTGAAAAGGCGCGAGAGGCCAGCAAGGCCGTCAAGGATTCCGTGCAGACATTTGCCAAGCTTGACGTTCACAAGATTGCTGAGCTCGACACAGACCTCAAGGTTCCCAGGACCAACGACGATGCCAAGTTCGTCAAGGGCGACAGCAAGGGCAAGGTTCAGTACATCTTCGACGGCAAGGCCTTCCTCAAGTCGACCAAGGATATCCCTGCAAACACTGCCATTGGTGTCTTGCTCGACCAAACCAACTTCTACGCCGAGTCTGGTGGCCAGGTCGCCGACACTGGCCGCATCGTGATTGACGACGTTGTCGAGTTCAAGGTCATGGACGTCCAGGACTACGGTGGATACATTCTTCACAGCGGCTACATTGAGTACGGAGAGCTTTCTTCCGGGGATGAAGTCATCTGCGAATACGACGAGCTTCGCCGCGCACCCATCCGCAACAACCATACCGGCACACATATCCTTAACCACTCTCTGCGGGAGGTGCTGGGCGACGACGTCCACCAGAAGGGTTCGCTGGTTGACAATGAGAAGCTGCGCTTCGACTTTTCACACAAGACCCAGGTCAAGCTGGATGAGCTGAAAAAGATTGAGGAGCTCTCCAACCAGGATATCCGCGCCAACAACAAGATCTACTCCAAGGAGGTGGAGCTGGATCGTGCTCTGCAGATTGAGGGCCTTCGTGCCGTCTTTGGCGAGACTTACCCCAACCCAGTGCGAGTCGTTTCCATTGGCATGGATGTGGACACCCTGCTCGCCGACCCCAAGAAGCCTGAGTGGCGAAAATACAGTGTCGAGTTCTGTGGCGGCACCCACGTCGAGCAGACCGGCTTGATCAAGGACCTCGTCATTGTTGAGGAGAGCGGAATCGCCAAGGGCATCCGTCGTATCATTGCCTACACGGGCGAGGCAGCCCACCAGGTCCAGCGCGAGGCCAAGCTGTTTGAGCAGAAGCTGGACGAGCTCGACAGCCTCCCCTTTGGCCCCGAGAAGGAGGCCCAGGTCAAGGCCGTCTCGCAGGAGCTCAGCCAGCTGGTCATCTCCACGCTCACCAAGGACGAGTTCAACCAGCGCTTCCAGAAGATTGCCAACGCGGTCGTGGCCGAGCAGAAGAAGAAGCAAAAGGCCGAGTCCAAGACGGCCGCCGACACAGTGGCCAAGCACTTTGAGACGAACAGGGACAGCAAGGTCTTTGTCGGCCGCCTGCCCATCAGCGCCAACGCCAAGGCGGTGGGCGAGGTCATCAAGTACTACCAGTCCAAGGACAAGGAAAAGTCGGTTTACGTGTTTGTCGGCGGCGCCGAGGAGGGCGCCGTCGCCCACGGCGTTTACGTTGGAACAGTGAGTTTTATATCCCCTCTATATATATATATACCCCATCCCCCCTTATTGATCAAAATCTCGGATTGCTAACGGGTTTTCGTGTGATTTCAGCATCTGTCTTCACAAGGTGTGACTGCCGAGCAATGGGCCGCGTCCGTATCGGAAGTCATTGGTGGCCGCTCGGGCGGCAAGGAGCCGTCTCGCCAGGGCCAGGGAACGCAGCCGGAGAAGATTGACGACGCTGTGGAGACTGCGCGGAAATGGCTGGACGAGAAGCTGAAGCTGTAAAAAGCCGGGAAAAGCTTTTGTGTATATTATTTGAGCAGATATATATATTGCTTGCCACAAACTGAAATGGGATGTGTTTTTGAATTGGGAAAAATGGATCTATCTACGGGTGATGGATGGGGTGAAAGGGGAACATAGATGGCGCAGATGAGAGGGTATGGAGGATTCAACGACATCAACTATGTATTGCCAAATATATCTGCGAGCACTCGAAAGATGATGGGTAGGTGTGATGATATCTCATGCTTACTGATCCTATTCGTGGCATCACGCAATTTCATGGTGAGAATTTGGGAACATCTATGTACACTTCAAGCTATGATCCCTATTTCTTTTTTTACACAGTAACCATGACACTGGCATTTCTATAGTGCGACAGCAGCGGGTTCTCGCCGCTCCTCGTCTCCGTGTCCTCGACGTACGCCCAGCGGCGCATGAAGTCGCCGTGCGACATGACGCGGGTCAGTTTCCCCGTGATGGCGCGGTAGATGGCCTCTGTGATGTGGAAGTCTGTGGGGAAGAGGATGTCAAAGTAGCCTTGGTGGACCTTTTTGATTTTACAAAAAAGACATGTGTTAGTTGCAATGTAATGTTTTTTTTTTGAAATGGAATATTTGAGGGGGGGGAATAGGGTGGTTTTTCAAGGACTTACGAGGGGAGTGGTGACGGGCACCATTTTCCGCTGGAAGCGCGTCTGCACTACGGGTGCGTTGAGGCCCTTGATGGCCTGGGGAAGGGAATCAAAGTCGGAGGTGAGCAGGCGGTGGGCGGGAAAGTACTTTTCCAGGACGTCGAAGAACTGCATGAGGCGGGTGGGGATGAACTCGGCCTCGGACAGGTTGGCGGCAAAGGGCATCTTGGTGGACAGGTAGCGCAGGAGCGGGTTGGAAGGGTAGGGCTTCGGGTAGTTGCCGCCGGTGGCGGCGTGGCGGACGCGGAAGAAGCGCGCGGCGAGGGGGTCGAGCTCGTGGACGTAGAACTCGTAAAAGTCGCCGTCGCCGTCGATGAGGACGTGGCCCTGCAGGGGCTCCTCGGTGAGGACGTCGTAGCGGATGCCGTCGTGGGAGAAGTTGTCAAAGACCTCCATGGCGAGGAAGAAGCACGGCGAGGGCACGTAGCGGTCCCAGTCGAAGATGGAGCGGTTGACGATCTCGACCTTGTCGGCGTGGCCGCGGGACTCGGCCGTGGAGAGCAGGTGCTGGCTCTGCAGGGCGGCGAGCGACGACGAGATCTCGATGATGTTGAACTTTGTGCGGGCGTAGACCTGCGGGTCGGCGGCGCGGATGTAGTCGAGGATGTTGAGCATGAGGGTGCCCCTGCCGGCGCCCATCTCGAAGATGAGCAGGTCGTCGTAGGGATACGTCGTCAGCCGGTAGTTGGAGACGAGGTACCGCGCGATGGCCTCGCCGTAGTGCGGCCGGAAGAGCTCCGTCGGCGTGTGCCACAGCTGCCGCGTCGGGCTCTCGCCGCCGTCCCTTTCGTCGAGCTGGTCCTCGAACTCGGTGTATCGCCTGCCCAGCTCGGCCTGGAACTCGAGCTCGTCGCGCATGGAGTTGAAGTCGAAGGGCTCGCCGGGGCTGAAGATGACGGCTTCCTTGGAGAAGTAGCCGTACGAGGGATTGTATAGACTGTCTGTTGATGTGTCATTGTCAGCATCTCCGGCTCAATTGGGGTTCCAGGAAGGAGAAGAAGAAGGCCTCGCGAGCATCAACAAGACCTACCATCTATAAAGTCCCGAAGCAGCATCTTGACCCTCCGCGGCCGCTCCGTCCTCGTCCTCAGCTCCTGCAGCGAGATGTAGGGGTACTCTGCAAACTCCTCCCTCCGGTCCTCGGGCAGGATGTGCGTCCTCTGCTGCCAGCGGCTCTCGTTGGTCTTCATGCCGCGGTCGATGGAGGGTCTCGTCGCGAGGCCGCGGGCCGGCTGCTTGTGGGTGCGGGCGAGGCCATTGCGCAGGCCCTGGCATCCGCGAGGCCGGTGGCGGAACAGCTGGCGGAAGAGATGGGCCACGATGGGGGAGTCCATTGTGTTTGAGGTCACGATGCCTTCTCTTCTGAGATGGATCTTTGGTGTCCCTGAAGCAGCTGCTGTAATGTACCTTGAAGTGCTTGAGTGATTGGCAGCCAAGGTATCCGGAAGGGGGTTTGTTCCGAACAGGGTCCTGCCCCGCGATGCTGCGGGTACGTACCCTCAATTGCTTCTTTTTTCTTTTTTCTTTTTTTCCTCCGTGATGCTGCAGGGATCAGCAATGACCTCATCAGAGGCACCACTTTCTTAGTTCCATCTCGCATGATTCAGCTTTGATATCTTGTCAACCTTGCACTCCTCCCATTCGGCTCCAGGATGAGGGCATTGTGATTATGACGCTTCACACATCTTCACAATCAGGAGGAGCATGTCACTGAGCGACCACCCTAAGGCCTACGGCACCGCCGCCATCGCCGTCGCCTTCGCGGCCGGCGTCGCCGCTACCCTCGGCTTCAAGGAGCTGTACCCCGAGCTCGAGTCCCGATACCAGCACAAGAGCGCCGTCGTTGGCAGCCGTCGCCGCTCGGCAGCCGATCCCCGGCGAAGCAGCTTGTTCTGGAGCGCGCCGGTGCAGCTCGAGGATCACGATACCAAGACGGCGTCATCGTCGTCGCTGGTTCATGCGCCGGAGATTGCGACGAGTGGCATCGAGGGGTGCATCGGCAACACGCCGCTGATTCAGATCCAGTCGCTGTCAAAGGCCACGGGACGGGTCATCCTCGCAAAGGCAGAGTTTCTCAATGGCGCGGGCAACAGCCCCAAGGACCGTGTGGCGCTCAACATGATTGTCGAGGCCGAGAAGCAGGGCCTCCTGACGCCTCACCAGGGGGACACCATCTACGAGGGCACCGTCGGCAGCACGGGCATCTCGCTGGCGACGCTGGCGCGCGCAAAGGGATACAAGGCGCACATCTGCATGCCGGACGACCAGGCGTTTGAAAAGTCGGACCTGCTGATGCACCTCGGCGCGACCGTGGAGAGGGTCCCCGTTGCGCCGATCACGAGCCCGGATCACTTTGTCAACCTGGCGCGGAGGCGGGCCATCGAGCACACACGCTCGTCCGCGGACGGCAGCAAGGGCTTCTTCGCGAACCAGTTCGAGACGGAGTCCAACTGGCAGGCCCACGTCGTCAGCACCGGGCCCGAGATCTTCCAGCAGACGGACGGCGAGCTCGACGCCTTCGTCGCGGGCGCGGGCACCGGCGGCACCATCTCGGGCGTGGCGCGGTACCTCAAGCTCGAGGCCAAGATGGACAGGCTGAAGGTCGTCCTGGCGGATCCCCAGGGCAGCGGGCTGTACAACAAGATCAAGCACGGCGTCATGTACTCGCCCACCGAGAAGGAGGGCACGCGGCGCAGGCAGCTCGACGACGCTGTCAAGGTCACCGACGAGCAGGCCTGCCGCATGGCCAGGTGGCTCGTCGAGAACGACGGCATCTTTGTCGGGAGCAGCAGCTCCGTCAACTGCGTTGCCGCGGTCGTGACGGCCATGACCCTGCCGCCGGGGAGTCGCGTCGTCACGCTCCTGTGCGATTCGGGGACGCGGCATCTGAGCAAGTTCTGGAAGCACATCAAGGAGATGGGCTTGGAAGAGGAAGGGGAGCCGACGGATTTGTTTGCCGAGTTGGGGATATCCAAGCCATGAAATTTTGAGACTCCTCAGGAGTACATACTGCGGCTTTACGAGCAAGAGCAAAGCACCAGATATAAAACCATATCGTACATGGCGCAAAGATTGTAGTGATTCAATCGGGAAAAAGAAAAAAAGAAAGAAAAGAAAAAGCGAGACATCTGAGTTCTAACCGGGGCGATCTAGCTTCGACAACCAAACAGCCGCATAAGCCTCCTTGCACGACCAAGTCCATGGTCTACATTCGCTGCCACAAGACGTGGTCATAAAAAAAAGGGGAAAAGGGAAAGGAAAGCAAAGAAACATGGGACACTGCATAGCGCCAGAAGCTCTCAAACTTCGTCATATCATACCCCAAGCGAGAACGTGTTAATCAATTTTCCATAACTCCCACCCCGAAAAAAGATGTTCCATCCACCCCCCTATTTCGCTCCGTTGGTTCAAACAATAAAAGCACACCAAAACAACCCATCTTCATAGCCCTCGAATTAATACTATGGCGCCCTGCCTGTATTCTCTCTCTCCTTTCTTTTCGTGTCTCCGTCTCCTTATGAAAACTGTAGAATTACCTTTATGTCAGCACTGCAGTTCGACGAAATGAATAGATCAACTGGCATCAAGGAGAAACCCACCTTCCAGCGGTTGCCGCAATTCATGCACTCGCAAAACGTCGTCATCGGCTCATCAGCACTGCGCGTCTGCGCCTGGGTATAGCTGACGCGCTTCTTCTTGCACTTGCCGCACTCGAGGCTGTCGCTGATGCTCTTCTCCGCCATCGGCACCTGGGCCTTCTTCATGTTCTCCTTCTCCAGCTCCTGCTCCATCCGGCGCTGGTCCTCGCTCTTGAGGTCCTCGTCCGACATGCTGACGAAGCGCTCGGGCGCAATGTCGCCCGACATGACGCGCTTGCCCAGGTCGCGGTTGGACTTGTTCTTGAGGTTGGCGAAGAGCGACCGGATCTTCTTCTTGTACTCGGCGCCCTCGCCGTTGAAGGCGGTGAAGGCGGCGCTCTCGACGGCCACGGCCTTTGCGATGACGCTCGTCTCGGACTCGACGGATCGGTAGGCGAGGCCGTTGTAGATGAGGCCGATGCACTGGTTGCGCACGTTGGACTCGGTGCGCTTGATGTTGACGCCGTCCGTGTCGAACTTGCGCTTCTCGGGATCGCCCTTGTACGCCTTGCCTCCGGCGCCGGCGGCCGGGGCAGCGGCCGCGTTGGCTGACGGGTTGGGCGGCGACGCGGCGGCGGGCGCCGAGGGCGAGCCCATCTTGGCCTTTTGAAGCTTGGAGTTCTTCTCCTGCTCGACCAGCTTCTTCCACTTGATGACGAGCTCGGAGGCGGCCCGGGCAATCTCCTTGTTGGGATTGGACCTCAGCTTGCCGACGAAGACGCCTGCGCGCGTTGCCTAGAGTTTTGCGACGAGCTGGTTGTTAGAGAGGCATCTAAGAAGAAGAAAAAAGACAAAAAGGCCGAGCCAAGCTGGGGGGGCCAGTGACATGAAGGAGAGGAAAGGGCAGGGCGTGGCCTGGTGACCAGCAGCCGCGAATGCGATGCGACAGTGACGAGGTGGGAACCGCCCAATCTTGACAGGTAGCCCAAAACCCGCCACAAGGCCATGCATTCACAACAGCCGGCACAGACAGAACCGCGACACCGTCACCCCGTCTCTTTATCTCCCATCCCCCCCGCGACATCCCCTCATCCCGACAGCGCATGTCTTCTTAAACCCAAGGACAGAGAGAGAGAGAGAGAGAGAGAGAGAGAGCATCAACGTACCCGCAACATCTCCTCCGTTGGCGACGCCTCCTTCTTGAGCTGCTCGAGCAGCTTGAGCGCATTCTCCGGCGGCTCGTTGGCGGCCACGACCTTGGTCAGCGCCTTTACGCGCGACTCGAGCTCACGCTGGTCCATCGGCATCGTGCGGGCTGTGTAATCTCTTTTGTCTCTCCTCTTTCTCCGATCAATCCTTTTCCGTGCGTTTCAGTCGTCGGGCGTTGTGGTGAATTGTATGTATGCGGGCGGCGATAAATGGCTGGTAAATTCCGCGAAGAGATCTGGCACAGGTGCGATGACGCTGTTCGACGGTAAAAATACAAGGTAGGGAAAAGTAGGGAAGAAGGAAGAAAAGGCGAAGCTCTCAGTGGATGGACAAGAGGAGCGCTTCGGTCTTTTATATATGTCTTGCAGAGCAAGTTTGACAAGCCCAACAGGCAAAACCCAGCCCTGAACTGAACGAAGAAAAGCTTGAGGACGTTATCGAGGTTTGGTGCTGTTGCTTGCGCTTGTGCCTTTTTTAATTCAACGCGGCGGCGGCGCGGATTCGGTTCTCGCAATGGGTTAGTTTTTGGGTCTGGGGCGGACAATGGAAGAGAGAGGCCGGGATTTAGCCGATGTGGCAGCTTGAGGTTGAAGTTGAGAGGTGATGGGTGAAGAGGGAATGGAAGACGTCACGTGCGCAGTTTCTTGGGGCAGAATCTCTTGATACAACTACCTACTATACTCCTTGATAAAGCGCGACGGCTTTCATTTTCTCGTCGAATCATCTGCTATTGAATCGTACTGAGTTAAACGTGCAGACAGTTGACTTTTGTTGAAGAGTCAATGCGCTAATGTACTTGGGAATAGCATCTCTAACGTCATTCCAGGTCAAAAGGCATGCACGTGCTCACTCAGGAAGTGGTCAAGGTTAGTAGTAGTAGTATGAAACGCAACTCGGTCTTTCTTCAGTCATACAACTACTACTAGGTAGCCAAGCAGAAAAACAGAGATGTAGAAGCACACACATTCTTCTTTCTAGGCTAACCTGCTACATTCGACGCAAGGTTCTCCGCACAGCTCACGCACGCTTCTTTCTAGTCGTCTTCCTCCGCTTATTAGCTCCTGAGCCATCTCCGGCTCCCGCATCTTCCTCCTCCTCTTCCCCGGCCACATTCGCCCTCAGTCTATCCACCGCAGCCAACATCCGTTTGCTCCCCTGGACTCGCTGCCTGGGAGCAAACGTCTCCCTTGCGCCGGCACCAACGCTCCCGCCAAAGAACCGCGTGATGTTGCTCTGTGTCCCCTCAATCTCCCGCTTGTTCATGTCCCGGATCACCGGCACAAGCACCTCGTCGGTGCGCTCCTTGCTCCAGCCGATCGTGGCCATGAGGTACTCTCGCAGCCCCGCCACGTCAGGCACGCCCCATTGGAACTTCTCGGTGCTGCTGTCGACCATGGGGTGCAGATAGGCTTCGTAGACTGCTGGACTGGGGAAGCCAAGCGGCAGGAAGAGCTTGGTTGCCTGTGACTTGCGAAACTTGCGTCGAAAGGGGGAAGATGCATCAGCCTCTTTGGGCCGCGTCTGTGACTGCACCTCCTTCCACCAGTCACGGAACTTCTCAAGGCCATCTTTGCCGGGGAACTCGGAGAGAATCTCCACGGCGGTGACCGGACCAACGCCGGGTAGCCCTTCTGTGTAATCCGACCCCAGAAGCTGAGCGAGAGAAATGAGCTGCTCTCGTGATAGCGACATTTCCTTCTCGAGATCCGAGCTGATGTAGCATTCGACAAACTTGTTGCTGTTAAACATGTTCTTGTAGACCCGTGTTCCCCCAAAGAGAAAGGTATCCGAGTCGTCTGTGACGATGCCGTCTACCATACCCAGCCGGACCAGCTCCGCACACTGCGCTTCTGCTTCCATCGGCGCCGTGATGTACGGGATGCCAAAGAGGCGAAGCAAGGCCTGGCACTCTGCAATCATCGTCTGCGTCACTTCATCCGCGTCTCGCCGATCCTTCTTCTGCTGGTTTCGAAGGGCCCTCAGTTCTCTCTCGTAGTCTTCCTTGTTCTGCTGAGTAGACTTGTTGTTCAGTTCGCTGGCGAAGCGAGCATGTTCCTCCGCTTCTTCGGCCATCTGCGCTAGGAGCTCTTCATCCTCAGGATCACTGAACTCGTCATATTCAACATCGGCAAAGAGGTCGTCGTCCGTGATCGTGGTGCTGCCAACGGTAGCTTCTGCTGGCGGCTGGTCTGAAGGAACAGCCTCGTTTAGGAAAGCTGCTGCTTGCGCATCTTCTTGGGTTGATGTGATGTCTGGTGGTGGAACGTCTTCAAACTCGGGTTCCGGTGAGTCACGGGTCTCCTGTGCTTCGACAGCGGGAATGCTCGGAGCAGCGGGGGCCTCGGGGATGGGAACTTGTTCAAATTCAGGCTCCGGAGATACCTCGTCTACTTTTGTCTCCCCCTCTTCGGCTGGTTTGGCAGTGGGCGAATTCATGTCCGGATCCGCCTCGCGATCTTCGTTGACATCTGCAGGTGCCGCTTCGGGGGACGGTGGTATCTCAATGATCTTAACACCCTTCGTGCCCTCGTCATCCGAAGATTCAATCTCAATCAACTGGTCTCGCAACTCTCGTCGCCGGAGCTTCTCTTCTTCCTCCGCTTCGGCTCTGTCCTGAGCGTTGATCTCTCTGTCAACGTCCTGCTGCTTCTTGATTGCATCCCGGATATCCGTGCTGTCGTCCACTAGCCATGGAGGTAGCGGCCTGGGGGCGTCATCCTGCTGCGGTTCAACCTCGAAGCCGCCGCCCAAGGCTTCTTTTTCTTCCCTTTCCTCTTTATCCGGCCCACCATCGCCACCTGCTGTAATCACAATTGGCTCTTCTACAGGCGTCGTCTTCTTCTTTGCAAAAAGAGACGACCCCCAATCCAGCTTTGGGAACGGCAACGGTCCGTCGAATGGATTCTTCTTGTTTTCAAAGACTGGCTTTGGCTGGGACTTCTTCATCCTCCGCGATCGCGCCAGGACTGCTTGCATATCATCGTCGCTGTCGCTGTCCTTGCCCTTTGCTTTGGCCTCTTCGGCTGGAGCTTCATGGCGTTTGGGTACAGCTGCATTGGCCCGGTTGTTTACAATATGCGCAATCATGGAGCCGCTGCGATGGCCGATGGGCTTTGGCGCTTCCACGGCGACTTGGGTCCACTCTGGCTTGTCTCGAGCGTCGTCCTCAGCATCGGCGTTGTCTTCCAATTCTTGACCGATGCCATGTTGATTCTGTAGGGATAAAGCAATGGCAAAATTGAGATCATCCTCCTCTTCTGGATGCATACGTTCCCCGGTTTGCTCATCAAATGAAGCCTCTGTGAGATCCATTCTTCCCCCAACGAACAAGGAGCCTTCATCGTTGCTTTCAGTAGTGGCAGCTTCCTGTCGGTGACTCGCGTAGTATTGCTGCCGCAGACTATTCAGGCCTTGTGCAGCTTCGCGGCTCGCTGTATTTGACTGGGATAGCTTGCGTAACCGGTTGAATCCCTCGATAGGTACGTCTTCAAAGTCATCCTCCTCGTCCTCTTCGTCTTCACTTTTCTCATCCTTGGTCTGGTAGTGAAACTGAACGGCATCCACATCGATCGGTTTGTGAGCTTGCCCAACGTCTTTGTCCTTGCTGACGACTCCGAGAGCCCAGCCTCCCTCGACACCCTCATTCTTGACCAGAATGTACTCTCGGTCTCTCTCACCGGCAATGCGAGCATTGACGCCGAGTGTCAGGTCAGTACCCGACATGCCAATTTCATACATCAGCCGTTGCGTCAGGTGATTCCTCTCCTTGACACGCTCAATTTGGAACCTCGAAAAGGCCATTCGGTCTGGGAACATGTCGTCGAGCTGTTCTTTGCTGAGACCCATTCTGAGCCGACTCCTCAACCGAGCCGCGTTGAGAATGTTGTACCTGTCCGGCGGCGGAAGGCTCTTGAAGAAGTCGCCGTCGAAATCAATCTTGCTAAAGTCGTACAGGTTGATGTCCTCTCCATTGTTGAACTGTCGCGCATATTCCTCCAGTTCTTCCACGCTCATGATGCGAGGATCATCTGGCTTCCCCATCGACGCGATTCCACCCTCGATCTCTGGCAAGTGATAGGCATCCTGCTTGTAGAACTTGCGGTTCCGCATCCTCTCCTGCTGAGACATGCCAATCTCCTCGACGTAGACCAAGTCCTTGGCATCGGGTATGACTTCTTCATCTTCCGCTGCTCTTGATGCGCGCGGCCTCTCCTTTTCCCTTTTGCGCTTTTCCTCCTCCTCTTCCGCGAGCCGCTGCATCTGGATGGCGAGAAGCTTTCCCGCCGTTCGAACGGCATCTTCCCGCCTGCCCTCTCGTCTCTGTTTGCGCTTCTGGATAGTTGCTCGCTTCAGCGCCGGGGCGCCGCCGTCGAAGACAAAGACTGGCTGGATGCCGAACCAGAGGAGCTTGCAGATGCGGCGGAAGAAGCCCACAATATGAGAGTTGCGCAGCGCATTGCCTTCTTTGTCGCGAACGGCCTTGAGGAACTGGTAGATCCATATCGACGCATCTACTGCCAGACGCTTTCGGTTGAGCGTTGCCAGGTTGGTTGGCCGTGCGCACGGCTGGATCACCGTCCAGAGCCCGTTAACACCCATGGCGAGGGCGCGGGCCTAACAATTGCCCGCAAGTGGTTGGATTTGTTAGCGAGGTGAAGATGGCATGGCGATGATGCCTGTGCGAGCTCGACTCGCTCCTACTGCACCCGTAGAGGCGGGAATGTCCAGTGCAAGTGGCGAAGTGATGATGAAGAAGAGTTCAAGATTCACGATGGCAGTGACGCTATTGTACCTTAGCAGAACCGGTGGGGCCGTTGAATCATAGAGCGATACTTGGTGGGCACTTGTCTAAGCCCCACTTGGCCTTCATTCTAGCCATTCTCCTCATGTACTTGCCTAGCATGACGATATAGCCCGTTATAAGCCAATGAGGAAAATGTATGCCTGACAGCTCTCATTGCCCTGATCTGCCTCTTCACCTTTACTCTCACCTCTACCTGCACGTCTCCCTTCCCTCTCTTTTTCGTTTTTTTTTTTTGAAGGCATAAAGGCTTACCAATGAGCATGTAGAGCTGGTAGCAGATGTCAAAGGCCGGTTCACTACATAACGCTACACACGTCGGGATCGGGCCCCTGTGCATCATCTCTACCGCGTTCATGGAGACGATCCATGTCCGTGTCAAGGTCGTCCCAATAGATGTGTTGCATCCAGCCCATTCTCTGCTCCTCCAGAATTTTGGCCAAGATCCGCAGACACTCGTCGTCGCTCCCGGACAACGCCGCCACCGCCAGCAAAATCCGCTTCTCGGAGCTGCGCCTGCCGTTCTTAACGTAGATATCGTGGTACAGGGGGTTGTTGACTCTCTTTAGCTCATCTTCAAACATCATAAAAATCGTTATAATCCGCGCTGTCACCCAGAAGTAGTTCAGGCTCGAGAGCGGGACAGGACCGCAGAGGTCCATGTAGACGTCCCACCGGATGAGCTCGAGCAGATCTCGCCGTGAGAGGCGGTCAGGTCTCAGAGGCCGGGACAGCGCGGCCTTGGGGTCCATGTCGGACTCCATATGGAGCGGACGGGGTCCACCCGACTCGAGGGACTGGAATCTGCCCGTCGCGTGCCTGAATGAATCGGCGTCTGAGTGACGGGAGCGGAAGTTGTACAACATGGTGTGCTTTCCGAGGTCCTCATCAGGGATACGGTCAGGATTCCAGCCAGATTCGCGGTATAGCAGAAGGTTGGACTTGGTGCGGAAGAAACGGTTCGCAGCCACGTCTAGCATGTCGTGCGTGGTGTTGCCTCCCTTCCTGAGCGCGGCTCGTCGGCGCTGTTCAAAATGAGTGCCCGTCTTGCCCATCTGACTGCTGAGGGCCTGGGTAAAGTTGGAGGTAGGGGCACGGCCGTCGGCGAAGAAAGCCGTCGGGAAGGTGTTCTCTAGAGCAGCAAACAGCCCAATAGACCGCTCAAGATATTTCTTCTGAACTAACATGTTATGCAGATGGATTAGGAGCATTGGCTCGGGCATCCGGTCCCAGAGCGTCAGGCCGAAACGGTAAACAAGCTCCAGGCCTTCGACCAGTCCCGCGCCGCAGAGAAAGGGCGAGTATTCCCATAGGCCATTAGGGTTGCTGTTGGAAAAGCGAGAGGGTGGCAGCGTTGCCAGTCCAGACATGTATTTGGACTCGCCTAGCCAGTCTCTGAAGTCCCACAACAGACCTTGGAGTATGGCGATATGCGCCTCATGTCGGCTCGGGTCGCCTACGCTGTCTTGCTCCAGCAGCTGCATCAGCACATAGGCGCCCTGTAAAATGCCCTTGCCAAATCTCTCGGTTTCACGATCCAGAAACAGGTCGACGTCTCGCCTCGGCCGGAATTTCTTCATTGGCCGCTCCAAGACATGCCCCCTGAAGCTGCTGAGGGACCAACCACGGGAGACCATCAGAGAGTCGACTATGCACTGCAGCTGGAATACCAAGCTTGGGTTAATGAGCTTCTTGACGTCAGTGCCGGGCTTTTGCATAGCAATAGAACTGCCTCTACCAGTCAGCAATCATGTGGTGTTGAATGAGAAGGGGAAGACAGAGAGAAAAGAAGGGAAGATAAACAAGTTAGAAATGCAACTCACGTCACAATGCCGGCAAATTCGTTGATGCCAAAGAGCCGCACATGCTCGCTCCATTGACCGTCGGCGGACCAATCGACCTTTTCGTATACGTGATGCTCCCCCTTCATCGTGTTGCGTTGGACCACAATGCTGGAGTAGACATTGACCAGGTCGTAAAGCCAGTTGATGGTATAGGATCGACGCCAACGGTGTCTCTGCTCCTTGGTGGCACGTTGAAGGTCCAGGGTTGGATCCCACTTGTCAATCTCCTGGAGCATGCGCTTGGTCGGCTTACCGCTGCGGGTTGCCTGGAAGTCGGTCACGAAGTCGACAAGGTCCCTGTATGCGTAGATGAGGAAGTATTCCTTGATATCGAGGCTGGTCTCCTCCATCTTCTCTGCCGGGCCGTCTGAGCCACCGGTCTTGTAGAGTGTCAATTTGAACTTGCCCTGGGCCTTCTCTATGTCACCACGCGTGATCGTCCGCATTACCGTCTCATACGACTCGTGTCCGGGGAAGTCGACCATGATGGCCGACTCGGCTCGCTTGACTATGGCCGTGGCCAGATCGCCTAAGGTAGCCGCCACGGCGCTGTTGAGGTCCTCGTATGCAACCTCACGCCACACGCCGCTCATATACAGCCGGAGATCGCATATCTCCTCAAAGAGAGCGTAGACCGCCAGGAGGTAGTCGGTGACAGTGCCATCCACATCCTCGATGATGCGGTAGCTTTCAAGAGGAACCTCATCCAGCGTCTGTGCAGGCTTGGGTGCCTGCTTGCTCTTCTTGGCTCGCTTGCCACCCTTCTTCTTCTTCTTGCCTCTTCCAGGCCGAGCTTGGCGGCGCTGTTGCCCACCAGCAGCTGGTCTCGGCTCCTCGTCAGATTCCTCGTCGCCACTAGAGTCCGCGACGGACGTCTCAAGCCCGCCGTGCGTAGAGGTGCCAAGGCCAGGCGCCGCAAATTTGTTGGTGAACCTGGCGCTCTCGATTTCGGCGTCAAACTCGGCGTCGAGATCGTCTTCCCTGCCACCGTCGGTCCGGGTGGCCTGGCTCCGAGCCTCACTCTGCTGCTTCTCCACCCAAGCAGGCCCTCCGAGGAGCTCAAATACCTCATGCAGAGCATCAATGAAGTACTTGTGAGTCGTATTGCTCGCCTCCATCTCTGGGTCGGCCTTTGGGCTCATGGCAGCGAGCTGCTGAAAGGTCTGGTGCACGACCGTCCTGGCGCGTGTCACGGACTGTAGCTTGCGGTAGATGGCACCGGGGATGCGGACGGCATGTTTGGAGATAGTCTTAGCCATGGCCACAAACTCCCGGACAGTAACTTGGCCTGTCACATTTTGGCGATTTTGAGGTTCGTCACTTGATGCCTCTGCGGTTGCCGTTGACTGGAGAATGGAGTTGAAGGCGTGGATGATCCAGAACAAGAGCTGCTGCGTATCCCGTTTGTACGTCCGGTACGTGTTCTGAGGCACAATGGAATCCATTGTGAGCCCAGCCCGCGCTTGCTCAAAGCGTTCCACACAGTAGACCTCCAAGCTACCTATTCCAACGTCTCACGAGCAGGTTCTTCGTAGAGCTTCAGGATGTATTGGCGATAATGGCCCTCCCCGGCAGGCAATCTCGGATAAACAATGGACCGATGCCTTTCCCCCACGCGTTCAACATCAGATCTTCCTTGCATCTCACATCCTTGTTCTTCTCAGAGCCAAGGCCATCCTCACAATGAACAAAGATGAGGCTCACGACTATCTCACGTCGCTCCTGAACCAGAATCTGCGCGTCTACACCACAGACGGCCGCATGTTTCGGGGGAGTTTCAAATGCACGGATCCGGTTCGTCTGCCCATGCAAGAAGGATGAGTATCCGCTGTCTGGGATGCTAAGTAAGGCCCTTGGCGACACAGGATAGGAACATCGTGTTGGCAAACACGCACGAGTATCGACAGCCTTCAGAAGGAGAGCGTAGTGCCGCTGCGGCAAATGCTTCTGGCGGCTCGGTGACGCTGGATATGACGTCTCGCTATCTCGGCTTGGTCGTTGTTCCTGGACACCATATTGTGAAGATGGAGGCTGAGCAGTTTCTGAGCCAAATGAAGTAATGGCTCAATGAGACAAAGGTCAACATGAATCACTGTGCGTTATGCAGCTACTGGAGGAGGATTTTGTATTAATTCTTAGGCAGGCGGCGTTGCGGTCGGCCTTTGGTACGGGCTTGATTAGATCACACAGACACACACTCATCCAGTTATTCTTGTTCATAACAATATCAACTAACTGATACAAGGTATTAATGATGAATGACCACACGCCCCCTATCCAAAAGACACTATAAAACATGTTGACCTAACCAGCGTTTGTTCCAGCCTTGTCCAAAACTCCCCGCCAGCTTGGCGGCATTCCCATCCACATTATCGGCATTAGTCCTTGGCTTCCAAGACCGGAACCCTATTTACTAGCATTTGTTTTCTCTCCCTCCATTTCCATCTTCTTTGTGCTCATATGCAACGTCATGTCGCACCTTAGGCGGCGAGAATCTCCTGAGTCCGACCTCGTGCCTCGCCGTTCATGCCACCGTCACTACCCATAGCAGAGTGGGGGCGCTCCTCTTCCTCTTCCGCCTCTTCACCATCGCTGTCGATTGGAACTCCTTGTTGCGTCCAGGAGCCGTGGTCGTTCAGCGGCACGTCCTGGTGAGACAAGTCGTGACCCTCTTCCCTGGCCCTGATAGTGTTGCGCCGGCGCTGAGAGAGGTTCCGCGACCGAGTGGAAAGCTTGGAGCTCACGGCAGCATTCTGCGTGACCCAGTTTGTGAGAGCATCTTCGCAATCCTGGATGATGGCCTTGCTGGCTTCGTAGCCATCATATGCCGCTCGCGTCTCGCCGGGAGTGACAGGGGTATCGTCGATCAGGTCGAGCAGGTGCTTGCCGTAGCCAGCGATAATGGCCACTTTCTCGCAATGTTCGCGCAGGGCATCGAACTGGTAGGTATAGGCAGCCTTGACCTTTTCGCGGGTGATATTGGACAGCTGAGCCTCTGCCACAAGCGATTCGGCCTCGGCGCGAACCAGCTCCTGTTCCAGCACCACAATCTTGGGGGAGTTGGGCTCCTTGTACTTGAGCTGGGCAATTTGATCGGTGATTTTCTGCTTGCCTGTTTGAGGTCAGTATGTGGTAATCATCACGCGCTCGGTATAAGGATCGCCTTACGGTCTCGGCTGGGCTGGACCGATGCCTCGATGTTGCGGATGCTCTTCATCGTAATGCGATATTGGTCGTATCGGTCGACGTACTGGTCCTCTAGCTCGCCGATTTCGTAGATGAGAACGCCAATCTTGTCGGTGACGTCAGAGACATCCTCGTCGGTGTTTTCACCCCAAAGGGACAATTGTTGCTGCAGAGCCGTCAGTTAGCAGCCATTGATGGGCTCCAAGGGGAAGGACAGCAACCTACAGCCACCTCCATGCGCTCCTTGGCCACAAGCTCCATACTTCGCATAACGTTCTTCTCCATCTTGACGAGCTGGGATAGCTTTTTGGCCAGATCGGGCCCAAAGGCGCCACCGGCTTTCCCACGGAGAGCATGGCCTGCTTTGTCGGTTAGCCAACACGATCATAGAGGTTTCGCAGCTCAGACAGCGTTGAAGTGCGGGCCAGAATCGATGATCAGATCTTGTCAAGCGATCCTGGGGCATTCGACGGTGGTAGAGCTATTCGCAGCACTCACCCAAGCTTCCCTTTCCAAAAAAGCGGCCGGACTTGGTGGACGACGGCGGAGGCGGCGGGCTCTATTCATTGCATGCGTCAGTCGCGATGTCAAGCAGCGGGCGGTCGCGGATAACGGAAAGGTGCTGGTCGATCCCTACCTGGAGCTGCGACGCCGTTGGCGCGCGGGTCTGGCGCATAGAGTATGTTCGATGCATTTTGGCGGTGTGGCGGAGCGTTAGGAGCTGCGACTTGGTGATAGAATCTGCGCGTCGACGGGAGTTTAAGGGTATTGGCGCTGCGATAGGGATTCAGCGCGCAGGAGAGAGATCAGCAGTGGTGCTCCTCTGTTTTGCAGTATCAATATTGGGTGGGACGAGATCAGAGCTGACGCAGGAGGGGAACGGATGGGGAGACGATTATAAGAGCATGGAATGCCACGCCTTGGCTGCTCTTTTTGGCGGAGCTGGCGGATCGTCATCGGCTGGCCGCTGGACAGCTGTTGCGCTCCGGCTACGTCATCCCCGCAGCTGGGGAGCCTGCTTGGGGCCCTAACAGCGAGCAGGTCCCTCGCCGGCGCTGCCTTGCCTGCACGAGTACCGGCGCTACGCTAAGCTGATAGGTACGTACTGTACTCCAATATTGCCCGATGGAACGCTCAGGTGAAGGATTGCGCTCGACTTGGCTCTTCCAACTCTCTTTGGGTACCACGGTGACGACGTCAGATCAGGGTCCGGGACCTGCGGATTGATTGCGTCGCTGCGGCAAGTGGGCGGTACCTACGTACTATCGCTGTACTGTCTCGCTCCCTGGCCGCCGTCAGAATGCATGTCTCAGCCTACCCGAGGCAATTGGAAGCTTCCTGACGCTGCTGAGCGGCGTCTGGCTGAGACACAGCGCCGTGGGTTCAGGCTGGCCTGCCATGCCGGATTGGGCCTGGAGACGCTGCTCGAGCGGCGAGCCATGAGATTCATGGGTTGCTTAGTGCCGGCTAGGGGGGAATGGATGACGAAGTTGGAGTCTCGTTTCATCACACAAGCACATGCTCGATGTCAAAATTTCCTGTTTTTCATCGTCAGCCCGCGAGTGCCAGGGATGAGACAGCATTGTCACTCACGATCTCGACTCACTGTGCCTTGAGGGCGCAAGGGGTCGATTATGTCTGCGTGTGTCATTGTCATTGCTATCGATGTGCCACCGCTGCCGGTGTCGGTGCTCCATGCCACAGCTTATTGCCTATCCTATAGCGCTCTGTGTGTTGGATTCTGAGTCTGCTCAGCCTGGAAGCATCAGCTGCCCCAGATTTACACTATCGGGCTCGATTATCGCTTGTCAAGCCAGTACCCAGTGATTACTCTCGTGTCCGTTTGCGCTGGAAACAGACCATCTCTCCGCCCAGATAATCAGCCCCAGGAGCATCCCCAGATCGAATCGATTGGCTCGAAATAAGGTCGGGATCATGCAGCAAACACTCCCGCGGTGGGGTGGCTTGTTAATCAAAGTTAGCACAGAATCACGGGCTGTCAAGCTGGGGGATGCATGTGCACGATGAGCTACGAGTACTACTACTACTACTAGTAGACACTCACAGTGCCTTAATCTTAAGCTGTGTTCCATACCTTACCAGTCGCAGCATTTTGCTGTTCCAGTGGTCAACATCGCAACTGCTTCCGCTGTTGGCCCAAATCGGACACAGCAATCATCAAACAAGGTGATTGAATAATCCCTGACATTGGGGCGCTCGGTTACCCTATTTGCTCCCACAGAGCACCATTTGAGCATGGCAATTCCATATCTGGGACGGGGCCCATTCAGAATCTCACTGTATGCAGGAACGCTCCACATCCTCGACACTTTGGGTGTTGGTCGCTGGAAGTGGTTTCGCAATTAATCAACACAGCAATTGCATCCATGTTCTTTTGTGGGTTGATTTCATCTTTCTCTTCTTTCGAAAAATTCTATCTATGGATCGCCTCTCACGGCTCACTGATATTTGAACAAATGCTCCTTAATGATAAGGTAATTGGTCCCTATAGTAATGTAGGTAGTCACTTATACAGGCTGTGTAGCGGCAAAGGGCTCTCTGTCTGAGTTGCGAGTGCCATAACTCAAAGTAGCAACGCTGGCAAACAATTAATGATAGTAGACAAGAACTAATAGACAGTCAACGAAATGTCCCGAACCGACCAAACGTACCTTAAGATGAGATGCATTTCTACTTACAAACATTCAACGCATCAAACAACAACCCCCAAAGGTAAACGCGCTGTCCAAATCGGGCCTAGCCGCACAGCTTTCCTTTGTGGACTTGCCACATGAACTCTGGCCAATGACCAACAGCCCCCGGCCCAGCCAACCAGGGCTCGCGTGCCAGGCTGGGCCCTCCGTCCGAAACGCGATCTGAACATGAAAGCATCTCGATTCGCGATCCCTCAGAATCACAACCTGCAGCATTCGGAACTCGGCTGCTGCGCTGCGGTGGATATGCGCTGCTAATATTTCTGCCTTCTGGTGAGGAGAGCCGTCCGCTGGGACTTTGAGCGGTTGTTTCCGTGGCGCGGGTGCTGGAAAACGGGCGGCGGCTTGCAGTTGGATCTGGAATCTTCAAGCCCGTCCTCTTCTCAGCCTCACATATGCATGAAGTTGCCGCCGATCGTTTGTCGTCGGCCGAATGAGACGCTCTTTGTCACCGGCTTATTAACCCTCGTGACTCCATTGTCGTTGCCATTGTTTCGCTTCGTTTTCATCATTTTCACCTCACACAATCTTTCAGGTGTCTCATGCTGGCCCCTTTTGCGCGCCTCTGCCGTTCATTTGCAGCGTTGGGCCCGCGGCTTCGTTCACCATCCCTTCCAGCCTCCCGCTCTCCCGCCCGCGCCCCTTGGAGCAACGAGGGCGACGCTCACCACCTGCCGTGACACAAACGGGGCGCAACAGAATCAGACACGGACTTCCACTTGTACAGGCCAGGATGATGCCCCACGGACCGCCGCGGGTGATCGCAACGTCGGAGGAGGATCCAAGCCACCTGGCCCGTCTAGACTCGACTAGCGGATCTGGCGCCGCGGCGTCGACCAGAGGTCCCATCAGCCCTCCTCCCTTGAGGAGGAGCTGCTCTTCTGCTCCTCCAGCGCCCTCGTCAGCGGCTTCAGCGACTTCAGCATCCCGAACCGGCGACACCAGCAGCACCAGCAGCAGCGGAGCCTGGACACCCGTCCCTCCTCCTGAGCGCGCGTCGGTGCCCCTGGCAGACCGCGTCTCTGAACATGCGCCCGAGATGCCAGATCCCAAGAAACCCAGCGTCGCATCCATCACCGGCCCGGCTCAAAACATGCCGCTTGCAACGCCAGCGCGAGAGCGTCATCACCAGCCCGAGACGGTGCAGACTCCCAAGGCCCAGACGGTGCCCGTGACGGAGTGGACAGTCGAGACGCTTGCGAAGCAGCTCACGACGTTCAACCAGCAGGTCCGGAGGGACCACTCACAGCTCGTCGCCCATGCCATTGAGAGCGCAAGGTGTCGAGAGTGGCGCACGCATCATGGCCTGGATCTCTTTCGCGAGCTGCGGACTCATCCCAATCCAGAGGTCAAGGGCAAGCAGATTAAAATCAAATTCAAGGTCAGCCAGCACTGTTTGTTCACCAGCATCCGAGGTTTGAAGCGTCATTGTTTGAAATTCACGAATTAACCCCCCCACTTAGCAGCACAACAAGAACAAGAAAGAGCAGAGAGACGTTCGCTACAATGTGCATTGCGTCAAGACCAACAAGCCCGCTGTTCCGGCTTACCGGTTTCACCATGTGGAAATCAAGAAGAATGTCTTGATGCCCAACACCATGCTGACGTTCGTCCCCCATCTGCGGGACCTGGAGGGGTCCGAAGAGGCAAAGTACAATCTCTGGCTTAAGGAGCTGGAGGACATTGACCTCAAATCTGGGTTCAAGCCCATGAACCGCGACGAGAAGTTTGTCGCCATCATCCAGGGCGAGCGCGCTGCCACGCTCTCGCTCTACTTGGATCAGTGGCTCAAGGAGCTCAACATACCATCCTGCAACAAATCTACACTCATCAGGTATATGGCGAGCCATGCGTCCGACGACGCCATAACGCCCCAGCAAAAGACGGACATCATCAGGTCCCATGGCCACGGGGACGCCATGACACCAGAGGAGCACAGGGCGGCGGAGCTGTTCACTGCCGCATTTCAGCTGGCGTTTAAGGAAAACCAACCGCAGTTGAAGCAGATCGAGCTACGCAAGGTGCTGTGTCTCGACGAGTCTGTTGATAGTGTCATGGACAACAAGCCCGCGGCCAAGGAAGTGTCCATTGTCCAGCAGGATAGCGAGGATGATATTGTCGAGTCCAACCTGGCCACCTACTGCATTTTGGGATGTCTCATTTGCTTCAGCCATTCCTGCGATCACGGCGAATACGACATCAAGAATTGGAAACGCACCTTTTCCTTGTCGTCCTGCGCGCCCTTGTCGGACATTTTGAGGAGAAAACGAATAGCGGCAGCAGGAGTAAACACCATTGCTGACGTGCCTTGCCGACGGAGGTGCTATCGGCTAAAAATCCCTCCTGACCCGAGCGCAGTGCTGAAGCCGTGGACTGAAGATGAGCGCATGCTCCTGCGGACTCTGTATATCACGACCGATTTCAGTAAGACGACGATGGATCCCATCTGTCTTGCAACGGAGTTTCTGAACCGCAACTGCGACGAGGTATACGCAGAATTTCAGTCTCTCAATATCAGCATACCCGAGCTTGAACTCACCGAACCGCCTCGACCGCGAAACATTTCGTGGTACGATCGCAAACGGAAGATGCTCATCGGGGATTGGCAAGACCACACCATCACCCATGAACATCAACGACGGGAACTGCTCGAACCATGCTCTCACGACGGCCCATGCGCCCCCAAGATATGCAGCTGCGTCGATGCCGGGGCTCTGTGCGAAAGATTCTGCGGCTGCACAGAGGCGACCTGCGCTTATAAGTTCACAGGCTGTGCTTGCCACTCTTTAGGCAAGACGTGTCTTCCGAAGCAAAAAGACAGGCCGTGTATCTGCGTGCAACTCAACCGCGAGTGTGATCCCCAGCTGTGCGGTTCATGCGGCGCTTTTGAACGTGCGGATCCTGCCAACGCGGAAGACGATGTTTTGCACTCGACGGGGTGCCAAAACTGTGATCTACAGCGTGGGAAGCACAAAACGCTCCTCCTCGGACAGAGTCAGCTCGAAGGAGTTGGCTACGGACTCTTTACCGCCGAGGATATTGCCCAGGACGAGTTCATTGTCGAATATGTGGGAGAGCTCATCACCCACGACGAGGGCGTTCGCCGCGAAGCAAGGCGCGGTGACGTGTTTGACGAAACATCGAACATCTCATACGTCTTTACTCTGCTTGAAAACGAGGGCATTTGGGTCGACGCCGCTATTTACGGCAATCTGAGTCGGTACATTAACCACGCTTCGGAGCACGACACTCGGGGATGCAATATTACGCCACGGATCCTCTATGTCAACGGAGAGTTTCGGATCAAGTTCACGGCTTTGCGTGATATCAAGGCCGGCGAAGAGCTCTTTTTCAACTACGGCGAAAACTTTCCCAACCTCACCAAGAAACTGCTGGATAACAAGTCCGGGGAGAAGCCAGAGGGCCCTAGAAAGGCCGGGCGACCCAAGCGTGCAGAGACTGGCGATCGAGTGGCACGCAAGGTACCCAAGATAGAGCACAAAAAGGCGGGAAGGCCGAAATCGAAAAAGAACAAGATGGCGGCAAAGGCGGCGACGACGACTGTTACTACAACTACAACTACGACTACGACGGCCAGGGCGGCGGTGGTGGCAGTCTCGGATGACGATTCTGCAGCTGTCAGTCCATCAATGGAGGCTCATACCCGCAAGAGAAAACGCCATACGGTGATTGACTCCGAGGAGGAAGAATACCGCCCTCCTGGCACAGACGCAGCGTCGTCTGCAGCTGCACACGCCACCACCGAAGAGGGCGAGCTGCTGGGGTCGAAGCGGCTGCGGAAAACGACGCGATCACAGCGAGCCAAGGAGCCCGAAACACCATCAGCCAAGACTCCGGGATCAGAGGAGCAAAAGCCGCGGGGCAAGCGCGGAGGGGCCCGGCCCGGCAGCGGACGACCTAGAAAGCATCCTCGAGTCATCCCCAGGCCAAACAAAGAACCTCCGCAGCTTGCTCAAGCTGCCCAGCCCGCTGGTTCGTCCCAGGACTCGCTGCTTGAGGCGAACACCAGCGCATCTGCTCCCACGCAGACGCCTACGCCTACGCCGTCAACGCCAAAGCAAAGCAGGGCGGGGGGCCGTGGGCAGGAGCCCGAGGACGTTGTTGAGATTGAAGACAGCGAAGACCAAGACGTGGTTACGATGAGCCGGACATCGAGGAATAGACGGTTACCGGCGAAATTTAGAGAGGAGGCATAGGCGTAACAAAGGTCAAGGTGTCAACGGTCTTAGGGGTATTATGGGGTTGTACAGAAAAGGCTCATTACTGATAGAACCAGGTACCGCAGATACTGTAGGCCAATTTGGTCGATTTTGAATCGAGGAGGAGTAGACTCGTAGCATTACGATAGTGTGTACCCTTGCGGAGGAGTCGCAATGTGAAAAGTACCGTGGACTCGGATGGGGAAAGCTGGGAAATAGGACAAGGCGATGACGAGCATGTGATGGAGCCCTGTTGTTGAAGCTACAGTACCCAAGGACAGCATGTACCTGGTATGTGGCGCAGAGCTGAGCTCTGCCTTGGTCAAAGCCCTGTCAGAAAACGTATACCTCGGATACTGCGAGTACTGTACCAGGTAGTTAAGGTAGTTGACATAGCTCAGTTAGCTGACGGCAGACATCTTCTACTATATGCATGCAATGAGGGAATCAATTCAACCTCATCTCGAATTCGAAGGCTAGTAACAGTACCGTAAGTGCATGTCAAGCTGCAAGTTGAGACTTCTCTTAAAGCAGCAAGCGGTCATGCTAGCACTTCCATTGCAGTGGTTCTCTGCACCCAGTCAAGCCACATTTCAACCTTACAGCGGGGGAGGGGCGAACAAAACCAGCCACAAGAGACAGCAAACGATGACGTGGGCGATTCGACACGGCTGGGAGCTGCACCAAGCTGAGGTACTTCAGTTCGTACCTTGCCTGGCCTGACCCGAACCTGAACCCACAGGCAGCAAACAGAACAGAACACTTTGCCTGCTTTTAAACTTGCAGCTTCTCTCCTCTCGTGCTCTCTTCCTCCATCCTACAACAACAAAAACCTTTGACTCTCAACGCACGCCGAGGCAATCGACTCTTTCTACCGCCGAATTCGTGCTCTACTCTGAAATTTCGTCGTCGAGCTTCCTCCATCGACCCCGCCGAAAGAAAATAAAAGCAAACAAACCAGAGCTTCGTTGAAGGCCATTGCCACGATACCACAATGACGCTCTACTACACTCTCGTATGTTGCCGCGGTTGCGACGATGGATATCACAGAGAACTTGCTGGATTGGTCTAACCGTTCAAAAGGTGTTTGGTCTTCTCATGGCCGAGATGGCGCTGTTTATGCTGCTGCTCGTGCCGCTGCCGTTCAGCGCCAAGCGCAAGATCTTTACGTACGTTTTCAAATAGCTTCCTAGGATGGTTCACACGCTGACGCATTGCACGATAGCTTCATCTCCGAGAGCCCGGTGATAGCCAAATTGCAGTACTGGATGAAGATTACGTTCTTCTTCATCTTAATACTCTTCGTCGACAGTCTCAACCGGGTCTACAGGGTGCAGCTCGAGGTCATGGCCGCCCACGAGCACGCTGTTAAGGGAAAGTGAGTGTCCTTCCGGCAAACCCAAACAATACAAGAAACGTCAACAATTGTCTAACGACTGCGTCAATAGTGCTGCCGCCGTCATGGGATCCGAGCGCCTCGAAGTCCAGGCCCGCAAGTTCTACTCCCAGCGCAACATGTACCTCTGCGGCTTCACGCTGTTCTTGTCCCTGATCCTCAACCGCACCTACGTCATGATTCTGGAAGTCATGCGCCTGGAGGACAAGCTGAGGGCCTACGAGGGCACCAGCCAGAACACCAAGGAGAGCGAGAAGCTGGCCGTTGCCGGAAAGCCGGGCGAGCTCGCCGCCCTCAAGAAGAAGCTTGAGAAGAAGGAGCAGGATCTCGAGAACCTGAAGAAGCAGGCGGAGCAGCTGAACAAGGCCTACTCTGAGCTTAGCGACAAGTATGCCGCTACTCAGATTGATGGCGAAAGCCGCAAGGCCAGATAAGCCATGCTTTCTGCTCTGCAAAATGAGTGTTGGAGTTGTGTTGCGAACTAGGTGTTTGTGAACAAGACTGAACATCATAAGGAGAATAAGGAGCCAGGATCACGAAGGGAGTGTTGGAGTGGAGTGAAGTGAATCGACCAATTGCTCTTCCTCACTTACGACCAACTTCTTATACTGCTGTGGCGAAAAGCTAAGGAAGAGCAAGCTGATTTTGCTGAGGGATGGGAAGCAGTGGACGTGCGGTGTTATCTGGTCTTGGGTCTCATGACTGACTGTATATTACTTTTGCAAACTTGACAGCTTTTGTCGCGAATTTCATGCTATGTCTGACTTCTACACAGCGCGCCAATGCATCTTCCAGTTCTTTGCCGGCTAACTACAAGACACAGGCCTCAAGTCTTACCATGGCCAATCCTTCCCGTTGATGCTCACAAACTTGTTTGTCTCGGCATCTCGCTTCCCCTCGATGATGTCGCGACAGCTCTCGCCACTGACGCTCGGCTCCAACGCGCCCATCTTGCGGCGCTCCTCAGGGTCGCCGTTCGCGAAGGTCGTGGCCACAAACTCGGGATCAAAGGCAAAGACCTTTACGCCGTCGTCCTTGAGCTCGTAGGCGTCGCACGCGGCGAGCATGTTGAGGGCGGCCTTGCTCATGCGGTACTCGGGCGACCCGACGGCGTAATAGGTGCCCTTTGGGTTGAGCCTCTCGCCGATGGAGCCGAGGCCGCTGGAGACGTGGATGATGCGCTTCGTCTTGGGCTCTGCATCCTCGCCCTCGGGCTGGATCTTGAGGAGGGGCTTAAAGGCCTGCGTGACGGCAAAGGGGCCGATGGTGTTGACCTCGAGGGTGTTGCGCAGGCGGGCGAGGGGGTCGGGGGCCTGGTCGACTATGCCGGCGTTGTTAACGAGGACGTCGAGCCTGCCTGCTTCCCGGCGGACTTGTTCGGCGGCGGACTGGATGGAGGGCGGGGAGGAGACGTCGAGCTGGAGGACGGAGATGGAGGTTTTCGGGTGGTTGACGAGGGGGCGGAGGGAGGAGGCGGCGGATTCGCCCTTGGAGGGGTCGCGGGCGGCGAGGAAGATTTTGTAGGGGAGGGGGGATTGGACGAGGGCTTTTATGATTTCGTAGCCGATGCCGCGGTTTGCACCTTTTGAGGTGGGACTGGGTGTTAGTTTTGTCTTGTCTGTTGAGGTTGGGTTAGGGGGGTTTTGATGGGAGGGGAGGGACGGACCGGTGACGAGGACGACGGTTGGAGACATGGTTTGGGGTCGTTGAGTGTGAGTATGGTTATTCTGTGTAGGTAATGTTTTGTTGTTGGTTCTATGGAGTTGGCTTTTCTCTTCATTTTCATTGTTTCTGTCCCTCGGCCTTTTATCTTTCGTGGTGTTCCCTGTTCAGCATCATCGTGATGCTTTTCTGTGCTACATTACAAATGAAGGCATCTCGCTCCGGACTTAAGACAACAACTCCAAACTGCAAAGTCCAGTTTGGCCACCTAGGAAACTATAGCACCCCAAAGGGGTTCCAACAAGCGCAGCCTATCGTGTAACTGCACTAACTTTTTCGTAGTATCCGCATAGGAGAGGGAGGCTCGGACATAACGAGTTCCTATGTCCTTAGTTAGGAGCCTATATTTTTAAGCATATAGTTGCAAGGCGGACATCTAACAAACTAGTCGCTGTCTCTAAAGGGAAAGGGGCAAGTGAGTGAGTGAGTGGTGCTTCATAAGGGGGTGCGAAGACAGGATGAAGTGGGTTGTCGGATGTAAGAGCTGGTTGACGCGAGGTGTTGTATAGTATTAGGATGACAAAATGGGTGCAGAAAGCCGTGATGCTGTGGGTAGTATGACGCTATGACACAGGCGCATTGAAGCATGAATCTGAGATCAAAACGTATCATACTATCCTATCTCATTAGTTTAATCATTCGACTAGTGTTGAAGCCTTGAAGCAATTTGCATCGGCGAGATTCTCAGCAGCACATCTCATCTGATGATATGACTGTAGTGCTTATTCTGTCAACTATTTCGGACAATTCCTGACGGCTAAATGCGGGGACCGACGCAACTGAGTCTAAACCCTTTTCAACGCCAAAAAGCTTCCAGGCCTAGAACGCTTCCAACCTCGCGTCTTCGCTGCCCGGAACTTGGCCGTAACTCCTCTCCGTCAAGGAGACTGTGTACCCCGACGTTACCTGATACCATTCCGTTTCCCCGTCCTTGTTGACTCATAACACGATAATTCCTCGGAGAAGAAAGGAGAAGACAGAAGAAGCAACAATGGCTTCTTCGGATGTACCTCTGCACAGCGAGATCACGAAGGAGCAGTTCGCGTCGTGTCTAAGTCAATACCCGGCCGTCGTGGAGGCGATATCCCGGTCCAAAGGCGGTACGTCGCTCGGTTCCTACATTACTACAGTGCATCTTTTTCAACAACAAGCGTTGTTCGTTCTCGTTTGCGTTGAATTTGGGAAAGCTGACGGTCATGCGCGCATGAACAGCCAAGGATGGACAAAGGACGCTCTCTGAGCTGGACCAGTATCGCTACGTGGAGGCCGTGGAGACGTTTGGTCTGAAGAAGCAGAAGCGGGAGATGCAGCTTGATGATGTCAAGACGCTCGTCGAGTGGAAGCTGTAAGTTGTCGTGTGGTGTGTTCCATCATGCCCGTCATCATCCTCCCAGCATCATGTACAGGGTTTATGCTGTGTAAGAGAGATTGGGTATTCTCATTCACTTGAACATCTGCATCTTATTTACAGTACCCTTTTGCTACACAAACTTGAACTTGAGCATATTTGGATCTGGATAGCTCACACTCAACCAGACGCCACGGCAAGTTCCGGCCCACGCTCATGTCCCTCGTCTCCTCCAACCCCCCCGCATCCTCCGCCCAAACAATCCAATTTGCCGTCAAATTCTACGCGGGCTCCAAAGACGCCGGCAGCGCCGTCAGGATGCTCTCCGAGCTCAAGGGCGTCGGCCCCGCCACCGCGTCCCTCCTGCTCTCCGTCCACGACGCCGACAACGTCCTCTTCTTCTCGGACGAGGCGTACTACTGGCTGTGCTGCGGGGGCAAGAAGGAGGCCATCAAGTATACGCCCAAGGAGTATCTCGCTCTGCGGACGGAGGCGGATGTGCTTATGAAGAGGCTTGGCGTGTCGGCGGTGGACGTTGAGAAGGTGGCGTATGTGCTGATGAAGCAGCCGGAGACGACGAAGGGTTCCAAGGCAGATGCGGCGGTGGAGGCTACAGGGCCGGCCAAGGCAGCGACTCCTTCTACCTCGTCGTCGTCGAAGAAGAGGAAGACGGCAGCTAATGAAGGGAGTGAAGGGAAGGAAAAGAAGGCAGGGGTGGCAGCCGCAAAGAAGGATTCGATTGAGGAGCATACGGACTTGAGACGCTCGAAGAGGTTGAGAAAGTGATGAGCCTTTCATATTGGCCGTCATTCATATTCTTTCTAGAGGGTTTTGGTACGTGACCCCTTGGTTTGTATATACCTTTTATTAAACTCATTGCTCTTACAGTTTTGTCACTAAGATACTATATCAACAACCAGTCTTCCTCCACTGATTTCGCCCGCCCTCATCCTATCCAGCCCCTTATTCACGCCGTCGAACCCGCTCTCGACGCCGATAACGGGCGGCGGCGCGAGCAGACCCTGCTCCAGCAGCCGCTCCAACCACAGCACCAGCGCCTCGCCCACAGAAGGCACCGAGTGGAAGATCTTGATGGGCACGGTATGGTACGCAATGCCCTCGGGCGGCGCCTCCTTGGGCAAGCCCGTCAGCCCGACGAGGTGCGACGTCTGCGCCTTGCTCTCGCGCGGCGTGTCGGGCGGCGACGGCGGCGCCTCGGCGAGCCTCTTCTGGCGCGTCAGCGCGTCGAGCAGGACGGCGGCGGAGTCGCGGCCGCGGGTGTCGAGGGCGAAGCGCAGCTGGGAGCCGACGCTGGCGCTGATGATGTCGACGGCGCGGGCCGTGTCGTGGCTGTCGACGAGGAGGTCGGGGCGCTGGCGGGGGCAGCCCGAGATGCGGAGGCCGTGCTTGGCCGTGTCGACGATGGTGATGACTTTGAGGCCGGCGAGGCGGGCGAGCTGGACGGTGATGTTGGCCGATGTGGAGGAGCCTATGGTTTGCAAGCTGGTCAGCCCCAACGGAATATTATGCAACTGAGAGCACGAGGTCATATCGCCAGAAGACAGGGCACACACCTCCCCAGACAGCCACCCAGTCTCCCGGAACTGCCCTCTCCGAGTCCGTGATGCCCTGCAGGCACTCGGCCCTCACGTCCTCGGGGATGCTCTCCGGCGGGACTTGCCGCACGAGCTGCAGCAGGTCCGGCCCGTCGAGGATGGACGAGAAGTCGACGCCCATGCAGACGCCGAGGGTGATGGCGGCGGCGGAAAAGGCGACGCCTAGGCCGGCGGCCTGCTGGAAGGAGATGGACGGCGGTATTCTCGCGACGTTGAAGTCTGACGAGACGGAGTACTCTTGGTACGCGGCCTTGCGGAGATCGCGGTAGTCTGTGGATATGGCCAGCACCTACGACGATGATGAGTCTCTCTGAAGTGGCTTGAGAGGATTGTTTATATCATACCCGGTCGCCTTCTTTTAAGCGGGAGTTGCGGCGGGGAGGCTTTGTGACGCGGCCGGCGAGTTCGCGGCCTGCGATGTAAGGCAGTGTTGCGATGCCAAAGTTGAAGTCTCTATGGTTGCCAGTTCTGTGTCAGCGCAGATGCCCATACGCATGAGTGAAGGTAAGAGGAGATGAATTCTTTCGTACGGCGCTTTCCAGTCGATCGGGTTCAAGCCTATCGTGTGAGTCCTGATGAGCGTCTCATCGTCCTCAACCAGCCGCGGCACGGGATAGTCGTTGGTGATCTGATATGCCTGCCGCGGTCCGTGGAGGAGCAGGACGGTCTGTGCTTGTGCCGCGTCTCCCGCCATGGTTTCTGAGAAGTATGGTTGCGTCTTATTCAGGAAGAGGAGCGTGCTGGCAACCAAATAATCAAGAAGAGGAGGATATGAAATGAAGCAGGAGATAAGCAAGAAAAGCAAAAAGAGAGGGAGTCCTGTTCAAAGAGGGCTGCTTATCAAGATGTCAAAAGGTTGTAGCATCGTTGCCCGCATCTGTTACCTCCGCCATCTCCGCCGTCCCAGCATCTCTCTAAATATAATTCTTGTATATTCAGCCGGAGCCCCATTTACTACTACTCACTCGAGCGATATCCCGCTGACAAGTATGGCTAAGCAAGACGGCAATGACTATCGCCAAATCGACGATTGGGGAATACTACTACATGCTAAGAGCACCGCTTTCGGAGTGGCTCTTGTGTCGAGAGATTTCCGTCAGCAAAGATAGATATGTAATACTAAAGACATTAGTACGTCTAATAGTATCATTGACGCTGCATCCTCAATGTGTCTTGTCACTCCCGAAAATGCGATGGGGGCAGAAGCATGCCGGATTGCGTGATTGCTCACCAGGCTTGCTCAATAAACCCCGGCCGTCGGTTTTTGGGGGGTGACAACCCACTCCGGGGTCCGGGTCCGGGAGGGGGGGTCAAGTTCTGGGCTGAGGGATTGCCTAAAGGGACAAGAGTTGGAGAGAATGGCGACAGAGAGATGGGAGGGGCATGAAGCGTCGTGGCCGAAATGTCTTCATAATTGACCGGCGTGGTCTCATTGATTTCCTCCCTCGGCTATTGCTGAAGCTTGAGAGCTTTCTGTGACTTACACGGGCAGCTTGGTGATGATAAGCTAAAAGATCCCGACATCAGCAGTCCCGCGGATCAGAAAGCAAAGCCCTTTGAGCTTGAGTCCTTCGATTGTAGGCCCCTGATCGGACCTTTTTACTTTTTACTTATTTCCTTCTTTATTCCCTTTCTTTCTTGTCTTGTTAAACGCTTATTTACAACAACCGTCATGGCTAGTGTTGATCTGCCAACTCCCCCGGAAACGGCGCGGACGTCTCCCAAACCTCGCTCAGCATCCCCTGTCCCATCTTCCCCTTCAACTGCTGCTGCTCCTGCTACCGCTGCTACTGCTTCCATTCCCAAGCCGTACGAGGTGCCCAAGATCAGCCTTGTGGACCGCTTCATCGACCAGCCCAGGGAGCTCAACGTGGCCGTCATTGGCGCCGGTCTGGCCGGCGTGCTGGCGGGCATCCTGCTGTCGGCCAAGGTGCCCGGCATCAAGCTCACCATCTACGAGAAGAACGCGGACGTGGGAGGCACCTGGTTCGAGAACGTGTACCCGGGCGTGCGCTGCGACGTGCCCGCCCACGTCTACCAGTCGACCTTTGACCCCAACACGCAGTGGACCGAGGAGTTTGCGCAGGGCCCCGAGATCCTCGCGTACTGGAAGGGGCTCGCCCGCAAGTACGATGTCTACAAGCTGCTCAAGCTCTCGCACAGGGTGGACGCGCTGGACTGGGACCCGGAGACGTCTCAATGGCAGATCAACGTGCGCGATCTCGAGGCGGATGCGTCGCGGGTCGACAGGGCCGACTTCGTGCTCACGGCCATTGGCCGCTTCAACGCCTGGAAGCTGCCCGACTACCCCGGCATAGAGGACTACAAGGGGCTCCTGCGGCACACGTCCAACTGGGATCCGTCATTCGACGTCACGGGCAAGAGGGTGGCCGTCATCGGCAACGGCGCCAGCGGGATCCAGCTCGTCGCCAACATCCAGAAGCGCGTCGCGCGGCTGGACCACTACGCCCGCAATAAGACGTGGGTGGCCGCCTCCTTCGCCGGCCACGAGACGTCCATCGAGCCCAAGACGATCCCGCAGGAGCTCCGCGACTCGTTCAAGGAGGACCCGGAGGCGTATCTGCGGTACCGCAAGGCGATGGAGCAGACCTACTTCAGGGGCTTCAAGGGCTGGCTCAAGGGCTCCGCGAGCAACGACGAGGCCAAGGAGGCCTTTACGCAGCTGGCCAGGACGCGGCTGGCAGCCAAGCCGGAGCTGTTTGAGCGCATCATCCCCGACTTCTCCCCGCACTGCCGCCGGCTCACGCCGGGGCCGGGCTACTTCGAGGCCCTCTCCCAGCCCAACGTCGAGTACGTCCAGACGCGCATCAGGCGCTTCACGGAGACGGGCATCGAGACGACCGACGGCACGATTCGAGAGGTGGACGCCGTCTTCTGCGCCACGGGCGCCAACTCGGACATGGCGCCCCCCTTTCCGATCCGCTCGGGGGCCGCCGACCTGCGCCGCGACTGGAGCCACTCCGGCGGCGCGTACGGCTTCCCCTACGCGTACATGGGCGTAGCCTCGCCCGGGTTCCCGAACCTGCTCTTCGTCCACGGGCCGAGCGCGTCGGGCCGGTCGGGCACGGTGCCGCACAACGTCGAGAACCAAATCACCTTCTTCGCCAAGATCCTGCGCAAGGTGAGCCGCGAGGGCATCCGCACCATGGCGCCGTCGCGCGCGGCCACGGACGACTTCGTGGCGTACAACGACGCCTTCTTCGAGACGACGGTGCTGTCCGAGAAGTGCAGCTCGTGGTACAACGGCGGCATCCCGGGCGGGAGGATCCACGGCCTGTGGCCCGGCAGCGCGACGCACCTGACCGTCGTGCAGAAGGACCCGCGCTGGGAGGACTGGGAGTACGAGTACCTGTCCGAGACGGGGAACCGGTTCGCCTGGTACTTTGGCAACGGGAGCACGGCGGTCGAGGCCGATCCCGAGGCGGACATTACGCCGTACCTCAGGGCCGGGAGGGCGGATTTGCGAGGGCTGCATGAGGAGTGGTGGGTCGTGCCGTGAAAGCTCCTGGGAATTTACCTTAGATTGGAGCCATAGTACATACATAGCAGTAGATTGTATCGAGTTCTTTCTTCTTCACATGGTCGAATTCATCAATCAGGAAACGTGAAAGAGAGTCTAGAATCCCCTGTTGGTTTTTAGCCGATGCCCTCCTTTACGGGGATGGTTGGGCCATGTGCGTAAGTATATCTCGGGAGAGCATCTCGGCAAGGCAACAGCTCCCAGATGCTTGGATCCAAGAACGATAGATCTCCGTTCCCAGTCTAGCAGTGAAGATGGGCTTCTTACTCGTACTCGTGGAACCTAAGATAGCCTATGATTTTCACCTGTGAATTTGCTATAGCATCTCAGCCCCTCGATGGCGTGCTGGCAAGCATGCGTTTCGCAAGCCCGCCTAAGCAAGTCCATCCCGTCGGTAGTCGCAGATAATCCCGATGTCGCAATCCGCAGACCAGATACTAGATTGATTACGAGATGGCAAAAAGAGAGAGCTTGTATCAACTGGGAACGCTCAGTGACATGAGTCGGGGTGTTGTTGAAAGATTTCGGTACTGAAGACGGAAAATGATTGATATGAGGCAAGCCGCCCGGAGGTGAAAGACCTCTATCAGAGCCCTTGTACTACGTACGTCGTTTCTCAATTTTTGTTTCCCTTCTTCTTTTGAAAATTATACGGGCTTCATCCGTCTGGCTTGCTGAAAAGCCCAAGAGATCAAGGTCAACATGGCGGACAAGGAAGATGTCTTTTCATCTGATACAACACCATTGCCCAAGGAGCAACGACACAAAGGTAAAAGAATATACCAGCCTCAACAACACCTCTCTCTCCAACAAAACGAGCAAAGGCTCACTGACAGCTCCCCCTCAGTAAAATGGTATCGATCAACATTCTACAACATGACGGTGCTCGGCCTCTGCAACCTCGCAGCGCCGGGCATCTGGGGCGCCATGAACTCCCTCGGCGCAGGCGGCAGCCAGTCGCCGCAGCTCGTCAACGCCGCCAACGCGCTGACTTTCTGCCTCATGGTCCTGTCGTGCTACTTCTCGAGCACGCTGGTTCGATACATTGGCATTAAAGGCGCCCTTGTGTTTGGAACGTACGTCTTCCTTCATCTGCCCATCATCCAAACTTACACACACACACACACACACAGAAATCTACCATATCAAGAGACAAAGAAACATGTAACACACAACTAACACAACCTCCCCCCTTCCCAGCATGGGCTACGCCCCCTACGCAGCCGGCCTCTACACAAACAACCGCTACGGCGTAACCTGGCTCGTCATCCTCGGCGCCGCCCTCTGCGGCATCTCCGCCGGCGTCTTCTGGTCCGCCGAGGCCGCCATCGCCATCGCCTACCCGGAGCCCTGGAACCGCGGCAAGGCCCTCGGCTACTGGCTGACCTTTCGCGTCATGGGCCAGATCATCGGCGGCGCCGTCAACCTCAGCCTCAACATCGACCGCAACGAGGCCGGCAAGGTGTCGTACACGGTCTACATCGTCTTCATCGCCATCCAGGCCGCGGGAGCGCTGGTGGCGCTGCTGCTGAATCGGCCGCAGCACGTGCAGCGGGAGGACGGCAAGAAGGTGAAGCTGACCATTGTCGAGAACCCTTGGTATGAGATCAAGGCGACTGCCAAGGCGTTTTTGAATCCAAAGTTTCTTTTGATTGTGCTTTGGATTGGACAGGCTGTCTTCTCCGAGGCGGTTTACTTTACGTATCTGTCCCGTAAGTTTTCTTTCTTTGATTCTCCTGTGCTTTATAGGATACTGACGGAGTCTGTGATAGTCTGGTTCTCAGTCCGAGCTCGAGCTCTAGGCTCCTTCTTGGGCGGCATCGTCGCAATCATCATCGGAAATCTCACGGGTGTAAGTCCCCATACCGTTCACCCTACAGCCTTGAAAGCTGTCCAACTGACACTCCTATTACAGTGGTGGCTTGACCAGAACAAAATCTCGCTCAAGATCCGCGCCCGATACACCTTCTGGTTCATCGTCGTCACCCAAGGCGCCTGGTGGCTCTGGGCCACCGTCATATCAACACGATATCGCCAGACGCTCCCGACCTACGACTGGACGGATTCAGGCTTCGGGTCCGGGTTCGGAGTCTACATCTTTCTCACCTTTGGCTTCCAGATCAACTACCTCTTCCTGTAAGTTTTCCACAGCACAACAACCAACAAAGCCCCCTTTTTTCCCCGTTGAAAACACAACGACTGACAAGGCTTGATTCTTTCTTGTATATAGCTACTTTGTCGTCACGCACATCGCCAAGGACCAGGGCCAAGTCATCCGCTACGCCGCCCTCCTGCGCGGCACCGAGTCCGCCTGGCAGGCCGTCAGCTACGGCCTCACCTCGCTGACCATCTTCGCCCAGGTCGGCGGCATCTACATGAACTTTGCGCTGTGGGCGCTTGCCATTGCGCCGGCGTGGCTGGTGCTGAGGCACTTTGGCAGCGGCGACGACGAGAGGGAAGAGGGGCAGCAGTGGGATCGGGAGTCTGGGAGCAGCAGCTCGAACGAGGCGTCTGCGGTTGTTGTGGTGGCGGAGGAGAATCATGTGCAGGCAAAAGGCCTATGAGAGGCGTGAGAGGGATGGAAGAACGAAGCTACTCTGCGGTTCATAGTATCAACTAATTGCTGCTTGTGAATGATTGCATCTTTACGTATAGAATGATGTGGGATTGATAGATCTTGTTCATATTGTGGATATACACCTCTTGACCTCTAATACCGGCGTAGACATTTGTATGAGATATCAGACGAGACGAACCCCTTGCAGAGGTAGGAACAAAAGCAGTGACTACCACAATCATCGCCAATTGCTCAGAATATTTCCCTAATAGGCAACTCTACGACAACAGACAGAGTACATAGCTGGAGGCAAGTAGTAAGCCATCAGCTCCTCAGCAACCTACATCAGCAACGTCAACATTGGCCCAGCTTCAACCAACGGCATCCAACCCCCATCTGCCGGTAAGCTGAGACAAGCATTAGGCTGCCCTCTCCCACTCTGGGAATAAGAGAAAAACTGCCCCCCCAGCTCAAAGAAGGACATGATTCCATGCTCTCATTATTGGCCATGATGCCATCGACTAGCAGTATCCGAGTTGTTGCATGTGAAAGATGGTTTCCCCCTCCCCTCCCCCAACTAACAAAGAGCTCCATATGCCGAGCCCCTGTCCCGTTCCCAGGCAGAATACGCGCAACTCCACCATGTACCGACACCAATTGCCCCAGAGGTAAAACTCTCTGACCGCAGCTAATGAAATCTAACAGCAATCGGGCAAATCAAGCTCGCTCTATTTCCCACAGCAAAGTGGATGAGAAGGACCAAGTAAGTGCCATTAGCGTGTGGCAGCTCCTCAGATATCAAAAGATGGATTGATTTGCCTATGGCGGTATCCCCACCCGGGCTGACGTGATTTCAACACGGGCGCCAGAAAGGGTAAATCCGGGGAAGCTACTTCGAGCATGGGGGAGTTTTTATCAGGCACAGGGGCGCATCTCCATGTTCGAGTTACCCAACAGCTTGCAGCAGCTCCGTTGCGAGATCACCGTCGGAAAGTGGAGAGGGGGGTCTGTCTTGCGTGATTGCATCACTTGGATTGCACCATCGTGGTAAGAGGCTGGGACGAGTTCGTTTGCGCTGCATTTGCCAAGTCGAGACACAAGGGTGGGAGGGACCGAATATCGGACGTGTGTGGCCGGAGAGCCATGCAGAGATATATGTGCCGTATCGGCTGTATGTATATCAGCAGGGCCAGTAGGAGACTACATACTCGCCGCATGTGAAGAAGTGCCTCTCGAAAAGCGACCAGGGACGAAAGAGAAATCAAGCAAGCAAAGCAAGCACATCATCTTCTCGAGCACATACACCATTGTTGGGCAGCAACCATGAGCTCGTCGCAGACCGGGAAGAAGAGCCTAGTGCTCAACGCCTTTGTAGAGATGTGTGCGTCCAATAGCAAAGAATCCCCGTAACTGACACCTGCAGGGCAAGGAAAATCAAAGGAGAGGGCATTGTTACTGACGGCCACAAAGGCAGTGGCCACCAGTCACCTGGCCTATGGCGACATCCCGACGACCAGTCCTCGCGCTTCACCGAAATTGAGCACTGGACTGAGCTGGCCAAGCTTCTCGAAGAGGCCAAGTTCCACGGCATCTTCATTGCCGATGTCCTGGGTAAGGTGACGCCCAAACACTGTCAATATGCTCCCTACCTCGATTAACCCATGTCTGTTGTTGTTGTTGTTGTCGTGCAGGTGGCTATGATGTCTACCGCGGCTCCCTGGATCCGGCCATCATCTCCGGCGCGCAATGGCCGGTACACGAGCCCCTGGCCGTCATCTCTGCCATGGCTGCGGTGACCAAGAGCATCGGCTTCGGAGTCACAGTGTCGACGACTTATGAGCAGCCTTACCACCTGGCTCGGAGGCTGTCCACCCTCGACCACCTTACCAAGGGACGGTGAGACCAGCCCCCATCCACCCCTGATTCGATGCCGACCACGTTGGACGTGCAGCTGACAGCCTTGACAGGATCGGATGGAACGTAAGTCGGCAAGATCTGGCCTATGCAATGCAGCCATCGACAAGGGGGGGGGCGGCCGGCCGAGTGTGTGTGCAGCTGTATGCAGAATGCTAACGATGGCTGTACCCAGATCGTCACCTCCTACCTGGACTCTGCAGCCAAGAACATGGGTTTAGCTCAGCAACCCCAGGTCAGTCCGTCATGTTGCAATTTGCCATTGCCAATGCAGGGCTGCGGTACTGGCCATGTGCTGACTCATTCCCAGCATGACGATCGATATGCTCAAGCTGAGGAGTACATCAAAGTCATGTACAAGCTCTTCGAGTCGTCATGGCGCGACGACGCCGTTGCGCTTGACCGCGCTTCGGGCGTCTACACTCACCCTGACCGCGTCCGCAAGATCAACCACAATGGCAAGTTCTTCACCGTCCCCGGCCCTCACATCTGCTCGCCCAGCCCGCAGAGGACGCCGCTGCTGCTGCAGGCCGGTACGTCTCGGGCCGGCAAGGTGTTTGCCGCGCAGCACGCCGAGGCCATCTTCGTCTCTGCGCACGCGCCCCAGGTCTGCGCCAAGAGCATCGCCGAGATCAGGGAGCTGGCCAAGACGCAGTTCGGCCGCGACCCCAGCAACATCAAGGTCCTTGCCCTGGTCTGCCCTATCCTCGGGAAAACGGAGGAGGAAGCCCAGGCCAAGCTGGCGGATTACAAGCAGTACGCCTCGCTTGAGGGTGCCCTTGCTCTGTTTGGTGGCTGGACCGGCATCGACCTGAGCCAATATGGCGACGAGGAAGAATTGCGAGAGGTGGAGAGCAATGCTGTCAAGTGAGTGTCTTCTCCGTCTCTCTCTCTCCCAGCGAGTGACCATGATGCTGAGATTCCGCAACAGATCCACCGTCCAAGGCTACGCCAGGTTTTCTCCAGGCACGGTCAAATGGACCAAGCACACCATTGCCGAGCACGTCAGCATCGGCGGCAACGGCCCTGTGCTGGTGGGAACGGCGGAGCAGGTGGCCGATGGGCTCGAGACGTGGATCCAAGAGGCCGACATTGACGGCTTCAACTTTGTCAGTATCCCCTAATCAAACGACCTTGTCAATCACCCAGATAAACTGACCGGTAGAGTCGCAGGCCTACACCCTCTTCCCTCAGTCCTTCAAGGACATCATTGAGCTGCTGCTGCCCGAGCTGAAGAAGCGCGGCCTCTTCTGGGACGACTATGCCGTCCCGGGCGGCACGTACCGCGAGAACTTTTACAGGAAGTCTTCGCAGACGGGGCCTCTGGACGAGCATGTTGCGTCGACCTTTAGGTGGAAGGCGGGCGTTGCAGCAGAGGAGGCGGTTATTCCTGAGATTTAGGAGTTGATACTGAGCCTAAGGTAGTTGTCGGTGCGTGCCCCGTACAGTGCGGATCGTGCGACGTCGTAGGATGCCGCATGTACTATTGCGTACATACAAGGTAGTTAATGCATACCTAGCAAAACTCGTGAATAGAATGCTGCTATCGGGTGGCTATTGATATCATTCTTGAGTCACTTTTACCACGGAGTAGATGAGGTTCTCTGGAGATATCGCATAGATAAATGATCCAGCTGCTGACGCCTCACTCACAACATCAGTTGTCCTGAACAGGCGAATGGGTGGCTTAGTCACCATGCCATCACAGTGCGATCATCAAATTCTCGATGAGCGTAACGGATTCCACCTCGCTCAAATCAACCACGAACAGCAAAGAACCACAGACGAACCACCTCTCGCAGCGTGCAGCAATTCTTGAACAGAGGCGTTATATCGTGCTTGACAAAGGAAGCAACCGGTATTATTGCAAGCTCACCTTCGACGCGCTCACCACCATGCCGCCCACTCAACTGCCCGAGTCCGGCAACCCGCTGTATGTTCCCCCAGCAGGCCTCACACTTCATCGTCCTATTTCACCCAGCAGTTGCAATGATGCCCGTCTTTCATGGCCTTGTTCCTGAGCGCTAAAAGCTAATGTGTTTCTGACAGCGTCTTCTTTGACATAACCATCGGAGGTCAGTAGAGTGCCATCGCAAAACCGTGGCCCAAAGCGCTGCATGCTTATACATCACCGCTGACCCAACATTGTGCTTCACACAGGCGAACCCCTCGGCCGCATCACATTCGAGCTCTTCAAAGACGTCGTCCCCAAGACGGCCGAAAACTTTCGCCAATTCTGCACCGGCGAGTCAAAGGACGCGTCGAACCGCCCACAAGGCTACAAGGGGTCGAAATTCCACAGAATTGTAGGTCCCCTTCCTTACCATGACATTGTCTTTATTTGATGCAATGCGGTTTGTGTTCCCGGATGGCTGACTTGTGTGTGTGTGTGTCTCTCTCTCTCTCTAGATTCCAAACTTCATGTGCCAGGGTGGTGACTTTCTCAAGGGCGACGGGACGGGGTCTACCTGCATTTGGGGCTACAAGTCGTTTGACGACGAGAACTTTACCCTCAAGCACGACCGGCCTGGTCTGCTCTCCATGGCGGTATGTTTCCAGTCCCTTGTTCTTTTTTTCACTCGTCTCTCCGAAGCTCATAATTTAACACAACCGGCCTCTAACATTTTTTTCTGATGCTGTCCAGAACGCCGGCCCCAACACCAACGGCTCTCAATTCTTCATCACCACCGTGCCCACGCCCTTCCTGGACGGCAAGCACGTCGTCTTTGGCAAGGTCGTTGACGGGATGGACGTTGTAAAGAAGATGGAGGCGACAAAGACTGGCTATCGGGGAAAGGACGTGCCCAATTTGGATGTTGTCATTGCTCAGTGCGGTGAGATGTAAATAGTATGCTCTTCCCCTTTGTTTGCCCTGATAAGCGATGGCTATCAGACTTGTCCATGCTTCTACTTGGCCCCCCGCGATACTGCCGTTTTTGTGCGTGATGGCACTGCGACGACTATACTCGAATGCATAATGAGCCTGATGACTACTAGATGCACACAACATCATAAGAGTAGTAAACATGACGAAGCCGTGTATCCGCCGGTACGCGGTCACTCCGGCATCAAACCCACCCCCCTCATTCATCAGGCCCATGAGCCTTGACGGACGGGCTTCCAACAGTATCACCGAAGCGAACCACGAAAATGTTCCAAATGCCGGCCGTTTTTTGTTCTAATCAGCATAGGCTCAGACATGGGGGTCGCGCAAATGACGCCCGCTGCTGAATATGAACCATCCGTCCAGGCAAGTCGTATGTCGAAAGCATATGACCAATGTGTCTCGGCGCCCTGTCTTGCTCCCTCCTGACGGATATGAAACCAGCATCGAACCTTTGTCTCGGCGGTAAGGCAGGCCCTGACGTAATGCAGAGATCCAAATTGTCCATGTGAGCCTTTACGGATGCAAGTACTGCACTTCGGCCACTGCGAGATGGATGAAGTGAGAAGCATGAATAGCGGCCTGGTGCGGCATCAACTCCGCCCGTGTCTTCACCTAATGACACAACTCTTCCGGACTCCAAGCATAGCAACTGGTTGCAACTCTGCACATGTTCAAGCTCTCTTTACAAGGCAGATTCATGCGGAACCTTTTGTAGAACTCTCATTCTCTCGGCTCTGTGAAGTCGTTGGCATCTGCCCATTTCTCATCTGTTTTTGATCAGTTCAAGACAGTGAATACCTGGTGTAGAAATTATTTAATGAGATATATCACAACTCTACTCCGACTCTTGTTAACATCAATATATCCACCACGTAGGTTCACTGCGTTTTCTTTCGAAGAAGAAGAGTCAAGGGTAAAATAACCACGATATCAATCCGACCAAAAGACAACGAAAATGGCAGTTATGATACCAACCACTCTACCGAGTAGCTCCCCCTCACTACGCCGTCTATGCCGACTCATTTCATCCGTTCCGATTCGCCCCCTCTCGCCGATGGATTGACGAGTGCGGGGATCTGCCAATGTGGAGGGTGGGCAGAGCATTCGGTTGTATGAGAAGTAAGTAGCAGCAGCTGTATGGCGCCATCTGCGCTTGTGCTGACTTGCCCAGATATGATGAGTTAAAGCCCGGCATTCGCATTGATAGCATCTTGACCCTCGCTCAAACCTCATTCCAACCACATCCATTGGCTTTACGTCTATACCTCCCTTACACAGTGAGACAACACATATTCTGAAGCTACGGGTATCACACAAGATAGCAGACAAACCTAGCCAGAGGTAGCCAAGGCAGGCTCATCCATCCCGTACAGTCTCCGCCTTCTCACCATGGCATTCACATCAATCCCCATCCTCGACCTGGACCTCTCCAGAGACCCAACAACAAAGCCCGACTTCCTCAACCAACTGCGCCATGCCCTCATGGAGGTCGGCTTCCTCTACCTCAAAAACGTCGGCATCTCGCAGGAATTATGGGACGAGGTCATCAGGCAAGGCAAAGGCTTCTTCGACATCTCCCCAGAAGAAAAGTAAGGGTTTTCTCATTCTCGACATGTTTCCAGCTCTCACATGTGAAATCTTACTGAACTTCAATATGGCACACAAGACTCAAGATTGAAATGAAAAACGCCCCCTCGTTCCTCGGCTACTCCCAGCTCTCCGCCGAAATCACCGCCGGCGCCATAGACCACAGGGAACAAATCGACCTCTCGACCGAGCACGCCCTCCCCGGCCCGGACGCCCCGCGGTACTACAACCTGCTCGGCCCCAACCAGTGGCCGTCCGAGGAGAGCGCGCCCGGCTTCCGCGACACGTACACCGAGTACATGCGCCAGATGGGCGCCATCACAGTCTACTTCACCTCGCTCATCGCCGAGGCCATCGGGCTGCCCGCCGACGCCTTCGAAAAGTACTTCGAGGCCGACCCGCAGCACAAGCTCAAGATCGTCAAGTACCCCGACCTCGCCGAGCTGGGGCTCCCCGCGGGCGCGCAGGGCCAGGGCGTCGGCCCGCACAAGGACAGCATGCTCACGAGCTACCTGCTGCAGGCGACGCGCCACCGCGGCCTGCAGGTGCAAAACGTCCAGGGCCAGTGGATCGACTGCCCGCCCATCGACGGGACCCTCGTCGTGGCCATCGGGCAGGGCATGGAGGCGCTGACCCAGGGCGTCTGCGTGTCGACGACGCACCGCGTGCTGTCGCCCGCCGCGGGCTCCGGCGCGCGCTTCAGCATCCCCTTCTTCCAGGGCGTCAAGCTGGACGCCACGTTTGAGGAGCTGGAGACGGTGGGCATCGGCGAGGTCCCCGCGGCCGTCAAGGAGCAGCGGCAGAGGATTGTGGAGAGGAACGGCGGCCGCATCGACGACGTCGAGTTTACGTTCCACAAGGGCTCCGTGGCCACCACCGTGGGAGAGGCAACTCTACGCAACAGAGTCAAGAGCCATCAGGACGTGGGGGAGCGCTGGTACCCGGACATCCTCAAGTCCATCCTCGAGGAGCAAGCGCAGGCCGCACAGAGGCAGCAGGCTCGCAGTCTGCCCAAGTCGACGGCCGACGTGGCGCCCACGGCTGTGGAGGCTCATTAACCCTCCTCCAAGCTCTGGATCCTCATCACCCTCAGGATGAACTCCTGGCTCGTTGTGGGGAAAGGGGTGGGAAAGAAGCAGGGCAGTGTAGGAACATAGAAACCAATGAAACGCACAGGGAACATGAAGAAAGCCATCAAGACAAAGAAACACCACAGAACATCAGCGCTGGCGCTATGCTATGTCTTATTGTGCTTTTGCGTGAAATCAGTGCCCATGCTATAAATGCTCCGCTTCCCAGACCAAACTCCCTTCGCCTTCGCCAGCAGCCCAACACCACCTCTTTTTTATATATACTCGATACGACTAACAAGGGTCGATCATGGTTATGACGAGGCGGCAAAGGTCGGGAAGCAATCGGCCAAGCCCTTGTTGTGCTTGTTCTGGGCGTGTTCCGTAAGTCTACATTGCAGCCAGAATATCGGTTAGTTAAAAACATCGTGTAAGAGGATGGTGGGCGTCGTACGCGGGAGCCTTGGTAGTCTTGAGGAATGTGGACTTGCAGATCTGGCACTGGATGTCCATGGCCTGGGCGTTCTATTGCGGGTGATTAGCCGTCGTCGATCGAACTAGGCGGACCATCAAGGTACTACTATCGCGAAAGACGCACCACTTTGAGCTGGGACTTGGCCGCCTTGCCGCCCTTTTCGTTGTTGCGCTCGCGCTTCTGCTGAGCCTTGGCGCCCTAGACATTGAGACCATGCAAGTCAGCAGCCGCCCTTAAATGACCGACGAGGGCCAGTGGAAGAGAGAGCGGGAAATATGGTTGTCATTGTCTTACGTTGCCCATTGTGTCGGATGTGAGACGAAAGTTGTTTGTGCTTTGTAGAGTGGCGTATAGAAGACAGTAGCAGTAGCGGGGAGAGAGAGATGGGGCGGGAGTCGTCGGTCGGAGAAGTGCAGCTGATCGTGAGACTGATTCTGGCGGTGTCTCTCGAGATTTCAGAAGTTGAGGCGATATTGGCTGGACGGGGCCAAGGATCTGACGATAAGGCGCTTATCCTTATCGCCTGGAAAATTTGCCCTGGAAAATTTGCAGTGGCGCCATTCTGGCAGCGTTGAGCGGATCTAGAGCCGGATCAGCGGAATCGGCCAGCGGCTCCAGGGGGGGACGATGCGCTGAGCAGCTGTTGTTAGTGGCCGTCATTCTGCTTCACTTGATGGGTTTCGAGGTTTGCCTTCCTTATATCTGCCTTATTTGACAAAGGACATGCTGACTCTAACAAATCTCCAGGCATATCGTTTTGTGTGTGCTGGATAAATCTACTTCTCATGGTGCCAAATGGCCCCTCTTGGCAGTCCTATGTCCACTGCTTATATCACCGGCTTATAAGAGCAAGCGATGCCCATAATGCATGGCTTACATCAACGCATGTAAGCTCCTTTGAACACACACCAAGCTTCACCATCCCTCGAATCAAGTACCCTTTCCTCTCGTCCATCACATGATACCATCTTGTCTGTTAAAAGAATGTCAAGAGGCAATCACCTACCCAATTGAGCAAACCCGTAGCTACAGCGGACCAGGCACGGAGTACCGCCGGGGATGAGATGCTCACGTACAAGTTGGGGGAGCAACTCATTTGTCTGAGCGAGAATACTATGTATGCACAGGCAGACGAGGCTAACTAGAGTTGAGATACCAATGCAGCCCACGGTTCAGGGCAATTCAAGCTTGCTGTCAACCCATCTTCCCCATCACGATCCCACTCAGTGCCTGTTGATCCATCACAAGATGGCAGCCAACTTCAGGTACACAAAGGAGCTCGCAATGCGACTCTGTCACTCAACCCCCAGACGGCTCCAAACGTGCCCATGAACCTCCCCCAATCAATCATGCCCGTCTGTCCCTCTCATCATCCGCAGCCAGTCTCGGATAGGAAGCTGGGCTGAAAAAGGACCGGGGCCTCCGCAGGCTAGAGACAGTCGGCGTTTGCTTGGCAGCTCCGTTCCCTTCCCTCTTCCCTTTACATACAACTACTACTACATGTACTATAGAGTACTGGTACTACTCGTACTGCGAATACTCGTAGTCTTATGTGCCTTGAACCCTTGCTGGCAAGGTTACATTCTTGCAACTCTATCTTTATTCTTACTTTTAGTCACCATCACCCGGCTTCTCATCTCGGCAGGTTCCATTCCACCAATCGCCAGCATCGACATAGGCTATTCGATGCTCGCTAGCGAGCTCACGCGTTGCTGGCTTCTTTCTTGGCTCTTTATGCTGCAGCCTGTCTTGAGCTCATCGTCACGACATCTTGTGTTCTAGACCTGTCTCTAGGACGAGGTGAGCGCGTTGCCTCTGGACTCGCGTATGTAGATGCTCTCTTACAACCTCCTGGCTGATTTGTTAGATCTTGTCCATCAAGTCAGATAAAGCTCGTCGATCAGATAGGAAGACGAATCAAGGAAGTTTTGTATATCATCGTAGCCACCGGGTTCATGGTCCTCATATCCGACAAGAGGTGAGAGATGGTAGTTGAATCTTTCACGCGTCCTAGCGACTCACGTTTTGGCATGGATAGTCCCAGCACGGTCATAACCATGATTAGAATGAACATAAGCATATCAACATCCTTGACTGGAGCAACAAAGTTGGAATGAATTATATATTATCGTTCAGACAGGTGCCTTAGTTCCTGCAACCCTCAGCAGCCACCAACCCGCTGGCGGTCCAGACACTTCCAGTCCTAAGCAGCTGCCCGTCTTGAACCCTTGCCAACCTCCATCAAATCAGAGACTTGACAACGCAACTCTCGCAAGGTTCCCCCCATATTGCGTGGAAACCCGGATCTCAGCTCTAGACTCGCCTCCGCTGAGTAAATATTCGTCCATGCTTCAATATTGCCATTACCTCAGTGGGGTTGAGCGCAGGGCCCCCGCATAGCTTCTTTCTCCCCGATCCCTGGCGCTGGGTATGACTTTGTCGTGATTCCAAAATCTACCCTCCCAGAGACTACACCTCGCCTGTTGCTGCCTTTTTTGAGCAGCGGTGCTTACGCCGTACACTCGCTCTAGATCCGGGCCGAATGGCAGACACGCTCGATGCGAAGGGGTGGGCTGATGCTGGGCGAGGCCACGATGAACCATGGACGAAGCATAGACGGAGGTGAGATCGGACTCGGACGCGGCGCGGAACCCGTTCACCTATAAAGAGGCGAATGCCTCGCTTTTCGAGGTTGCTTCTTCGACGATCGTCCCTCTTCATCGACCACCGGCAAACATGTTGAAGCTCACGGCCATCGTTGCGCTCCTGCTGGGCGCGGCGTCTGCCTCGCCCACTCCCAGCCCTCCTGCCAGCGATGAGGGCATCACCAAGCGTGCCACCAGCTTCTGGTACCCCAACATGGACCACGTGAACGCTCCCCGCGGCTACGCCCCTGACCTCGACGGCAACTACAACTATCAGGTCTACCAGACCGTCAACCCAGGAGACGGAGCTGCTCTGCAGCGGGCCATTACCAGCGATGGCAGCGGCTCTCGCCACCCCCAGTGGCTCGCATCGCAGCCAAGAGTATGAACATGCTTAACACGCATAAGAGGGCGTGTTGCAATAGACGACTGACGTTCAATCTTCAGGTTGTGTACATTCCCCCCGGAACATACACCCTCACCCAGACGCTGAGATTCAACACCGACACAGTGTTGATGGGCGATGCCACCAACCCTCCCATCATCAAGGCCGCTGCCGGCTTCTCGGGCGACCAGACGCTCATCAGCGGCCAGGACCCGACCACCAACGAAAAGGGAGAGCTCTCCTTCGCCGTGTCCCTCAAGAACGTCATCCTCGACACGACCGCGATCCCCGGCGGCAACCAGTTCACCGCCCTCTGGTGGGGAGTCGCCCAGGCCGCCCAGCTGCAGAACGTCAAGATCACCATGGCTTACTCTCAGAACGGCAACGGCCACACGGGCATCCGGATGGGACGCGGCTCCACGCTCGGCCTTGCCGACGTCCGCGTGGAGCACGGCCAGAACGGCATCTGGGTGGACGGCCACCAGCAGGCTGCCTTCCACAACATCTACTTCTTCCAGAACACCGTCGGCATGCTCATCAGCGGCGGCAACACCTTCAGCATCTTCTCGTCCACGTTCGACACGTGCGGAACGGGCATTTCCAACACGGGCGGTGCTCCTTGGATCGCCCTGGTGGACGCCAAGTCCATCAATTCCGGCGTGACTTTCACGACAACGGGATACCCTTCCTTTCTGATTGAGAACCTGACCAAGGACACGACCTCGCCCGTTGTTGTTGCTCGTGGATCAACTCTCGTCGGAGCTTCCTCCCACATCAACACCTATTCCTATGGAAACACGGTTGGGAGGAACCCCATCTATGGCGATGTGACATCGCAGAACACGAGACCTGGCGCCCTGGCCCCTGGTGGAAGATACCCGTATGTCGCGCCGCCGACATACTCTGATGTCCCCGTCTCTGGCTTCTTGAACGTCAAAGACCCTGCGCAGAACGGAAACAGAGTCGTCAAGGGTGACAACACCATTGACGAATCGGCCACGCTGAATGCGATCCTGGCCCTGGCCGCCAGCCAGAACAAGATCGCCTACTTCCCCTTTGGAAAGTACCGGGTCGACAGCACCCTCTTCATCCCTCCGGGGTCTCGCATCGTGGGCGAGGGCTGGGCCACCATCACCGGCAACGGCCAGTTCTTCAAGAACGAGAACAGCCCGCAGCCCGTCGTCGCCGTCGGCCGCCCCGGCGACGTCGGCGTCGCGCAGATCCAGGACATGCGCTTCACCGTTTCCGACGTCCTCCCCGGCGCCATCGTCGTCCAGTTCAACATGGCCGGCAACCCGGGCGACGTTGCGCTCTGGAACTCGCTCATCACCGTCGGCGGCACCCGCGGCGCCTCCGCCCTCACCAGCGCCTGCACGAACCCCGGCAACGAGTGCAAGGGCGCCTTCCTGGGCATCCACATCACCAAGAACTCGTCGGCCTACATCCAGAACGTCTGGAACTGGGTGGCGGACCACATCGCCGAGAACTTCAGCGGCGGCTCCTCCATCGCGGGCAAGGGCGGCGTCCTCGTCGAGAGCTCCAAGGCGACGTGGCTGTACGCGCTGGGCAGCGAGCACTGGTGGCTGTACCAGCTCAACCTGCACAACGCCAACAACGTCGTCGTCTCGCTGCTCCAGTCCGAGACCAACTACGAGCAGGGCTCCAACACCCAGCAGATCGCCCCCGCCCCCTGGGTCGCCAACGTGGGCACCTACGGCGATCCCGACTTTTCGTGGTGCAACGGCGGCGACAAGTTCTGCAGGATGGGATACGGAAACTACATCAACGGCGGTTCCAACATATATACGTATGCCTCTGCCTCGTGGGCCTTCTACAGCGGTCCCGGACAGGGCTGTGGGCAGTATCAGTGCCAGCGTAAGTTGAATATACCCTCACACTGAGCAATTCTTGTTTCTTTCTGTTCCTTTTGCTGACAATGAGGCGAATAGAAACCATGCACTGGATTGCCAGCACACCCAGTAACCTCCAAGCCTTTGGAATCTGCTCCAAGGATTCCGTCAACACGCTGCGTCTCGGAGACGGCACGTTGATCAACACGGCCAACGGCTTCACTGGCTCGTGGCCGGGAGGCGGTGGTGATGTCGGCCGTTATACCGTTTAGACTTGCGTCAGAGAGATTGACATGGGATGATGTGAATCGAGTGTCTATGGAGATGGCTACGTACTGCGCTCGATTGTATATAAATTATGGGCAGTTCACTGTTGATATGAGGACTCCAAGTACATATATCTACCTGACGATGCTATGCCAAGAGAAGAGATTTCTCTTGGCTGTGACACTTGCGCAGCTAGCTAAACAGCATGGCCATACTACCAGCTATTGCCCGCAATAACGACCATACTAGGAGAAAGAGGAGATCGCTTCGCATCTCGACTCTTCATCATGAGATAACATACTCATGTATATGATCTCTGCAACGATAGTGTAGCCTGCCATTAGGCAGACACATGGCACTTCACCAAGCAGCGAGCACTCAAATCCACATGTTAAATTCCCAGTTCAATCAAACAGTCCCTCCATCCCGAAGCTGATATTCACCCACCTCTTCAGATGACAAACCTCCGCTCTTCGAAAGAAACAGGCTATCTCAATGGTATACTCTGTATAATACCTAGTCAATGTCAATCAGGTATCCCGCAAAAACAAGCACAATACAAACCAAAACACTCCTTCAATCCCCTTTAGCAAAAATCCTCATCCTTCAATTCCAATACCGCACCCAATAATACATACCTCTCTTCCCTCCCCCCTCCTCATTCATTCCCTCTCTCTCTTCTCCTTCCAAAAGGGCATCTCCCAAATAAAGGAATGGACCCAAAAGCTCGGGAATCCATTATCCTCTAGTATATATATTCCTGCCAAAAACCACTTTACGCGGGTTCCCCCTTTTTTTCAATATACGCGCCTCCTTTCTCCTCTCCTCTCTCCCTTGAGAACTACATACTAGCATTACCTCTCTCACATGATTCTACAGTAAAATCAAAGTCTTCCCCCGCTGCTTCTGAGACACTCCTTCACCCAAGAAACCCGAACATCAAAGAAATCCCGTGAATTAACCTCTCCCTTTTCTTCCCTTTTTCTTCCCAACACCCCTCCCCCCCCTTCCTTTTCCTTTTCCCAACTCTCCACAATTTCCAGTCAGGTGGTGTGGTTGTTGGGCCTCGCTTTTCCGACCTTTTTCGTCTGCCTCGGTCTGAGCGTCACTCTCTTCTCTCTCTTTCTTCCTTTGCCTCTCCGTCTCCCTTATCTATCACATCTGACATCTTTCCATCTCGTACACCAACGCAAAGGCACTGTATCTTGCGTCTTTCGTACTCCATAAAGCTACCACTAGCACTGCTGTAAGTGCGCGGGACAGATCGAGCCTAAGATCCAACCAACAACCCACATCTCAAAACGCACGTCCTGCCGCAAACGGCCACCCCCATCCACTCATCACCTTTTGACTCCAGTCTTATGCAGTACTTTATCTCAACAAGGAGAAGTGGGCCAGAGTCCGATCTGGCTTTGCCCGTTTCCCTCTCGGTCCGGCGGCAATCGATCCAGCCTCGTCCGTCTTACTTACTACCTTAACATGTACATACATACATACACACATACAGTAGCAAAAGTGTACCGTATGCAATCTTTCCTTTTTGCGCTCTTTTGTTTTTTATTAGTCTCAGAATACGATGTATACATGAATCATGGATCCGAGAATGACCAGCGAAAAACTTCCACGCTCGTGCAGCCACAGATGCAAATCATCTGTCACTTTTTTTTTCTCTCTCTCTTTTTCCAAGAAACAAGGAAACAAGTAGAACCTTTTGTTTCCGTCTGTGTCACTGCCAAGGTTGACTGACTTGATCCCGTGTGATTGATTGATTGATTCCCCCCCCGTCCAAGCTCCGTGTACATAGTATGTCATCCTGTCAAACAAAGCCTCACTTTACACTGCACTTCGCCTCTTGTTGCCTCCCATCCCTCTCATCGAATCACGTCACATAGATTGAAAGAAAGAAAAAAAATAAGCGTAAACTTGCTCGCGGCAAGCAGTTTCAGGCTTTATTGCTTGTTATCTGTTGTTTTCCTAAAAATATGCCCAGAAAGAGAAAGAAAGAAAGGAAAACTCTTCAACCAACGCCCCCCTTCTCCTCTTTGCCCCCCCGGCCACTTCCAAGCATCTCTCTCACACAAGACAGACAAGACATGATTGCAAAAACGCCGCGTTTGCGCCAGTTCCCTCCTCCAATCACTGTGTTTCCTGGGTATATGGCAACTCTTCATGTGATTTCTTTTTTCTTTTTGTTCCATTTCTTCAGTGTGCCAGCCGTAGATCATTACCCAAATGCAAAGATATAGAGAGAAGAAGAAGAAAGACAAAAGTGCCACCCCCAGCCCAAAACCCCGTGTGTATCTATCTTTGCAAAGCCCCCCGTAGTCCCCCAGTCCCATGATCCCGCATCTGAACTACTACCACGCCCCCGGAAGAGGCACATGTGTATTGTTCATCGAAGGCTCCGTCCGCCTCCTCTTCATAGCCCTAGGGCTGTTGTCATCGTGCTCGCCCCCGACCGCAGAGCCTGGCATGTCCCATTGGCTGGGGTTCCAGAGCACCGAATGGTCACTGGGCTCCGCCTTTGGCAGCGTCGACGCAGTGGCAGCCGCCCATTCGCCGCCCGCGGACGTCGCAGAGGATGGGCCGGGCCAGGCATCGAGAGGCGCCATGTCCCACCCCTGGATCGCGGCCGTGTCGTCGTAGACCAGCTGCGTGGCCAGATCCAACGGGGGTGCCGTGGTCGCGGCGAGATACTGCGTTGTCGTCATGGGCTTCATGTCCGCGAAGCCTGCCTGGCCGCCCTCAAAGTACGAGGGCCCGTGAGCCAACGCCAGGGAGTGCGAGTGCGAGTGCGAGCGCTCATTCGCCGCGCCGCCCACGGCCGCGCCGCTCACTGTTGGCAGGTAGCTGTTCACCGGGTCAAAGCTCCCACCCGCATAGGGGCCATGCATGGTCGCCGTCGGCGGTGGTGTGGCCAGCCCTGTCGGAAAGTCAAACACGGTCATGTTTGTCTGAACCGGGGGCACCTGCGCGCCGTTTGCCCAGGCCGAGCTCAGATTCTCGTTCATGATGCCCGCGAGCTGCTGGCTCACACTGGGCGTCGGCGACATGACGGCGTCCCTGGGCACGGCGGAGGACGAGGACGAGGATGAGGGGTACACGAGCGCCTTTTGTTGGTGATATCGCGACATGGGGTCGTTGATGGTGAGCCAGCGCCACGAGGTGCCCGACGGCTTGAACACGGGGCTGTACTTGTACCACTGGTTCGTGGTGTTGAAGCGCCAGAAGATAATGGCCTGCCTCTTCCACTGTGTCGAGTCGGGCGCCCGCGACCACAGCTCCTGGTACATGGCCACCTTGCAGATGAGGTCGCTGCCCGTTGGCTCGCGGCGGCTCCACGAGGCGGCATCGCCCTCGTCCTCCGATCTCTTTCGCTTACTGCCGGCCCTCTCCAGATCGTGCTGCTTCTTGGTCTCGTGGCGCTTCTCCCGCTTCCGCTGATGCTCCACGTCAGGATACTGCACGGCCGTGCTCAGGATGCTGGCCCACTCGACCGCAGGGAAGGGCACGTGGATGTCCTGCCGGGGCCGCATGTGGCAATTGCAGTCGTTCATCTTGGAGTCGTTGCAGCCCCGGTGGTGGATGCCGCTCTCGTTGGTGTAGACGCCGCGCTTCGAGTCGTCGCCGTAAAGCTCGTCCGGTCGCGTCAATCGGGTGACGCACTTCCAGTGGTGCTGCTGCAGCTCCGGCTGCGTGATGGCCACCTCAACAAAGCCCGTGAGCTCGGATCCCGAGGGGAACTTTGCGTGCTCGTGCAGCTCCAGCGTCGAGCAAACCTCGAGCAGCAGGCACTCCTCGTCGCGCGTGGGCAGGTCCAGCGTCGCGTACATGGCCGGCGCGTCCTTCTGCCATCGCCGGGTCACCGTCTTGAGGCATGCTGACGTCGCCCGGTCCAGCGCCCGTGTGTACTCGTGCAGCAGCACGTCCTTGCCCAGGGCATCGGGAAAGTCGTCGCAGTTGGTGTACTTGTTCAGGTGAGGAAACGAAGCTTGGTCCAGGGGCGTGTTGTTTGCGTCGTAGGCCACGTCGTCCCGGATTTTAATCTCTGCCGAAGACACATAGATCTCGCACGTCTTGGGCCGCACCGTGATAAGCCCTTGCAGTGACAACAGCTGCGTGAAGTACTCGTAGTTGGGCCGCACTTCGGGCACGCGGCCCTCAGCCAACGCCGTCAGGATGGGGTTGGACTTGAACGACTCCTGCTCTTCTTCATCGTAATAATCGTCAGAGTTGGTGGATCCGGGTTCCTTTTTCTCTTCTGAAGGAAAAAGAAAGTGAACTGCAGCAGAATTCCAAGCAGTCAGTACCAGGTAGACCTCTTTCGACAGGCGGGTAGGGGGGGCGGGGGGGAAGAGTAAGAGTGTGAACTAACAGCATCGGAGGTCTTCGAAAAACTTCTTGACAACCTGCATGTGGCTGGACACTTGTTTGCGTCCCATCTGCTCGATGCTGTCATTGCTGTTGTCAATGCGGAAGATTTCTTTGTCCCCGAGCAGCGCCACGCAGATGACGAAGATGTACTCGCTGATGAGCATGTTTCGGCCATGGAGCTTTCCCCCCATGGAGAACTTGCGCCGGCCCATGTGAGGCATGAGCAGCACGGCTGGGTTACACAAACTTTGGTCAGCTTCCTGAGGCAATAGATACACACAAACAGGGTAATTTGCAAGAACTCACAGTCGACAAAGGCATCTTCAAGCTCGGGTCGACGCCAGACGCCGCCCTTGTCCTTTTGAGTGTCCTTGTGAGCTTGTCGGTTGCGGTACTGCTTAAAGGCTGGCCAGTAATAGAGAGGGTTGATGTCCTGACGGCTCTTGCGAACTTGTCGGGGCTGGTGGCGGGGAGTCTGCAGCCTGGAGTAGAAGACCTCGATGGACTGTGACGGGACGATATGAGTCGGGATGGTCGGTGGCAGCGAGGACACCGGAGTCTGGTAACACGGGATGTTGCTGTTGAAGCTGTGTGCTTGGGCGTTGCCGGCCGCCTCCCGCAGAGGCTGTCTGCCTCCGTGAACGTTCCGTCTTGCATCGACGTACTCTGGTGCATGTGGGATGACCTGTGAGGGGAGGACCGGCCTCGGCTGGTAGAGGGAAGCCATGATAGAATATAGACAGGCGTCAAAGAAAAGAGAGCGTGAGGCAAGGAATGCCCGAACAGGATATGTTCACACACAACTCAGATCCAAGCCCAAAGAGATGAGAGCTTTCGGTCACACAAAGCAAGCATACACACAGCCCACAGTCTTGATGAAGAAAAGATGTCTGCAGAGCCTGATGGACAAGAAATGTGGAAAGGAATTTGAGGCGTGGAATGGTGGGATAACGTACGCTTTGTACGAGGCAAAGAGCGGCCATTGGAACGGGTCATGTCTTCCTAAAGGAGAGCCCGATAGCATATAAACTCGAGACTCGGGAGGATATGGACACGGCCAACGGATTGTATTGACAAAGGGGACGACGGGGGTGGTTAGCAGCTCGTCCTCGCGGCCCCTCCTACCCAAGATACATGTGCATGGCTGCGGAGCTATCAAGATTTGGTTCCGTCTGCAAGAGAGTATCTCAGATGGGACAGGGAAGCTGGCGCCGGCGGGGGTGGGAACTCGACCCAGGCATCGGCAACTCTACGTTCAGAAGACTATTTCCAGCAGCCAATGAAGCACAGCTGGCTCGCCCACCAGCACATGGCAGCGTGAGGCCCGTTACGAGGGCGTTTTGCGCAGGGCATGCAAGGGAGTCTGAAGGCGGGGCCCAGGACGCCATGGTCTCACCCACCCTCTCCCCAGAGACAAGCCCACCACACATGTCGTCGTCTTGGGCGCGGATTTTCCAAGGCATGTGGAACGAGATTAATATCAGACAGTGGCCCTTGGGCGTCGCGAGGCCTGAATTCTTGTCGAGATCCACGCCAGCTGATGGTGACCCCACGCCAACATCGACGTTGTCATCGTCGTCCCGTGGGAGGAGGGTCGTTGCAGAAGTTCGACATTGGACACCCCTCCCCTTGCCAAGGGATCATCAGATGTTGCTGGGGGGGTGAGTAGTACTAGAAAGCGATATATGCTCAATAGAGCGGCCGGCCTAAGGGGTACAGCTCAGCCTTGTCAGTGTAACACAAGCGGCCAGAGAATATAGTCCTTTCTTCCTTTAGTTCTTCCATGCTCCGGTTTCCATTTTTCTTTACCTCAAGCCTCAAGTTCATCCTCGTCATTGCCAATAGTAACCTTTTTCCTCCCTCCTCCAGTAAGCTGCTGAAGGGCCATTTTATTGGCCTGCCCTCCAACCTTGCGTTGCATCTTCTCGATCTCTTCCTCGGCATCGACAGCCTCGGCGGCGGCAAAGTCTAATACCAGTCGCCGGCCGAGCAAGTGGGTATCTTTCAATGCATTTAGTGCATTCTCTGCCTCTCGAGGGGTTACGAAATCTGCGAATGCAAACCCTCTTGCGGTATAGTCCGCCTTCTTTGGAACGCGGACAGATCGCAGTTGCCCATAAGTACCGAAGAGAGTGCGGATGTCTTTCTTGGTGGCTTGGAAAGGCAAGTTCTTGATCACGATCTTGGTCCTCGTAGCCGCAGCCTTCTTGGCTGCATCCTCGCGCCGCCTCTCCTCGGCAGCGTCGTGACCCCTGTGTGAGGCTTTGACACCCAGCGCGTGGCCATCCAAGACGTAGCCATCCATGGCCTTGAGCGCCGCCTGGGCCTGCTCCTTGGATCGAAATTCTACGAAGCCAAAGCCCATGCTGAGTGTCTGACCAGGCCTCTTGGGGTCTATTTTTGTCTTGACACGAGCCGAGACGAATCCGTCAAGTGGCTCAAAGATTTCAGCCAGCCGGTTGGTCGTTGTGGCAAAGTTTAAATTGCGGACAAAGAGCGAAGCGGTTTCCGCAGGCTCGTCGGCCTTATCGCCGCTCGCCAGTAATTCGTCGACGCTCAGTTTTTGGACCCCAGTGCGCTGCTCCACAAGCGGCCTAGCCTGATCCTGGGCCGCGTCCTGCTTGAAGAGATCGACCGGGGCCTTCTCCAGGAAGAGGACGCTGTCCTTGACTCGCCGGTACGCCATCTTGCCAAATGCGGCCTTTGCGTGATTCAGCTGCGCGAACTGGACGATGGCAATTGTGCCGGCGGGCGGCATCAGCACTCTGAGAACCGGGCCGCACTCCTCAAACATCTTCCGGAGTTCTTCCATGGTTGTGCCGTATGGAAAGTTCTTCACCAGGATCGACGTGCCACCGCGCTTGTGCGATTTGAAGGCGTCCAGGTCCACGCCGTTCGAAGCAAAATAGGCCTTGGTCTCCTGGATGACGGTCGTTTCGGCGATAGCTTGCTTGACGGCCGCATCGGCAGATGTGGGATCGAGCACTTCGGACTTGGAGACACCCAGGCGTGCGGCAACGGAGGCGTTGACGGCGTCCTGGCTCATGTACAACGAATTCCAGTTGAACACGCTCGTTGCTGCCTCGGCCTTCTTGCGTATCATGTTTTGCTTCTTCAGGGGTAATTTCGACATTCCAAACTCGTCCAGATTCTGCTTCTTGGCTTCCGCAGGAATGATGTGTAGGATGCGCCCCTGGAAAGTTACCCCATCAAGAGCTTGGAATGCATTCACGGCGTCAGACGAATTGTCAAACAACACCAGCGCAAATCCCTTGCCAACTCCTGAAGCATTGGTCGGCAGATGTACCTGACTAAGTTAGCCACTGCAGCTATGAGAACAGATCGCAAAGTTGTCTTGATGAATGGTAAAGCAGGATATCAGATAGTCGAAGCATCTACTAAAATAATCGCCCAGGTTCTCATCATATGCCGTAGCATAAGATGTCCCTATCTTGGGGTTCATCATGTTTCCTGTGTTTGTGTTTTTTTGCAGAAACAGGGGGGTGGGAAGACGGAACAAGGAAAAGTATTAGCTCACCTCCTGTAGAGTGCCGAATTTCCCAAACTCTTGATGGAGATCTTCTTCTGTTGTAGTGTAAGGGAGATTTCGAACGAAGAGCCGAGACGTCCGTGTGATTGTGGCAACCGCATCATCCGCTCCGGGACCTTCTGCTCCCTTGCCATCTGCCTCTTCAGGCGCATCTTCCTCAGTAGCATCGCGAGGAGAAGGCGGGGCGTCACCATCATCCTCATCATCTCGCACGACAGTCTCAGCCTCCACTGCTGGCTCTGTGGGTCGTGGAAGGTCCTCAGGATCCACGAGATCCAGTAACCTGTTTGTGCGTGATCTGAGCCAGTCATCATCTGTCGCCGCAGCATCCAGTGGGGGAGGCTTCTCGGCCTCTTGGGGTTTCACATCGTCGGCCACAACCCCTTCCGCCACAGGCAGAGCACCCTGATCCGACGTCTCCTTTGAAGGTCGTTGGTTCGTCACCAGACTTCGACTCGTCTCAGATGACTCCAATTTCCGCAGCTTTTCCTTCTTCTTCGGTATCTGCTCATATTCGTCGTCACTCTCGCCCTCTGGAACAAGGACATCTCCACCCGTGGCAAGTCCTGTCATATCGGCGTCAGGATTTGTCTCATCGGCGAGGACACCCTCCTTGCCCGTCTTCATCACGCGGAGAAACTCCCGCAGCTTGGGGTCAGATTCGTCCAGGTCCTCTCGCTTGCGCTTCTTAGAGCTACCCTCATCGTCCTGATGTGGACGCTGAGTGTTGCTCGCCACAGGTTGACCGGAATGGACTGATCGCTGGCTCTTGTTAAGGGCCGGGTCTGAGATCTATCATTCCATCAGAAAACGCCCATGTTGTGTAGATATCAAGGCAGGGATCACAAGAGGCACCTACCGGCTTTGCTGGTTCGACCGAGATCTTAGACATGCGAATGTACGACTTGTTGAAGTACTTGACGGCCCCTGAAGCATCCTGAGGCGTTTTATAGCCGACATAGCCAATGCGCCGCTGAGGGATGAGCTTCACATCAGTGATCTCGCGGTTCTTGGCCGAAAAGTGCTTCCGGAATTCCGCCTCCGTGATGGTAGGCGGAAGGCCCTTCACAAAGATTCTGGTTGTCTCCATATTTGCAATACGGCCAGTTATTGTGAGGAGCAATTGCAGAGTCGTCAGCCTGCAGGCATGCTTGGCGATGTTGGTGCTTTTTGAAGCTTGAACTTGAGGAAAACAAGGGAGGAAAAAGTTGGTCCAGAAAGTTGGGACGTCGATATTTTCGAAGCTTGGATAGTGGGGCTCGCAAAGAAATTTGTACGGCCCGTGCATTTCACCGAACACCGTGCCAGCCCCACAAATCTGCCGACAATTGGAGAGAGAGGCCTACCCTAGACTAGGTAGATCTTAGAAGCAGAAGGTCAATTTCTGCAATCTACCATGGTGAGGTAGAAAAGATCGACTGGTATCAGGGCCAATGGTGAATGCTTGAGACTTTTTATGCATACATTGAGCGATGCTCGACTGGGAAACAAAATGCGTTTGGTGTCAGCATTATAAAGTCCAAAGACTGCACGGGTCCGCAAATATCCTCCCCCCCAACTCCTCAGTATAGACTCCAGAGAATCCACAATGGCACAGCTGGAAAAGCTGTTTCCTGGCAGCTGCCAGATTCTCTATATGCACTGGAGAACAAACTACAACCCAATAATCAATAAGATTGACTTATGACATGTTGGATCATGTCGAGAGCCTATTAAGACGCAGACGTAGACCTTATATAGGCCCTTCAAGTCACGGATAGACTGTTGAAACGAGAAGCAAGCACTGGGTATATCACCTCTGTAGTCTTGATGTATCAACCGCGAGTATTACTACCTACTCCACTGAGGTGAGAAGTGTCATTTCAGGAACGGTACACGTATGAGAGTGAGGTCCGGTTGGCGAAAGCAACTACCCAAGGGAGTCGAGCCAGAGCTCCTTGATACATTACCCTGGTGGGAGATCTGCTCAGCACTACCATACATCTACCAAATATCACCAACAATAGAGTCTCTTGCAATACAACGTATAACGTAGCAACAATATCCACAATGATTGGTGTTATTATCGTATGTCGTCGCTACATGTTTTGAAGAAGTGTGCAACGTGAAGCTACTTAGAGCCGGAGCTGCACGGATGTGCTATCATTCTTGTTTCCCTTGCGGTCATAGATACAGTGGAACTTGAAGTGGGAAGCGCATTCTCGTGTCTGTCGGGACATCGTGACCTTCCTCACTTGTTTTACCTCCGCTGGCTATATTCCCTACCATTCGCGAGGACCTATACTAGCACACGCATATCGTTCTCACCAACATTGCTTGAAGTAACTTCGCATTTCAGAGAGATCAATGAGCTCTTTAAACCCCCATTAGATGCTATGATAGAGCCATTTGGAATCCTTGTAATATAAGCGATAGGCATGTTTGCTCGCTTATAGCATCATGCTTCCTTCAAAAAGTAATATCGTACATTCATTCGTAACATGATCTCGTATTGACCCTCATGACAGGTGCAGGCTCTAACGGAGAAGTGCATCATTCACCGAGATGAGATGCCAGGAGATAGTTCCTCACCTGACATGCACGCTTGTCCTACAAAGTGGCAGGCTTCTCACCGACCGCACGAACAGGAAGCCGTCGAAACAAGGTTAAACAGACCAGGAGAAGCGACTTATCTTGGTGTACCCTCCGACCTTGACACTGATCTGCAAAATTACCTGACAACATTGTCAACTCAGCACTAGACAGCGTGCCTATCTACCTATGTTGCCGCGTACCATCAGGGAGAGATTCGGGTACGATTGTGGGTTCGACATACATCCACGGCTAGAACCAGATGAGAAAATCAAGCGACTCTATAAGCAGTTTCTGGACGGGCTTCTCAATCCTGGCATGAGTTCGTCAATCTCTGTCGAAACGACCCCACTAGACTCTTGATGGAACGGTGCCCAATCATGTCCAGCAATCCTGATTATTGCAACTACTTCCTGCACTTCAGTCCAAGAGTCGATGCTATTCTGGCATCGTGTCGGGAGCTACGCTGTCGACAGACCGTCCAAATCGCAACAAAGCACTTTGGCAACAGGGTACATTCTTGGCATGGTCTTTTCAAGATTAACCCCAGGTAGAGATGAGAGGCAAAATAAGGCATACATTCCGATTATTGATAGCTCCTCTGTGTTGGAAACTGCAAGTGAAGTGCCGTATTTCTTCAGATGATCCAGTCTTCTCGCCCCATCTCCCAGCGTGGCATCTAAAGCTGGAATCTCAATTGGAGTTATGGATTTTGAAGAAGAGAAGATTTGGAAATTGTGACTTTCGAATCGAATCCAATGTGGCCGCCTTGTTTGTTGAGGGCTGTTCACCCTTGCATGGAGCAGCATCTCTGTACCGAAAGCCATCGTCCCGTGAGAGTATTACCGCCCATGGGAGCATAATTGGCCGAGACTTTCTGGTCAGTGATACCAGCCTAGTAGCAAGGTCAAAGCCTCAAACGTAGAACAAGCAAGGCTGGATTCGAAACATGACTTGGTGATGATACTGTCCAAGCCATCGGTTGAGCATATCATTGCTGTGGGGTACGGGTACGTGATGTGCAACCAGGCTCAAGAGCTCGGCGAGGAGCCGTGTCAGTCAATGGCTATTTCTCATGAAATTCTATCAAAAGACTTCTTATCTTCAGCTTGCTGTTGAGGACTCTGCCGCCTGTGAACATCTTTGTCCAGTTGACGGTTGAGACTCCGAGCTGTGGTACGAATTACTTATGCTACCAGGCTCCCACAACGACACCATATGAAGGCATTCGAGCAAACCACTCCTGAAGGAGTAGAGAAAAGGGAATGGCTCACGCCCAGATTGGCCATCAAACTCAATAAATTTCCAAAACCAATCGAGCTTCATTTCATCCAGCCCTGTATTCAATTCCTTGGCATGACCTGGAAGCTCCCGAGTGCCGAACGAGCCTTGTACTTGCACTTCAGGCACTGATAGGCCTGCCCCGCCAAATGGCTGGGCCCCCCTAACTGCAAGTGCCTGAGCGGTACCTCCACCGCAGTGCATGGCTCGTGCGTCGCCCCGGTTCGTACCTTACTGTGCTACCTAGCCCGTGATTCTGTCAACCTCCAAGCAAGTTGGAAGCTCGTACGTTTAAGGAGACGCGAAAGCTCAGCCCTGCACAAGCACGTTTTGCGCAAGCGACCACCCCCGATACCGCACGAAACGATCCCAGCGCGACGACCAGCTGCGAATCAAGCTTTGAACGACGATATTCTCGAGGGTAAGCGCTCTTGATTCCGCAGCGTCTGTTGGTTGGCGCTGTCGCAAGGGGAGGTGGAAGGAGATGGAAACTGCAGCGCCGTCACACAACATTTGCTAACGAGCCTGTCTTCCATAGCGAAGCCGCGTCGAGACTCCATTCACCAAACGAGCAAGAACCCATACATCCACCAGACAACATGGCGGACAAGCCGGCAGACGTCGCAGCGGCGCGGGAGAAGCTTGAGGGTGAGTCGCAAACCCACACCAACCAACCGTTTCAGGGGACGACTGACTGACGCTGGCATCGCAGCGCAGATCAAATCCGCAGACATGGTGAGGCCACTCCGAACGACGACGGCGCGCAGCGATCGAGCTAACGAAAACGAAAGACGGATGATATGCAGCAGGAGTGCATAGAAGTTGGTACGTTGTATTCTACAACCCCTGCAACTGAAGGGGATGGAGAGCCACAAGGCAGAACCGGAAGCTGATGGAAGAACACTATAGCTCAGGAGGCCATGGCAAAGTTTACGATTGAGAAGGTATGCTTCAGACGCAGTTTTGCTACCCTGAACGAGAACTGACCGGCATGATAGGACATTGCGCAGCACATCAAGCGAACGGTTAGCCAACCTGCTCGAGCCATTGGCCACCCCGTATGCGAGACGACATTCTACTAACCACAGAAAGCAATACAGTTTGACGAGCGAAAGGGCCCGACCTGGCACTGCATTGTTGGCCGTAATTTTGGCAGCTTCGTAACTCACGGTACGTGGACGACCGCCGCTGCAAACGCTCAAAGCCTGGACACCTCCATGCCAAGGCCCCAGCAAGCTAGTTTTTGCAGCCGAACACGCGATGCATCTGGCTAACATGAGGTATCTATAGAAACCAAGCACTTCATATACTTCTACCTCGGCCACTGCGCGATCCTGCTCTTCAAGACTCAGTAAATTTCGGGGCGGACGGCTCAGGGGATAGATTGTGTCACAGTTGCGGGAGCTGCAGGCCACGGTTTGTTGCTATTGGAGACGTGGAAGGGGCGTCATGAATAAAGGGGAGTGCTTCACGCACACTTTGCGGCTTCCTATTCAGATTTGAAATCATCATTGGGTGTATTGTTCATAATAGAGATAACCTGTGTTCTCATACCATTTCTTGGTGCTTGACTTGCAGTTTGAACACTCTGCGTCATGTCGTGGGCTTTGTAAGTTCATCGCGCCAGCAAGCAACCCAATTCACAGGAGAAGTACCAACCGAGCGTCAATTGATACAACAGCAGTGAAAAGCAAAGGAGAAGAAAGAAGGACTCAAATTCACTCTGAAAGTGCCTATATCCTAAGGAACCTAGCATTTGCAAGAAACTCGGATTAATTTCAGAGGTACCATTCGGGTTGCATCGGACATGAGAAATGTCTCGTGTTCCGCTGAATGTCCGGCTTCACCTGTTCTCAGAGACGTTTCCCGCTAACATGTTGTGACATGCTAAACGGTCGTTGCATTTTTCGGGACGCGGGATAGAGCAACAACGAAGGAATAGAAGCCAGAGTTTTAATCCGCAAGAGGTACGGAATTTGACAACTCTCCCAAGCTCCGAGTCGTTAGGTAGCACTTCGTATAACATACCGAGGCAGTTATCGCTGAAACCCCAACGAACCATACAAAACGGGAGGGGGGAAAAAGAGATGATGTGGCCAAGCAAGCTTCTGCCACCTCTACCTACCTACCTAACCGCTTCACTCGCCCAGACCAGGCCCCAAGACAAAGGACGCAATCGACATCCATGTCTGGGACCAAACGGCAGCCCCGAAGAGTCCATGTCGTTTTGAACGGGAAAAGGCAACCTAGGCTCGCGCAGCCGCCGTTCATGCAGCCAAAAGAGAAAACTTCCAAGGTTCATCCTCTTCCTCGAGCCCAATTTCTCCGCGCCGCTAAACACGCACGCAGGCAGAAGCTCCTGGACGTGCTGCCCGTTCAAGCACACGCAAGCTGTCGAGATTTCATGCCAACAATGGGCGAATTGTCTTGCCATCTATGAAGAGGAAGGTGAACACACGGTTTGGAAGGCCACCTCTCGCTCTTATTTAATACAAGGCCAACCAGCACGATGAGTACTGGACCAATCCTTTCCTACCATTCCCCCGTCTTTCATCCCCCCCTTCTGTCTTCCTCTCCCCGTTTTCCTTGTCCCTTATCTCCTCTGAGCTATTCTCCGTGCGTCCAAGGGACGCCTAGGAAAGGCATGGGAACTGCGTCAACACATTTTTCATCAAATGGGTCGAGTCAGCCCGCCTGGCCGTGTAACGATGAAATCCGCCACCGCTCGATTGATAATTCTTTTCCTTTCTGTTTATCACACGTTGACAGCTCACTAGCCGCTACACTGCAAGGGGGCCAAAGGAGAAAAAGAAACGACAGAGCATGCGTGTACATGGATCGACTAGACCATACTATCAACGTTTCCTCCTCCCACAGCAGCTCGCTTCAAACCGAGGGACCCACGATCTTCCGCACACGTCAAAATTGACCGAAGTTGCATCCGAGAAAAAAGCGAGAAAAAAGAAAGGAAAGAAAAAAAGTCGCAATAGGCACAAGCATGGGGTAGCTCGGGCTTTGTTTTCTTCGCGAAGCAGGCTGTCCGGGGGTGGCTATCCCGAAGCAGCACGGAGGACGGTGCAAGGCTCCTCGTTTGGACGGCCGTGCATTGCATGTACATACATGCTATTACGGAGCCCTCCGTGCTGGCCCTGAGCTACCTACTGATTCCCCACACTCTGTTTATCCGCTCAGGGTATGCATGGCCAAGTCTTCAAGCGGCTGGATCAAGCAAGCTGTGCCCTCTCTGCCCTCGGCATGTGTGTAACGTGCCCAGACGTTGGTTCAAGCAACGTCCACGGGCGGAGTTGTGCCCGATACATGAAGCCTTGCAAGACACGAGCAAACAGATACACTTCGTGTGAACCTGTCAAGACAAGATAACGAGACAGCTGCCAGCCTTCGCTTGCACGACAAGGTGCTTCCCGCTATCCAGATACCGGAGCATTCGCTCACGTTGCTGCACGTACAAGCAGTACAGTGGTTGGGGGAAGCATGTCTCGGATGAAGGCTCGTGGGAGGGGCCTTGTGCCACACCGCATTCGCAGGTCTGCACATCATCGCCGGGTCAAGGGTGGGTTACTGTATCGAGGGCTGATATTACTCTTGGGAGCAGATTCTTGTCGGCAAGGCATGGGATGGATGTGACGGCGTACCGCATCCAGCTCACGCAGACCTTTTGTGTGAGCTGTATGTAACAGCACCTCCTTGCTTCTCAGTCACGCCACCAGAAATAACACACACGCGCATGTGCATTCTGGGTATAATATCAGAGCGTGTCCTCTGTACTGCTGAGCTGAAAGCCCTCAGCTCACCCAGAACCCTACAGGAAGGCCGGCTGCGACGTACGATGAATTCATGGGCACCGTTCCATGAGTTGCCTCGGAGTTCCCCCGACCATCCCGTGGGCTCGATATATTCAGCAGGCGTCTCGCCCGGGATCATCGACTGATTGTGCCCGTTCGGAGTACATACGCACATGCATGTATGCACTCTGTTATTAACGTGAGAAAATGGCAACGAAAGCCCTTTATTGCTTCTCCTCTTCTTCTTATGCTTCCGTGAGAAAAACGACACAGTCCTCCAACGCACACGCCCCCCTCCGCTTATAGGGCCGCATATCATGCGGCCGCCTTACATGGCCTGCCTGCCTGCTGCTGTTGTATCCCGTACGCTTTTGCACAAATCAAGACTCTGACAATTTTTGACACAGGCCTCAGTTTTTTCACTTTGCATGCGCCGGTCGAGTCAGAGTTAATGAGGGCAGAGGAGAGGGGGATCGGGGTTATCACTTCCCTTCTGAGGAGGAGGAGGAGAAGGTAGGGGAGGGAATAGGCACCTCTGCATGCGAGCAAGACTGTGGCAATAACGCCATGAAGTCGTATCACGCAACTGCTGAGCTGTGCTCTCTCTCCCTCACTCTCGCTCCCTCTATTCCTCACACTCTCTCTCCATCCTCTATGCTGTCAGCCATGTCGATTCTCCCAAGGTCCGGAGCCGCTCACAAACGGAAGACACTGCACCAGATGGAGCACATTTACTCGTGCTTCTGCCTTGCCGCCGATGAATCGCAGCCGGCCATCCAGGAGGGCACGAGCAATCAGGGCTTACAGGGCCATCTCATCGTTCGCCCGCCACCAAGGGGCCCCGGGATTGGAGGAGAGAGAGGAAGTGGGCAATTGCATGAGTGGATCGCGGCTTGCGGTTTTCATTCTTCTCCTCCTTCTGTCTGTCAATTCTTTTTTTTCGCCACCAACTCTCCCCTGTTTGACTCCGTATCTGTCCTTCTCTTCATCCCCCGGCTGCAGAGACCCTCTTGCCATGATTCTCCGGCTTGATGGACACATGCTGCATAGGGGTTGTTACACGAGGCAAAAAGCAACAGAGGAACACGCCAGTCTAGCTGCTTGTTTGGAAGTGCTACGAAGCACTACCTTACATTATGCCTGCCGAACATGGGCTGACTTGCTGATGGTACCTACCAGGACGTATATTTGAGGCCATTGGGAATGTCAGGGCACTTCCCGTTCCCATTCCCATTCCCATCCCCAGACGAGTGCACTGCCTGATGCCCGTGTCGAGGCTGCAGCAAGGCCATTCTGTGTCTTATTAATGGCTCACCCGTTAGTCATGATCCTTTTCGGCAGCCCGCAGGTACCAGGTATCGTCTTGTCTGAGTTCCGATAGGTCAGATCCAGCGATTGCCCAGGTGCTAACTTGATCCCTGCCTGGCCGCTGGCATGGGCCCTTTTGACGTAGTAGTGGCAGGTGCGGCAGGTAGGAGTACCTGGGTGCGCGTGCGAAGTAAGGTGCAGTGGGAAGTATCCTGGACCTGTCACGACTGGGATGCCAATGGAATGGAAGTCGATGTGATCGCCAGGTAAGGTACGAAGCACGGTACCTGCCTCACTCTTCACATGCTGTTATCGTTGCGGAGGTACATGCCGTAGTCCGTACCTGCCATCAACTGAACTTGAACTACAGGTAAGTACTAAGGTAGAAGCTGGCCCTCGCCATGTCGCGCGGCCTGAATTCACTTCCTCTCTTCCCCCTTCGAGACGTGGAGAACGAGGCCAGCGATGCATGTTCGTACCGCCTAATCCCAGCTGCCGAGTGATTATCCTGGCGTTTCGAGGCGGCAGAAGCAAGGGCAGGACAGCGAGAGGCTGCCGTTGGCCTACTGGTACGAAGTAGCGACTGCCGGCCTCTGACCGGTGCAGTAGTCACGAGAGGTCCGTCCTGTAAGTCTGGTCAAAGGCGCGCGTCTCCTCCGTTGGGAACATCGACAACTTGCGAGTGATCGCCATCATGGTCTAACCTCTGATCAGGCCCAGAGAGCCTATCTTCCTCGCTTCCATCTCATCGCCGTGCCCAGGTCGCTGGGACCAACGGCCGGATCCGAAACGGCAGCGACTGGCGCTTCAACCGGCTCATTGGCGCCCTGTCCAAGTAGTACGATACTTCCCAGTCAGGTACGTAGAGACCATGACGCTTTTGCCAACCAAAAGGACCGGCTATGCAGAGAGTGGCGCTACGGAGCAAAGGGACTTTGCTGTCCCAACTTCACCTAGCAAAATCCTACATACCTACTGGAAGAAGGAATAGTATTGGGACAAAGTACGAAACTAGCGGAACCCTTGAGCGCACACGAGCGAGTGGTGTTTCGGCCAGGCCAAGAGCTGCCTTGTCCTGTGCGATTGTCGAATCACAAAGCCCGGACGGCGATCCGCCCACCAGTTACGGTTCTGTACCAGGTGCTAGAGCGAGGTGTCAACCCCCTTTTGCTCGATTGCCATGCTGTTTTTAGCATCCACATCACACAGATCACACTGGATACCTTACCTTGGAGCAAATGGTA